GCTTTATTAATTAAGTATAATAGAGAAACGCCCTCTTACGTACTTGCAATTTCGAACCGAGCTTTATTATAAGCTTTTAGCATATTCTGAGAAGGCAAAGCTAAGGAGTTTACAAGTAGGGCTAGGGGGCAAGAGGGTATTTAATCCCGATCTTTGTTACTTATACTACTGGGAAAAGCGTCCCAAACAAGGCACTTATACATGGTATTCATACTAATTAAAATGCGAAAGATCCTAAAGAAAGGAATAAAGGGTATAGCAAAGAGATTAAGTAAGGGATATAAATTTTGTAATATACCAATATATAGAGAGGGGGACTACTAGGTACGATATCATTCAAATAAGGTAGCTTACTAATAAATTTGTATGTAAAGATACATAAAATTATGCCCCGCTAGCCAGGCAAGCCTCCCCTGTTTAGTACGGGACCCCCCCCCCCCCCCCTGCCCACGCTAGTAATGTCTCACCGGACGAAGGGATACACGTGATACTACACGTGATGTTACACGTGACATGCTAGCCTAATTAGGTAAGGCTCCGGGATGGCCCGAGTCTAGTGCCACTGAACTGCCCAATTAAGTAGTGGCAAGGCTTGGTAAGCAAGGTAGAGCCTTAATATATTCTTAGGCTTCCTTAGCTATTAAGGGCAAACTCTTCTCTCAAGGTACTCTTATTATTTAAATTATATAATAAACTTAATAAGAGTACTATTAAGATAATATTTTACTTAAAAAGCTTGGGGTTATTTAAAGACAAATTAGAAAAAGTAAAAGGAGAAGAAAAAAAGCAGGAAAAGAAAGATTTCGGAGAGAGAAATCTGGTTTTTATAGAAGAAAAGTGGTATTTAAGTAGCCTTATATAAGCTCTAGTTTAAATTATATAGTACTGCTTAATATATACCTTATTTATTTGTTAATAATTAAATAAATATTAATTTATTATATTTATATAACTTGCACGTGACTACTCTTGAGTTACTCTAGAGTAGTGCTCTACTCTACTCTACTCAAGTACCATATTACGCTACTCAAACTCTACTCTACTCTACTCAAGACTACTCTAGAGTAGCTTGAGTAGCTTGAGTAGTTTTTGCCCACACTGATTACGGACCACGCCCTGATTATCCAATGCTTTGCTTGCAAGCAACAGCAGCCGGAAGTTTTTCAAAGAGTGTGTCTCTCCGTCCAGCAACATCTGAGTTCCATGGCGAGGCTTGCCGTCCTGGTATAGGCCCATAGCGATGCAGTTTGTGTACTCTCCCCCCTAATTAAATGTAACAGTAGATCCAGAGTGGATACTGTGGCTGCCATTCAGCAAATAGTACTAGTTACTTCCAAGCCTTTGCCATGGGATCACAAGCCTTAGTAAGATAAATAAAGCCACCGTCTTCTCGAAGGACCTCGCGATGGACAGTGCTAGGTGGCTGATCAGGGTTTCAACCATTCAGAGCACTGATATCAGGGATTGGCCCCACTGTTACATTTATTTAGGGGGGAGAGTACTTGCAGCAACTAAAGTTATGCAGGACATGCGTGCCGGGCCGAGGAATCCCGGGTACACTACTACTGCAAGCACTGTCAGTTCGACTGACTCAGTTGGTGGCGCAAGTGTGGAAGGATCCAATGAGATTACCGTAAGAAGCCGTGTGCGAGCTTAAGGCAGCCAGCTACAGTACCGAGAATTGGTGGGAGTGGGTTCGGGTCTAGCCGTATCGGGATAGGGGATGAAGACCTTTACCGAAATCATGTAACTGTTTATCCCTTCGTCCGGTGAGACATTGCCACATTGGCGGCCGCACATGAATATCCTTATTCATGTGCGGCCGCCAATGTGGCAATGTCTCACCGGACGAAGGGATAGAGAGTAAACCTATTCGGCAGGAAACATGTTGGTTGGATTGAAGATTGGTTCCTCGGTCATCGGATTGAGCGGCCTGAGCCTGTAGCCGTCAAAGATGAGATGATCAGGAATGTCGTGCCTTCTCTGTCGTTTGAAACATATCCCCGTAACCCTGAACGTACCTTTCGTGCTCTTGCTGCTTCCCGGCCAGCGCACCAGAGTGATAAGCGATGCCCAAGACCAGGATGGCGCTTCTTCGACTTTGCTGGTACATGGTGCAGCGGTGTGATGTTCTTCCCACAGCAGGCCATGATGGATGTCGCGAAGCCACAGACCGGCTACGTAAACCTCGTTCTGCATCTCGTTCTCGGAAGACGCCTTGGATTTGCGAGGATCGATCCGACCTCCCTCGCTAGACCCGCTACAGCGAGAATGCGTCCAGCTCGGGTTTTGTGAGATGTTAGCCGGAATATACTTCCAGGGCGGGATACCAAAAGCCCAGGATATCGCTGTTCGAGAAGCGGAATGATGCTCTGGGCCGCAAATGTGCTTGTAGATCGCAGCCCGCCCGAGCGAATGCAAGGTGGGACTGGCTGTATGATCGGGAGAGTTCTTGTTGACACTCGAAGAAGAGCCCATGGGGCGTGTACCAGAGCAGTAGCTTACCCAGCGCGGATGACATTATTACCAAATATGGAACCCTATTGGAAGGCTATATTATTTCCATCTAGCAAGGCTGCTTAAAGATATTATCACTTCGTAAAGGCAAAAGCAGAGCCTAGCTTCGCAAGAGATATCAAGATAATTAATCTATTTCTCAATAAGAGTAAAGAGACTTCAAATATTTATTGCAAAGGCCTTACCCTCGATATTAGCTATAATATTTTATAAAGATCTATTTCCAATAGCAAAATAATACTAATAATGCTCTAGTAATAATATCTCAGATAAATATACTGAACTTTATTATTTACTCTTCTCGAATAACAAGCTAGTAGATTCCACGCTACTATAGTTAATACTAAAGCAGAAAAAAGGCCTAAAGAGATATTAAAAACGATTTATAAATCAAATTTCCTCAAAAGCAAATAAAGTTATCTCAAAAGAACTCAAAAACTCTCAGTTATTTCTTAGAAATAGTATAGTAAAAAGCCGGGAAAGAATACAATTTCTAGAGAAGTATTTTAGTCTAAATTTAAATATGTTATTTATTAATAATACCAAGTTAGTAATTTGTTTGCATATAGCTGGCTCTTTAATAGGTAAAGTAGATCTTATAGGCTTTTAGAGACTTAATTATAAAAAATTTGGGCTTTTTTAAAGCTATTTTTAAGTTACAAATTTTCTTAATTTAAAAAAGTATTATTAATTTATATTTAATAAAAAGCTTATACTTAAATATTCTTTAATTAGTCTTATAATAAAGTAAAAAAAGTATTAAAATATATTAAATTTAAGAAAAAAGCTAAATTTTTAATATTTTTCTTCAAGCGCTTCTACTTTGAATTAATAGGTTACGAGCCTAAATACATGAGTCTTGTTACGGTTATTACGGCTTATAGTTAGACTAGTAAGGGCTAGACTATAATTGGCTAAACATGCAAAGTCGAAGTCGAGTAAATCACAACTTCATTTGGATTTTGGACACAAATTGTCCTAGATCCGTTCTGCCTATATTAGAGGGTGGCCTTCTCGTTCTATTATTAGGTAGAACTTGCTTCAATGATTCGATCTATGTCGTTGAGAGTAGATATCTTGAGAATTGCCATCCCAGCCCATCCAAGACGCCCGGCGCCTGCATATATCTTATTATTAACCCCCCACCCCAAAATCTCCTAGCCATGCCTCGGGCGTATGAGCGCCCTTATCTCGGGTTATAGCTTTGGTTGGCCGAAGGTGTGATGCCAGTTCGAACGCCATATCTCAACCTAGGCCAGCACTCTTCAATTCCAGGCTAGGCTGGGGGATTGGAGTGTCGCGACCTGATCTCCTTCCTCTTCCACCTTTTCTATCGCCTCAATTTTGGTTTTTAAGACTCTTGTCTAGAGAGAAAATGACAGAGTGTTTCGGCACGTTAAAGTCCTCGCCCTCGCCGTATTAGCCCTCATCACCATTATCATTATCATCATCGCCATCATTATCCAAAGTCTTATCTGGAGTCTGCTGGGTCGCATATTCAAGGGATGCCTGTGGCTGGACGAGGAATCCAGGATCCCGTTCAATGACCAGAGGCAACTGTGTATCACCATACCCCTCAGCATCGGTCTTGTGGATAATGATCGTGATGTTGCCTCCAGCTGACTCGGGAAGCTTCAATTCCGCCGTGCTGTTCGAGGATCCAGACCAGTGAGGCAGTGCTGCCAGTTGGACAATGTCCTTTCCTGATCCGTCCATTCGGGAAACATGCAGTTGAAGCCCATCAGGTGTCATGCTACTCGATAGAGCTATAGCATTCCCGGGATCGAGAGAGACCGAGAAATCTTTGACCATTCGACCGGGCCCAAATTTGTGGAGTTGAAGGTGGGTTTCGGGATTTGATATATAGGGGTTCGGTTGGGCGAGTGAGGTACTCGTATAACTAGGTTTTCTCAGTATTTCAGACTTTTCTTCTGAATGTGCTGGTGGTCTTCTGGACTCTGAAAATAACAGATCCAGTGGGATCTCAGTTACAGTGACCGAGTTCGTATACTTCGTCTTTGAGATGAGGTACAAGCCGCATTTGGAGAAATGGACCGCCTCAAGGGGTAGGTTGGAATCTTCGATTTCTCGAATTTCATTCCGTGCTCTTGTCACTGTCGTGGTTTGTTGAGCGCAAGTCAGGGTAAGGGGCAAACACTTACCAATTCCAAAATTCCAAAAACACAAGAGAGCTCGTGAGGCATTTGAACCCACGGACTCATCTTCCCCCAGCCAAAGAACACAGAGAGGCCGAGTGGGGTGGAATATAATTTGAAAGTTGCTCCCAAAGGAATGACCCATAGCCAGAGCCAGGAGTGGCACAACGTCTAATACTGGCGTTAACTCGAAGGCTGCTACTATTGGTCGCAATTCAAGCCTGGTGGTAAGACTATGTGGATTGTTGTTGGAAGTCCTGCGCAGCGTATTGAGTATCACATATTTTCCAGTAGGACTGAATGCAACCCTTGAGGCACATAGCTCCCACCCTTCATTGTCGAAAAAGCCATCAGGGATGATAACTGTACTGAATTCGATAGGCTCGGGCCATGGTTCTTGCGTGAGCCCTCGAGCTAGGGATGTTGGGTGTGGGCTCAATCTCCATATTTTGTGGGACACTGAGAACAATAAGTTGTCGCAACTAATCGACATAGGCTTCTGGCTGGACATATTGAAATATTTTCGATCTTGGGCGTCAAGTTGAACAACGACTCGGGCAACGCGCTGGCGATCCAAGTCCAGGGGCCACAGCTCGTATGACGCGATGTAGACAGAGGCAATGATCCCGCTCTTGACGATAGTAGAGCACCTAGAGCGATGTCAGCAATCTGATACGCGGTATTGGGAATCAGCCTTACAGGTCGGCTGCAGACCATACACTCAAGACCCCTAGCAAAGATCCGTCTGCCGAAACAGCAGACATCGACGCCTCTGGATTATTCGCTACAGCAGCAGCAAAATCACTTGGCCTATTGGGAGCCCGAGATCTGACCCTCGTACTACCAGACGAGAAGAACATTTGACTTGGTGCAAGGCCAGCTGCGGTGAGTTCATCCCACACAATATGCGGCGTTAATCGCAAGTTCGAGTCCCAAATCCTGACAATGCGGTCAAGGTCGCTGCAGAACTCAAAGATCATGCCCAGAAGAGCACCATCGACTCTGAGGTTGGTTTCCTGGGTTAGATCCGATAGCCAGCTCGCCCATGTCCGTAGTCCAGATCCCGACGGACGATCAGCGTGAGAGCTCGTGTAGAAGGCTTCAAGCCACACAGTGACTGTCTTCGGGATACTCAAGAATTTTCTGAGGTCTGCAGCAAAGCCGAGAAAAGCATTTTCGAATGACTTGTCTACCTGCGCATTATGTGTCGTGATTTTGGAGGTGTCTATGATTGTTGCTGATGCGTGATGCACCCAGTAGACAGCAGCATAATCTGTGAACGGGAGGTTTGCAGCCAAATCGAGGCACGATATACTTCGATGCATTTGCTCTGACAAAGGTCCAACTGGCGTATAGTGCAACAATTGCCGAAGGCAACAATGTGCAATATTAAAATTAGCGATTTCTGGTGTTGGTAATTTGATAAGCTCCTGGCTTAGTGACGTAGATTCAAGACCGGAAGCTGGATCGGGGCAGGTGAGGATTTCCTTGACGGTTGAATGAATTAGTTGTAGTCCACGGGCATTAGGCAAATCCTTGGACATTGGGACAAGCTCAACAAGCCCCTTGCAGGCCATGATTATTGCACTCTCGAATTCACTGATATCCTCCGAGGTATCCGAAGTCCAGAAGCCTTCTATGACCAATGTCTGCCTAATTTGACGAGTCGTCATGGGGGTAGCACCAAATACAAGCCATGTGAAAATGTTTGTTGCCAGATTGCGTGTTGAGTGACCAGACTGGCTGATAAGGAGGAAGATACGATGATACATTTTCTCGAGGCCCTCTGGGAATTTGATCTCGGCGATGATATTTACCCTTCTCTTCTGGGACAAGGAGGTGGAACGAAGAAACTCGAACATTAACCGTGCCCACAAGAACATACCATCTGCACCGTTGACGAGGTGTTCAATTAGCCGTTCGAGGTCATTTGATGCAGATTCGGGTAATAGTTCTTCCTCTATCAAGTCCTCAAGCTTGTGTTCGCAGAATAGCCGAATGTCCAACGAGAGCTCCTGCTTTGAGAGACTCAGCTGTGACTTAATCGGAACTGAGCGTTGGAGTTGAGCAACGTTAACGCGACCGAGAAGAAGTATTCTCGGATTGCAAGCATATGACAACCGAAGTAGTGAGGAGACAAAGGAGTCGCTATCGCTACACTCGTCAACGCCATCCACCACGATTATGGCGTTTGGATCGAGACAAATTTGAAGCAGATCGCCCAAGGTCCCTTCCGAGGCGTCCAGCTGCCCTTGTGACTTGGATGTCATCATAAAGGTAAATTTGTCAACGATATATTTGTCATGACGACAACCCCAAAGGATTTGAGAAAGAAGGGAACGGAACGCAGATGCTGGTGATCTGGATGCTTCGGAGTTGTATCGGAAGAAATGATGCAAGACCACGCGAATCCCGTCTTCGGGTTGGTCTTCGCTTTCGTCAAGCTCGTCCAGGACCGAAGTGGCTAAAATAGTTTTACCAGATCCTGGATGTCCTAAGTTGTGTTAACAGTGTGTCATTTCTGGGTCAAAAGGTAACATACCATGAATCCAAAGCATGTTTGTAGCAAACTTTCATGATCTCTTATTGCCGCTTGGGCATGCGCAGTGCTCAGTATCTATCCAGGATCGGTACTGCGGGTGGTCAAATATCCACAATGCTGTGGAACCATCACGCATCTTGGAGTTCATCTCCCGCGCGTCAACATGGTCTGAGGGCCGCAACCACTCCTGAACTCTTGCAACCGTTGCATCTACGTAACGTTAATAAACTATTGCAACTCACGAGAGATTCAAGGAATGATTACTAAGGCGTTGCTGCTCCAAATGAGACTTGGCATCTCGAATTTCGGACAGAAGAAGAGGAATTTTTGTCCTCGACTCTGCGTTCTCTTCACTGTCTGCTTCCATGAGACGTCTCTCCTCCGCCATCAGACGCCTCTCTTCCTGAGCCAGGGCGCGCTCCCGTTCTGCACTTTGATGCTCTTTCTGAACATACTCGCGCCAATTTGCCGTGGCAGCAATTTGTTTGCCATCGCGCTTGAACTTCCAAACATTGACCTCTTCAGAAATGTTGTGGTTATGAACTTCCATTCTCTCAAGCAGTTCCTTGAACTTGACATCGAATGGCTGCCATAAAAGGCTCCCCAAAACCATTGGTGTTCGTTTGAGTTCTGAAGAATTTTCAATATCCTAACTTGCTCTGGGTTATATTAGGACGGAACATACTTCCAGTAGATCGTGTGAAGACTTTGACGGCGATCTGGAATATCCCAAGAAAGTCTACGTAGATTTCCTCGATATTCTTACGGATCCGCTCCGAGTTCTCATCGTTGCATAGCTTCGCAACCTCCTCGTACCGGGGAAAGAAAGTGAGAAGCTGGTCGAGGAGCTCCAGGAGCTTCTCGAAGAAAGTGACGAGATTACTTGACAGCTGCAACGGACATCAGATCTAGTCCAGTCGCTCAAGGCACAGAAAATGAGACCTACTTGAAGAACAAGACGAAAAGCGCCCCAAAAGAGGGCCGAATACTGGGGATTCGACTGGATGAAGATGTTCATGACCTCGAAATATGGCTCAAGACGCTTTGAGAGTGTGTATACACACCTCATCGGTTGCCCCGACGTCCCACTCGCGCTACGGTCGCCTCCAACTTCTTGACAGCCTCTCTGAAGTCTTCGGCTGAGACGCAGGGCGAATAGAGCAAACGGTCCTCGGGACTGAGAGAGTCGATGAATCGATCCCGGGCCGCTTCGAAGATGTCGGGATTAGATTGCGATTCCATTTCCAACTGATTCGAGTCTCAGCCTTAGAGGGAGCTTCTAAACATGGGACAACAACGCCAAGGATTACAAGGCTCTCACTCAGCCGCTATCTCAGAAATCGGAGCAAGAGATTGAGCAAGCGTACCGTAAGCGCAATGGGGTGTGATGACTCCTAGGTGGCGTGGATCGATGATTCTGAGTATTCTCTCCTTCCAGTCGTGTCTTCTCGCCTGGAGATCCTGAGCCTGGTCGTGTTCTCAGAGCGAAGTCAAGTCACGTGGACCGGCTTCGCTTAACCTTAGTAAGTCGCGGCACGTGGACCCGTGCGCGTCCCGCGTTTATTTAGTTCCGAGGCTCCTTTGACAACCTCTTCTCTTCTTCAGCTTTGAATCATCGAAATAGAGACAGTCTAGCCACGCTTTCCAAGCCCTAGATTTGTGCTCGTGACAACTCTGTGCTCTTAGTATATTTTGCTAATAAAAGAGCCCTAAAGAGAACTTTAATAATTTTAAATTATATCGCAAAGACTTTGAATAAGCTCTTAAAACTTTAAATAGATTCTCTCTCTTATTTAATACGCTCGAGTTTTAAGGCAATGTGATTTACAACTGTTTAATTGTTACGAAGTGAAGCAAATGACTTGCCTTGGCGAGGCCTGCTAAAAGCACAGACTTATGCGGCCAGGCTCGTTAGTCTAGCCCTGCTCGACACCCCTAATCGACGCCTGGGGGGCTGTCATTTTAATTTATCCCCTTTTCACCACCACCATATTCAACCACCATCATGGGGGAATCTTACAGCACAGAGAGCACTATGAGACTTCGCGCGTCTTGGAAGGATGACCGGCCGCTCAAGCACCCAGGAATCCCCACCAAAATAGACCGCAGTCGCTGGCGCATGCGCAGCGACTCAGGCCGGCACACATGGCACTACCTAGACGACGACGAAGCCGCCAAAGAGTGGCCTCTGAGCCTAGCAGACAAGTACTACCTCAACCTCCCTTTGGTAACCCTCCTAGCCTCGCATCCAGGCCCATCAGACTGACTGATCCGGTCGACAGAACCAACCCACCCTCCCACTGCCCACCAGGCCTCTCGACGCCCTTCAAAATGGCCTCACCTACTTTTCCAAGCTGCAGCTGCCGCCCGGGCACTGGGGCTGCGAGTACGGCGGCCCAATGTTCTTGCTTCCCTCTGTCGTCTTCGCCTGGGTAGCGACCAACACCCCGATCCCCTGGCCCTATGCCATTGAACTACGAAACTACCTATTCGCACATGCACACCCCGAGCTCGGCGGCTGGGGCCTCCACATCGAAGGCGACAGCACCGTCTTCGGCACATCACTCAATTACACCGTACTACGCCTCCTCGGCGTCGATGCCGAACACCCCATCATGGTGAAAGCGCGAGCGCGGTTACATTCGTTAGGAGGAGTAATCAAAGCGCCACACTGGTCCAAGTTCTTCCTCGCCATGCTGGGCGTGTGCGACTGGGACATTGTCAACCCGATACCGCCCGAATTATGGCTACTGCCGGACTGGATCCCAGTTACTCCATGGCGGTGGTGGGTACACATTCGAATGGTATTCTTACCAATGTCATGGATCTGGTCGAAGAGGTGGACGATGCCTGAGACCGAGGTGATCCGAGAGCTGCGTCAGGAACTCTTCACGCAACCGTGGGAGACTGTTGATTGGGCGGCCGAGAGGAACAACATCGCGGAAATTGACAATTACCACCCCAAGTCCTGGATATTGAATGCATTTAGTTGGACGATTATGAATGTGTGGAATCCATTTCTCCGCCCCAGATGGCTCGTAGGCCGTGCGGAAGCATGGGTTAGTCGACTGGTGGATATGGAGGATTTGAACTCGGACTACGCGGATCTCGCATCGGTAAACGGCCCATTAAATACCATCCTCTGCTACATCCGGGATGGCCCAGACTCGTATTCCCTTAGACGCCACCGTGAGCGACTCGAAGAGTTCCTCTGGGTAAACGCCGAAGGCATGTTAGTTAATGGTACCAACGGCGTTCAGAACTGGGATACAGCGTTCCTGATTCAAGCCGTCGTCCACGCTGGTCTCGCTGAGGATCCCAAATGGAAACCAATGCTCGTGAAAGCGCTTGGGTTTCTTGAGTCCCAACAGATCCGCGAAGACTGTATTGATGCAGATATCTCTTACCGCCAGAGGCGTAAGGGAGGCTGGGCTTTCAGTAACAAGGATCAAGGCTATCCGGTTAGCGACTGTGTCGCGGAAGCATTGAAAGCAGTTATTCTCCTCCAAAAGACACCCGGATACCCGCAACTACTCGAAGACCAACGCATCTACGATGCCGTCGACACCCTATTAGAGTACCAAAATCCGTCCGGGGCTTGTTCATCCTACGAAAGGACAAGAGCGGGCCCGTACCTCGAGTATCTCAACGGGGCCGAGGTATTCGGTCGCATAATGTACGAGTACGACTACCCGGAGTGTACCACAGCCGTTGTAACGGGCCTGGCCCTCTTTCAGAGATACTGGCCCGACTATCGCAGACACGACCTGGAGGTCTTCTTGCAGCGCGCGGTCCAATACATCAAAACGGCGCAGTATCCGGAAGGCGGCTGGTACGGCAGTTGGGGTGTGTGTTTTACGTATGGTACTATGTTTGCCCTGGAGAGTCTATTCACCATCGGCGAAACGTACGGTAACAGCTCTCACGCGAAGCGGGGGTGCGATTTCCTGGTGTCGAAACAGCGCGAGGACGGCGGCTGGTCTGAATCATATCATGTAAGTCTCTTTTTTTGCGTTGCACCGTTGGATAAGCTTTCTTTTATGATTCCATCCTCACCTTTCGTCTTATCTACTTAAGTCTCTAACTATTCCAAAAACAGAGCTGCGAGAAACTTAAGTACACCGAGCACCCCAGCGGGAGTCAAGTCGTACAGACAGCCTTTGCCATCATCGGTCTGCTGCAGGCTGAATACCCACACATGGAGCCGCTGCGCAAGGGCATCAAGCTGATTATGGACCGCCAGCTGCCGAACGGCGAGTGGGCGCAGGAAGCGCTGGAAGGGGTTTTTAACAACAGCGTCCTGATCTCTTATCCGAACTACAAATTCATCTTCACGATAATGGCTCTCGGCAAGTTCGCAAAACGCTATCCGAACGAAAAGATTATTTGAAATTTGGTAGCCGTCAATAAATAATAATATTTAACCCAAGCATATTATAACTAATAAGCAAAATTACTTAATTACACTTATATAATTTATTACTTATATATAGTATATAGATATAAGTAAACTAGATTTTAATATAAGGTCTTTTTTTATTTTATGAGTTTTAAAGAAGAAAAGAAGAAAGAGAAAAAGAAATAAGAAATATTAATATATAATAAAGTTAATTATAAATTAGTTTTTATTTTTAAGTTTAATTATATACTTAAAGATATTAAGTAAAGGTATATTCTTTTAATTATAAAAAGCACAAATAGAATTGTAGTAAAAAGTAGTAATAAATCTATAACTAATATAGTATATATTTATACTAAAAGTAAGAAAATATATAGACTAAGTTATTAGTAATCCTGGCTTTATACACAGTCAGGCTTGATTCCTGACCTGCAAGATGATTATTCAGGGATCCTGCATCCGCCCACTCAATATCTCTCATAATACCTAGTCCATAACTTTTTGCCAAAGTCACCCCACAATCGCTCGCACGATAGCTACAATGTTGAGAGAAATGTCATTACATGCACCATATTCACATCTCATGCACTGATGAACCTTCTTCGACGAATCAAGAAAGAAGGAGTCAATTAACCCTCGCTTGGCAAACACTACACCCCTTTTAGGGAGTTTAGTCACGTGAGGGGAGGTCGCAAAGAGGTCGAGGCGATGGAAGTCGTTCTAGATCGAGGCAAAATAGCGCCGCATGATTCCAAGCAGTACGTTGCGCTCGAATTCCTCAATTTCACGAACCCCGTGCAGCGTAAGGATGCCGTTCACCGAAAGAAGGTGCGGAAGCATGCCATGAAGCAATCTTGGCAAGCGCGTAAAAGATCATGCCCGTTCGGCTATTCTCCCAGGTGATCGCCAAACCCGCCTCTTGGCGAGACCCCCTGGTCCTGGATGCGCCTGCAAAGGACTTGGACACCTCGAGAATGGAGGTACAAGAAAGCGGTGTCCACACTACGGAGGTGGCGAGTCTCGTGAGTCTTCACTGAGACATACAGAGGCCTGCCCACATCGGTTAGAGGCGAGTAGGCAAGAGGAAAGGGGTATGGTAACACAACCCGGTGACCACGGTGGAACGGATGAATTGCCGGCTTTAGAGTTGGAAAACCAGCGCCGCCTTGGGGCCGGTAATAGAGATCCTTTCTCGAGTTTCCCAATCCTAATGTGGCAAAACAATGGCCTAATTGAGATGCTTCTGCAGCACTGTTAGTGATACCCGTTCCACATCGGGTGTCTGCTTAAACGGCAGCGCCAGCCCTGCTCACATTTATGCCCGGCTAGGGATCATTGAGCTGAGTCCTATTCTCTGCCCCCTCGAACAAGCCGCGAAGAAAACTTCAACCCCTGTGACTAAAGTCCTGGTGCCATTGGCCTTAAACGATGCATCTATGTTCCATGCACTTCTGTCGTTCTCCTCGAGCCTCATAGACGCTCGTTCTGGGTGCAAGACTGAGAGTGCCACCACCTTGGTTCACAGGATTAATGCAATAAGACTCATGAATCAGTCCCTGCAGGACATACAGCAGGCGACAGGTGATACAGTATTGGCGAGTATATGTTTCCTCCAAGCAAGTGATGTATGTTGGAGACCCATTTTCAAGAACTACATTATGACTTTCGGATACATTCAACTGACTTGAAGTAGTTAATGTTCAGGAACTTTAAAGGTCAAAGAAACCATATGGATGGGATTTACCGGATAGTAGCTTTGCGTGGAGGCGTTGACAGTGTGCGTGCGACGAACCAGTTGATCTATTGGCGAGTAATCTGGTGAAACTCATACATACACCACGCACGTTTAGCAAACTTGTTACTAACGAAAGAAAAGGGCGGATCAGTTCCGTAGTCTTTTCACAGATACGCCACCGCGCTACCGCCTTTATTCCAGTCCAATCAGTTTTCCGTCTATAATTCAAAGATCAGATGAGGCGGAGCCCTGGTCTATACGAGGTGTACTCAGCGATCAATTCTTAAACTTGGTAAAGCACATCAGGGAACGTTGTTCAGCTCATGGAGTCGTGTAGGGGTGGAGTTGTTACCCCTACTATAACAACCCACTTCGATCAACAGCGAGGGTGGATTGCGTATCGCCTTACGGAGTTAATCGCCGAAAATCGAAAGTCCTAACGGCAGCTTACGAGCGATGTTATTGCCTAGCTGCCTTCCTTTTCCACCACAAGCACTTCAGACCATTTTGCTTCTTATCGGGCCTACAAGGTATACTAGTTACTAAACTGAAATAGGCCTAGAAAACGGATCTTAAGGTTTACTGGGGAGATGATATCGAGCTTTTATTATGGGTTTTGGTTACCGCGGCGGCTGTGGAGGATACCACCAAACCTTGGTTCGTGAATTTACTCAAGAAGGTTCGGAAGAATTTCATTCCCAAGCCTGGCCTAAACCGGATGAAGTATATCTTGAGACGATTTTTGTGGAGTGAGAGGACTTCTGGCTTAGATTGTGAAAAGGTATATAAGGATATGTTGGACTTGGAACCGAAAGGGGACCCGTACGAGACGGAAATTGACTTGAGACCAAAGTACAAGGTCTTTGGAAATGACTAAAAAGAAATACGAGGTGAGCGAAAGAGTGAGTACTTAATCTTTCACTGTAACAGTACAAAAGTATTAAGTACTGACTATTCGCAGCACTTCAGCCTGGAATAAAAGCTCTCCGATCAATGCAGGGTCATGTGCAGATGCTCATGGATAAGAAGCGCTCTGTTCGCTTGACGACTAGATATGGATCTAGCTATTAGTAAGACTACCAATATGCGAAGTAAAGATGGAAGTCACATTATACGTGGCGCTTCTATTGCTCTTAATAATTAGTTTATTAGAATTTTAATATAACTTTTATATAATAAAGTCTCTTATTATGAAATAAATTTCTATGCATAAATTATTACTATAGCGGCGGAATTAATGCAATAGTTAAAGGCTTAAAGTTTAATGAATCTCATATATTAAAAATACTAAACTAGAGAGCAATGTGACGGCGCTGGCTGGGGCCAAAGGGGAGTGGCTGTCACATGACCAGTTTCACCTAGCTAGCCGGCGTTTCAGTGGTTTTAGCTAGTATTTCCCTCCTTTTGACCCTCTCCTTCTTCTCTTTAGCTTAGTATTTTTCAATACATGAGATTCTTGGATCTTTGAGCTCTGGCCATTGCCTCGATCCCGCCGTTACAAGCAAAGAAGAGAGAAATGCCTCAACCTTTAGTAATGCTTTGCTTATACCTCTAGCTGTGTTCCTTATTTCAGACCTGTTTCCCAATTCTTATTTCTAACAAATTATATAATTATATTAGCTATTATAATTACAAGTAATTTTTATAAATAATTATAATACATTTATTAAATAATAGTATATAAATAACAAATATTTAACTTAATAAAAAGCTTAGTTTATCTTAGTAAACTAAATATAGTAATAGAAATATTATAATAGGAATTGTGTAATGTTTAAGGGAGTACGCGATCTGTTATTTGGAACCGTCTTGTAGCGTACACCCACAATAAAGTGGGGGCAAGCAGCAAAGCTGACTTGCTTTCCAGCCCCCTTAATCTCGCTAAACCTTAGCTCACCCTCACTGACTTTAACTTCATTCCTCAATATCAGGCCCATTTCTCATCCAAACTTCTATGCAATGACTAGTTTCTCAAACATTTCCTTTGTTAGCACAATTGACGAGCGCATTGAGCAGATCAACTTCCTGTTATATGTTCCTTGACAGCCCCTGCAGACGCATTCGGCTACTTCAGTTATCCCGAACTCCTCATCCCTAAAACAGCAAGCTTCAGTGCAAACTTTACGTTGTAGACTTTGCCTCTATAGGCACGTATTATACCCTTTCGTATGTCTGGGGCGGACCCGACGGTCTCGGTTTTAAGATCTCGGTAAACGGTGTGCTTCTTCCAGTGTGGCAGAACCTTTTGTGTGCTCTGCGCGTTCTGCGAGTTAGATGTCTTAACCTTATGCTTTGGATCGATGCGCTTTGCATCAACCAACAAGACGGACTGAGCGAGGCCGTCAGATGGAAATGATGGGTGACATATACAGGAGCTTCTGAGCTTGTTGTGACGTGCCTTGGCATCCCGGATCCCGAAGAGTTGAGCAACACCACGCTGGATGTTGCAACGCACTCACCACGCTATCTACCGGTTCCTGCTTTTGGATTGCTTAAACGAGCGGCTGCAGAAGCAACGACCACATTTGAAGAAGTAGACCAAGAAGAGGGCTGGATATCGGCAGAACACTAAATACAAGATTTAGTCCTTGGTCTTGATGCTTCAGGGCCTTTGAAGCAGCTCCTAGAACCTTGCCACGGTGTATCCTGAAAGTAGCTTTGGGAAGTCCAGGACGTGTGGAGGAAAGGACCCTGGAACCTAATGCCAAGTAACCCAGAGAGAAAGAAAACTGAACTGACAGGGCATAGACTCGAATCATCGCTAGCAAATCTTTCCTTTTTCAACTGCGTTCTGACTAAGGCGTACGACATAACACCAAATTGGCTCCTCTGAGTCGATGGCTCTTTTCCATCTCCCCACTCTTTTGTTTGTGGAGACATACTTCACTGTCACATGGTCAGCACGTGCCTCACCCCACTTGCTTTTCATGGCTTAGCTTCATCTTCGTAGGGCTGACCTGCTCGTTTCAGCTACCCCGCCGTCAGAGAACTTCGGAGGAAGTTCATTGCTTATTGCTTTCTTGCACGTGTTCTTCTCTTCGACCAGCTACCACTAGCCAGCGATGGCAAAACCTCACAGGCCTGCTTAGAGAGCAACTCCACAGACTCAAAATCACTAGATTGATGAGTAATGCCCAGATCTTTCTCCTCCCCGTGGAACACCGGGTAATTACACAATATGTCGAACTCTTTGCTCACTTGATACCCCAATCAGAGGATCTGATATAGACAAGGCCTAGATCCGGACTGGGAATCTTCCGTGCCGTCCACTAAGACAAGTCCTCCCGTCCACAGTACATTTGCCACGGAATATTTTCAAGTACCTCACGTGGCGTTGTCGAGGTAAATTACATGTCTTGAAGGCACCTTCGCTGCACTTAGATGCAGCGTCGTCGCGGCTGATGCTCGAAGAGGAAAGGCTAGGTGGGAAGGAGGATGTGCTTCCGCCTCAATTGCCCCTGTCCTGTTTACCAAGGTGCCTGACCCGACTGGATAAACGCATCTCCAGCCTTGTTTCAACACCACAAACAGCCTAAACACCCCAACCACCGTAGCCGCCTCCATTATGCATCGCCGCCAGCCAATACCAGCGTATCTGTTGCGCGACGACATCTATTACGCCGTAAGTATCTCATTTATCCCGCCTCCCGATGATTCACAGTGTGTGCACCTGCGCTCGCGATGACCTTCCGGCCACCACACAGGTTAGGGCAGGGACATGTCATGACGACGAGGGAGGGGCAGAGCCGTCTCTGCCCCTCCCTCAGTGGACCAACCGGCCCATTGCATCCAGGACGCCATATCCGACGGCTACTTAGCTAATTTGGAATTCCCTTTTCTCCCCTATCTCTTATTATTGCCTCCCATATAACATCAAGCCCCGTCCCTTCAATTGGTGACCAAGTTGGTCAAGTCAAACGAAACTGTCCAACAGCTGCGTTGCAACTCTACATGAAATCGATTCGATTCATATCGCGGTAAAATCCTCCCAATCTGCTACCCCCACACAAAAGCCCGCAAACAGCAAGACTGACTCTGTGTGAATGCAGCCCAGCTGTGCACTTGACCTCGCCAATATCGATCTCGGTGCTGCCCCGCTTCGCGTCGTTCTCGACTGCGCCATCTGCCCCGCCAGCTCGAGCTCATAACTCCAAGCCTTCTCCCTTCACCTTCGCCACTCCGAATTCGAGATTCTACGCAACTGCAAAGACAATGGCTTCTCCTACCCTCAAGCTCAATTCCGGCCATGATATGCCGCAGGTGGGTTTCGGTCTGTGGAAGGTGGACAATGCTACTTGTGCCGACACCGTGTACAACGCCATCAAGGTGGGCTACCGATTGTTCGACGGAGCTTGTGGTAAGCTTCCTTCCTCCCCTTCTCTCCTCCACTTCTACCCTTCATATCGAAGCTCACACAATATTTTCCCAGACTACGGCAACGAAAAGGAAGCCGGCGAAGGCGTCGCCCGCGCCATTCAAGACGGGCTCGTGAAGCGCGAAGACCTCTTCCTCGTCTCCAAGCTCTGGAATTCCTTCCACGACGCCGATAAAGTCGAACCCATCTGCCGCAAACAACTCGCCGACTGGGGCATCGACTCCTTCGACCTATACATCATGCACTTCCCGGTGGCCCTAAAGTACGTCCCGGTCGAGACTCGGTATCCACCCGGCTGGACACACTCCAAGAAGGACGGCGATGTGCAACTCTCTAAAGCCTCGATCCAAGAAACGTGGCATGCGATGGAGGACCTGGTGCACAAGGGCCTCGCGAAGTCGATCGGTATCAGCAACTTCCAGGGCTCTCTGATCTTGGATCTACTCCGCTACGCAAACATCCGCCCCGCAACCCTGCAAATCGAGCACCACCCCTACCTCGTGCAACCCACATTGCTCCAACTCGCCCAGTCGGAGGGAATCGCAGTAACAGCCTACTCCTCCTTCGGGCCCCAATCCTTCATCGAGCTGGAGTGGCAAAAAGCGAAAGACTCGCCCGTGCTGTTCGAACACCCTACCATTGTCACTATCGCTGAGAAGCACAAGAAGACGCCAGCGCAGGTGCTGCTTAGATGGGCCACTCAAAGAGGGCTGGCGGTCATCCCGAAGAGTAATAATGCGGCCCGGTTGGCGCAGAATTTGGAGGTCACGGGGTTTGATTTGGATGTAAACGAGTTGGAAGCTATTAGTGGGTTGGATAGGCATTTGAGGTTTAATAACCCTACTGATGTGAGTGCCTTACCCCTTTAATACGCCCCCCTTCCCTTAGTATCGGAGCAGGAGTTGGAAGGAGTTTGCTTATATTTGAGGCACAGTATCTTGGAACCCTGCATATCTTTGCTTAGACCGATCCCATTCGATACAACTTGATGCTCATCTCAGGGACTGAGAGCGGCTTTCTGGGCGTTGCATCTAGGTAGGCATGATATCACGAATCTTCCTTCTCGTTACCCGGTGGTTTTCTATCGTATGTAGAGGGTTTATTTATAGCATGCAATTTCGAATGAAATGTCAAATCAACTTCAACGTCAAATCCGAGTCAAAAGTCAATGTGAAAGTCTGAGGACTGGCAAACGATCCAAATTTCGCCAAACGCCTTGATGAGCTCTATGCTAGCCAAGCCAAAGCGATCGCCGTGCTGTTCTGTGCGGTGCGGTGATGTGATGTGCTTTTCATCCCAAGCCGTAACTCCATGCTATATTTCCATGCTATATCCATCCACCCACCCGTCATTTCTCGCAAATTCAAAGTGCATGCCCAGCTGATTTTGCAACCCCTCTCTAACACCCATCATGAGACCCTAACAAAAGCTACACAACAACGTTAGCCTTCTCTCCCAACCCAACCACCACGCCAGTCCAGCGAAAAGAAGAAAAAAGGTACTTACTAGCATCAATCTGCACAACCTGCGGCAGCGCCAGGCGAACCTTATTCCTATACAAAGCCGGCGCCTTCAACTGCAACGGACACCCCTCAAAATAAACAGTCGTCAGCTTCCCCTTGCCTCCTAGCTCCCTCTCCACCTCCCCAAAATCAGCAAAGCCGTTATAACTAGCCCACAACTCCTCAATCTCCTCCAAATGGCCTATCCCCTCCAACTTCGTGATCTGGTTGTTTGAGATATCGAGTACCCGAAGGGATGTGCAGTTTTCGAGACCGGAGAGGGTGGTGAGTGCGTTGTGTGATATGTAGAGTTCTTCGAGTTGTGGGAGCTTGTCCAAACCTGTTATTGAGCGGATTCGGTTTGACTGGATTGACAAAATTTTGAGGTTTGGCAGCGTATCCAGCCCTTTGATCTCAGTAATCTTATTCTTCCCCAACCACAACTCCTCTAGTCCAGTCAAACTTTCCAGATTCTGAATCTCCCTAATCCGATTCGCCGCCAATTCCAAATTCCTCAACTTAACCAAGCCCTCCAAGCCCTCGATTGAGGTGATTTTATTCTGCACAAAGTACAGGTCGGTGAGTTTCACGAGGTGGGAAATCTTTTTTATGTGCTTTATCTTGTTGAAGGAGAAGTCGAGGGACGTGAGGTTTAACAGGTCTTCGAGCCCCCGGATATGCGCGATTAAATTGTCGTAGAGATCGAGTTCGGTGAGGGTGGCGGCGAGCGCGGACAGGCCTTCGATTTCGGTGATGCTGTTTTGACGGAGGCAGAGACGGGAAACGGATGTGAACCGTTGTAGGTCGAGCGAGGGGACGGAGGAGATGCGGGCGTGTACCAAATCTATCTCTTCGCTGTCGAAGGGGTAATCGTCGAGTAGATCTATCCCACACATACATATTAGCCCCTTGCCTTAGCTATGGAAGGGAGGAGGGGGAGGCAGAGGATGGGTGGGGCAGACCTTCATCAGCATCGATTATCTCCCCAGGCAGCACATTCTCTTCGTCCGAGTGCTCTGGATCGCTCAGCGCCTCTGGGTTCGCAAGTTCGAGCTTCTTTTCCACGCGCAGCTTGCCGTCCCAGCCTGAGCTGCTGCGTGCGCTCTTCGGCGTGTCGTGCCCCTCGGCGTCATCGCCGTTTATGCTGATATGCGACGGTGGCGTCTTCTCTTTCTCCGAAGGCATCGTGGACTCCAAATATCTGTGCTGAGAAGAAAGGAGTTTGATTATTTGTGGACCGGCTATAGCTATCGTAGCATGTTGTGGTGTTCATGAGGTTGAATCATGGAGGAGATGCGAGACGGGTCTGGTGGGTGGCGGGGCTGGAATGACAAAAGGTGGAGTGGAGTGGAAGAGGCGCTTTTTTTCGCGGGAAGAGTGACCGAGAAATTTTGATCCAACACAGGAACCCCCCACCATGGAGACAACACAGCGTGCATGCGAGAGAGCCGATAGGATATTTAAGCCTTGATTCACATCCACTGCGTTGGTGATGTGGCGGGTCCTGCAGAAGAGATTGAAGAAATGCAGCTTTTGACTCGACAATGCAAGGCCAGCGTCACCGCCACCAGCTTCACGAGGCTTGCCCTGGGGCGACGGTTCCGAGGACCGGTAGCTCCTGCGATTCGATACGGATATGGGGTCTGCCAACGAACTTCTGCGTGGTGGAGGTTCATGTTTGTTTGTAAAAATCTAATGGCGTTCGATCTGGAAGTGATGTGTGATTGTTGTCTGGATCACGCATATGCCTGGGCTACCTCCAGCGTGACGAGGGACACGATTGATGGTCACAAGAATGCGTTGGGCATTGAATGAATAAAGAAGCATATCAAGTCTGCGGATTGGACTACAATAGGTCTCTGTTTGACCAGTGTCAACACTGGGAAGGTTGTCTCCAGGACTGTTCACATTTTCTATTTTCAAAGCCGTTCTTTCTTGTTTCACGAATATGCTCAGGATCATTCTTGCGGGATGTGATGTTATTTCTTTGGTTCATCAACATCCGTATTTTTATTCTGCAAATGCTTAGGGACAATCCCTTGATGCAAACCTCCGAGTCAAAACCACCATAGTTTGCTTCAAATATCGAAGATTCTGATTTTTAGAGGCCAGCTTTTGGGAAAGGGCACTGCACTGCATGCTGCTACTGTTCTGGAAAGAGTAAAGAAGATTATGAGGGAGAGTTTGTCCCTCTTCAGACTTTCGGGACTGAGGGTGTACCTGGTTTGATATTCCAAAGAGTAAATGGATATTGTCGGTCACTATGCCATAGTCTCGATCTGTTATAAGCGAAAAGCCTCCCCGAATCAAGAGCTTCACATCGAACATGAAAGAAATCCAAGATCTGGATGGACCATGGCCAGATTATTGATGGTTCTGCGCCTGATGCTCTCCTTAGCGTGTCTTCACTCCACCAATCTCGACTTTGTGACCATACGCAGCTTAACTTTGAAGGGATTGGAACAGGTCTCAAATAATTCACTACTTTCTAATATTCCTATGCAGTCAATCTTCCAAATCAAAGTCGGGGAAGGAGAAGCCCGGCCTGCATCAAGACTTAATTTCAACACCACACTTTGTACTACTTCCATACTTTTTGCAGCTTTTCCTCTGAACCATTCTATACGTCCAACTAAACGCACTATATTTCCCTTCATCTCTGTTGCAGCACTCTTAATGTCGAATGAGCTATAACACATATTACGCTTCATCGTGCTCAATCAAAACTCGCCAGCTGCACTTATTACTCACGAACTACCTCCAACAATCGTCGTATATACGCACTATCATCGGGTATTCCCCAGTCAAGCGGCTCCAAGGCACGATACCGATCGTCATTTCAGCTTCAGCCTTTTAGCCAGTGCTGGATGGGGCGTTGGTTGGTGGCGAGGTGATTGGTTGTGAGCTCGAGTTGGCGTGAATGAGATCTTGATCCAGATGAAATTCTTATCACAGGATGCTGTGAGATTTCTCGGTGCCGTGTCGCTAGCCTATTCAAGCTCGAGAGCAGTTAGTTCTTGAGGCACCTGCCGGATTGTCGCTTTCTGTCTTGTGTATTCTATTATTGTGTGCTTTAGGTTTTTGGTTATCAGGGGTGTTTTACCAGTCACGTGCTTGGTTGTTCTTGATACATCCACTTTCTTTTCTTTGATTTGCTCGGGTCTACTCCCATCAGCATTTGGTTTATTTTATACCCTGCTGTTGTAACTGGAAGCAACAGGCAGTCCTAGTCCATGGTGTTAACAGCCCCCTGATGCCTCTAAGTTGCCAATATCTCTCTTCCTTCCACCTCCATCCGCCAATACCGTAGCCCCAGGCCCCACAAGTATCGAGGCCAACAAACCAGTAACGAACAATACCGCCCAACTTCTCTGCACCATACTCGCTTCTTTCAAATTCAACAGCTCCCAGAAGATGGCCCACAAGTCTACCGGGTTGTTGGTGATCCAATAGAAGACATTTGTAGGTGACAAACCTTGCAAGTGGTGGTCGTAGATCAAACCCGAAGAAATATTCAATCTGAGATACTAAGATAACCCCGCAGATACGACACAAGTAGTGCACACAGCGAATCGAATCCATTGCAAATCCGCCGTATTGTAGAAACGGTCGTACGGCGTCGTGTCTTTTGCGAAACTCGTCAACAGTCTAATAGGCGATGAAGAAAGTTGACCACAAGGGACCACATGGGTCCCCACGCTGATTTTGAAACCATTGGGAGAAGCAACAAGATAAAAGCGACCGTGGGAAGTAACGTGATGGCATAATTCAGCTGCAGCATCCGCTGGCCCAGCGCGGCGAAGACTTTGATGGGGGACCAAAGATAGTGTGCGAAGAGCCAAGGTACATGCATGATTTCCACACTGATTTTTCCTGGCTCAGTGGTGTTGCGCAGATTTGAAATCGGCCAGAGACAGATCCATTTCTCCTGTTGTGGGTGATTTGTTGGCATAGTTGTCTATGTGGCGTTTCAAATAGTTGGCTAGAGATGCTGCAGATTGGATGGCGAGACTTGTTTATCAAATTCTGGAGTGATCTGTTTGTTTCCTTTAAGGAGAATCTTGCAACTGACATTTCCTCAGGAGAACATACTTTGTGAACACTGTCACCTGTACAGACGATTCTGCTCAACATCCATTCTTCCAGAAATCTTTCTTCAACAGCAAGTAAAGCGCTAAGCTGAACTTCCTCCCATAGGTCGCTGAATTTCATTCGCGCAGTATCAGAGACAAGGGCCATTTCGAGTCCGGCGTGAGCGAACGCGTGCGTCTCTTCTTTGCTGTACCTGAGAATATACAGTAAACGGTATAGTTTCTCAAGTTTCTCCAATAGTAGCCAAAATACCGTGCCCTCTTTCCCGACCACCCAATAGCGGCACTGGTCTTGAGCTACTACCATCGTTATATTCGCTGTATCAAGACCATCTACTGGTGCTGAGACACCATAGAACCCTATATTTTGAGGTCAAAACTGCAAATCCGTTAGCAAGAAGAGAAAAGCTGGACGCAAGAGAACCCACAAATTCTGCTTCTGCAGATTTTCCTGATTTCCTCAGGTCAGAGATCTCTCATTTCTCTTTACGCATACACCATACTATTGACTCCATCACACCAACAACAACATCACTACAATACGTCGACCCATCCTCGCAAGTTATCAGTCCTTTCCCACTTTATAATCAATGCTACTCACTAAAATTCCTATATTCAGTCCTACACGCACACTTTTCAGTTCTCTGCCCATAGCATACAACAAAAATGAAATGGCATGAAATGCACTCTCCCCCGAGTTTCCGCAAAACCCTTGACTCCATCGTCGCAAGCTTTCTGCCCTCAAAATCCTGCAACACGGTGTCCCGGTTGGCGGCCGGGTGCTTCTCGAGATTTGCAAAGACACCGACTTGATCTAGGATGCGAGCACCACCCGGCCCAACGCCCACACCTGCTCCCGGATCAGACCGATCTTTTCTCCGCCTTCGAGCACCGCGAAATCGATGTTGGCGTGATGGAGACAATCTGCGAGAGTGAAGTCGGAGATACCGCCTCCTACGATGACCACTCTGAAGGCGCTCGTGGTGATTATTGAGGTATCTCAAGGGTATCGTGCGACCCGTGGAGAGTTTTTACTATCAGGTTAGGACTTGTTAACACGTATAGCTTTGTTTTCATTGCTTGGGTTGTAGGTGTTTGGGATAATACGATATCTGGAGGAACATAAAAGGTGAAAGCCGTCGCCACTGAAAGTCTTCCAATGCCGCCGCATCTGAGTACAGTACAACTGGCCAATTACGGTAAGAACCAGTTCCAAGTCGTTTCAGGAGCGGGCTTTCTATGTCGCTTTGCTAACCAGTTGGCTTTTTACCACGAGCAGGCCAGTGTGGTGTCGTCAAGCTCGCCTATCGCAATCTCGTGCAAGGGGCTCGAAGCGAGTGGATGTGCCCGTAAGATTGACTATGGGCGAACGTTTACGCAGGGGGAGATCGCGTAACCTTAGGGATTCGCCCGCTGAGTCCAAGAAATATCAAACGACTATTAACTGCCAGAAATTTCGAAAAAAGGGATGGAGCCTAGGAAACCACAATCATGGCATGCTTTTTAATTTTCGTTAGGCTCAAGCGGAGTGCTTGTTTGAATTGTCAGATCTCTCGGATCGCACGATTCTTGCAAGGTCACGCTCTCATCGGCCCAGAGCTCTTGACTCCCCATTCTCTCGAAGTAGTGAGACCTGCAGCTGACCGAAAAATGGCTGAGAGGAAATAGAAATGGTGGAAACATTGCCAGTCATGCTCCGCGCTCGTGGCTTGAGGGCTGGGCGGCTGTACGACCACACTACTTTTTAAGAAGGCCGATCCCCGGCTTTTCTGTTTTTAGAATTGGAATGCCAATTTATATATTCAATCAGCTCGAGATGTTTTTTGAGCGCGACAACCTCTTCTCAACTTCAGCTGGCTTTGTTGCGGTGTCTGCAACTACAACTTCAAATACTCAATTCTCGCCGTCCTCTTTGGTCATCAAGATTACCAAGGCCTCACTTTCAACCACGCCCAGTCTTTCCTCGCCAGCTGGGCAGAGCTCAACACCCTACTCCAACTTCACTACCCCACCATGGCAGGACCCAATATCTACTTCATCGAAAGGCCTCGCAATTGGGGCAAAAGTTGGGATCGGGATTGGGGTTACACTTGGTGTCTTGCTCTTTCTCGTTGCTCTAGCCATAGTATCTCTCTATCATCGCCGACGTCATCGTCAGCGTCCCCCAGGAAATAACAACACAGACCCAAAATCCAATATCCACGAGATGATAACGAATTCGAATCGGCACGAACTTCCCACGAATTACAACATCCACAAGACGGAGCAAGAGAATCAAGATGGCTTGACCACGCTTCGGGAGATAACCCTCAAGCCACACCAAGAGAGGCATGAGCTGGACCCCAGCAGCCGAAGTATGGGGTCTGAGTTACAATTGAACTGGTATCCTTCTCCTTCCGAGCTGGAAGCGACTCCATCTCGCAACCAAGCAGAGGCTGCTCTCTCTCCTCCCGGAAAACAGGATTCGGTCTCTCTAAAGCCAGTCGCACCAAAGCCCGAGCAGGGGAGCGATGAGGGAGGCACGCGAAATATACCAGATATAGTTGAGCGAATTAGGATTAAGAAAGAGAGGCTGTGGGAATTACAAGAGTTGCAGCACCTAGAGGAGATTGCAAACAGATATAATTCAGATAACGTGAGAATGACAGGCGGAGAAGGTAGTGGAAGTGGCACTGGGTAATCTTTCATTGAGATAATGGAGGCATTTGGAAGGATTTTTGAGTGTGATACGATGTTACAGTGTTAATTCATTATGTATACTCGAGTATAAGTCGCAAGATGCAGCCGCGAATTTTGCTACGACCCCGAAGGTCTGACCGCATAGAGCTATGTTGAGGAACAGCGTTGGGGAGGCTATTAATGCGCCAAGTCCTCCCAATGTGGAAGAGAAGTTCAATTTGACTTGGGTGACTGAGAGGAGTGTAGCCCTTTCCGCCCACCCCGTTGTGGGTTACGGAGCTTAGCTACTTGTACCTAGATTCAGTGCCTGCAGCTGAATTGGGGGCTCTGGATCTGACTGCATCAGTCTAGAACTTTCCTCGCTCTCATCTGTGCTGCTACCCCTCAGCCCATCCCCTATAAACAACCACCGGAAACCACGATGTTGACCGTCTGTGCCTTTCGTGTCAAAATCCCAGCCTCTCATTCTCGCCATTAATGTTGCGGCAAACACGAGAATGCCGACGACGTAAGGACCCCATTGCCCGATTTCGGTATACTGTTCGTTTTCTGGGAATTTGACTCTATGGGCATTTATTTCGAACTTGATGGTCACGAATAATGTGAGGAGTACTGCCAGGATGAGAGGGAGTATGAATGGAAGAATGGCGACGTAGTGAACTATGCGATTGTTTTGCGGTGTGGTTCTAAACCTGAGTCGTATTAGACTTGGAAGAGAAGAACATCATGGATTTGAGGAAACGTAAGCATATCGAGCAAGATTCATGACGTACATTCTGTGAAGCCTTTTCTCCAGCGAGTTTAGTCTGATGAACGACAAGATGAATATAACGAAGCAAATGAGCACCGATCCGACATGAAGTGGAATCAGAGCTGCCTCGGGAATAGACTGCAAAGCATCTACCGCCGAGGACCCAGGAGGCGGATAGTAAATCGACAAAGAGTTAAGAGCTCGAATACCATTATATGGAGACGGTGAAGGCGACCACAAGCCTACGAATCCCGACAGATCTTCAAAGCATGGGCCTGCGAGGAGGTGATTCGTGCCATTGGAGAGTAACACTGCTGTTGCTTTAGGCCAGAACCCAGCTGAGTCTTCAGTCATATTCGCTATTATGATGTTCGCAACGCCAAAAATTCCGTAAATAGGCACAAGGATTCTTGTGATCGGGAAGTCTGTGAACTGTATCTTCCACTTCTGGTACCAGGAGCCTGCCGGGATTATTTCCCTAGAATGTTCAGGCACGTCTGCGATTTCTGCAGCCCGAGGATCTCCTGGATCTTCTGTATCTTCGGGGTCGCCTACATGGGCTGCAGCTTGTGCAAGTGCTTGTCCTGCAGCATGTTTAGGTTCCCCTGGCTCGGCACGAAAAGAGAACCAAAGCAACGTCGGCAAGAAACCAACATGTACAACGAGTGTCGCCGGTTGAAAATCGAGATTATATATCATCGGGACCTTCGTGGTTGCTATGGTTGCTACAAACATAAACAGCACGCTGAACCAAAAAGTTGTGAGCCATATCTGGGACACGCCTCGTAATAGGGGAACATGAAGGGCAAAGGTAGCGATGCCTATGTTGATATAGAGAAGAAGTCTTTGGAGGAAGGTGAAGTAGCCGCTGATTGGAAATATGCACGCTGGAACAGGGCATTGAATTGAGAGAGGCTTCGCCAGAGGTAGCGAAGCGATCTCCTCGTACTTGAAATTGGCAAGAATGGATGCACGGTCGTCTGTGTAGACCGTGACATTTGAGCTTGCTAGCCAGCTAAGGTTCGACGAAAGCGGCCGCGAACTTTCTGGGATGGCAAGGCTGGGGAGGTTGAGAATGTTGAAAGCTGCAATGTATGTACTGAGGCCATTAGCGGGCTAGCGGACAAATCCGAGAAGCGAAAAGTGATTTTCTGATTTTCTGATTTTCGCGCCCACCCCCCCCACACCTCACTAAAAAAAAAAAAGTACAGCATACACGCCTTATTCTCGACTACTCCTAACCCCCCCTTAGCTTGCGTGGTCCGTAAGGCAAATTCCATGGATTACGAGGCATATCTCCATCTCCCTTACTCTCTATATCCTCTGTACTACCTATATTACTCGAATTATCTATATCTCCTTTATTTCCTTCTCCTCTAGTATTCTTATTCTCCTCTGCTATAACCTTCTTCCCTATTACCTTCTGATCTTATATCTGTCTTTATACTTGCTTTCTATATCTTATAGGCGGTCGAGGCTTTAGTATAAAGGGTTTTGCAAATATAGAATAAGGCTTTCTAGACTTAGTAGGATTAGTATTAAGTTAATAGAAAATATAGACTTTATTATTATTATTATATCTATAATTTATATAAGTACTATTAAATTCGCCTTTTATAACTATATAGTATTTAAAAGGGCCCCTTGGCCTCTTCTTATTACTATAAGTAATATAAGCTTAAGAGAATTCGGTTCTATAAGTATATATTAAGCTTATCTCTAGATTTGCCTTGCCTTTCTCTAATTTCTTTAGCTTCTTACCCTAGTATAGCTCTATCTCTTTAACTTTAGCCTTATTATTAATTTACTTTACTACTTTAGTAGTATTATTAGGTAATATAAAAAGATTAAAGTATTATTATAGAGAAGGAAAAGAAGGTTATATATAAGAAAAAAATTAAGAAATAAAGGAATTTATTAATTAAATATATTAATAAGAAAGAATATTATAAACTAAGTCTAGATTATTAGAGGATATATTATAAATATTATCTTTTTACTTATTTATAGCTTTATTACTTTTTTTACTACTTTTATTTTTACTAAAGCTATTACCTAAAGCCATATTTAATATATCTTTAATAAAGAAAAGCTTTAATAATAATATTATATATTAGAATTAAAGTTATTTTTGGAAGGAAATTAAAATTAAAGTTAAGGCTAAAATTAAAGCTAGTATAACTATATCTTTATTATTTACTTTTAGGATATAAAAATATATATTTAATATAATTATTTAAATCCGAATAAATTTATAATAAATAATACCTAAAAATAGAAATATTAGTACTTAATAGCCCTAGATTAAATATATTTAAATATTAAAAAAATTATAATTTTAGGTATTATAATTATAAAAATAAAGATATAAATATTTTTTCTTTTACTAACTTATAAAAGCTAAGATATACTAATAATAATTAAACTATACTTAACCTATATAGCTAGCTAATTTACTTTACTAATTATAAATAATTCGAGATAATTTAAATCTCCTTAAATTTCTATATATAGTTTATTATATAAACTTTTATATTTCTATATTTAATAATACTATAATTATAATTTTTAGATAAGAAGAATTCCCTTATTCTAGTATATATAATTATTAAATTAGAAAGGCTCAAGAATTCTAAGTAATACTTTTTCCTAAAAGATATATATTTTTAATAAATAGTAAAAATAAATATAGAATTATATAATAATATAACTATTTTATACTAGTAACTTTATTTTCTATAAAACTATAATTCTATTTTATTTTTATTCTAAAACCTCTATTTTTCTTTTATATTTTTTCGACTTTACTATTAATACTAAAAGCTTCTATCCTTTACTAATACTTTCTTTATTAATATCTTTATTAATATCTTTATTAATACCTCTATTAATACTAAAAGCTAGTATCTAATTACTTTATAACCTTCCTTTTTTTCTCCTTACTTTTTCTTATTTCTTTTTCTTATCCCTCTTCCGAATTCCTTTTCTAAACCCCTCTTTCTTTAATACTTCTTTTATTAATACTAAGAGCTAGTATCTAACTATCTTATAATCTTCCTTTCTTTCTTTTTACCTCTCTAAACCCCTTCTCTAAACCCCTTCTCCGAACCCCTTTTCCTTTAATACTTCTACTAATAATACTAAAAGCTAGTACCTGACTACTATTTCCGGGTCACTTTTATCTAGAACTTTTATACTATAAGTCTTTAATTTACTTGCTTCTTAGAAAGCTAAATTTTAGATTCCTCTTTCCCTTTTCTAATATCTTTTTCTTTCCTTTTCTAATATCTCTTATATCTTTGGGCTCTTTAAAAGTACTTTCTCTCGAACTTCTAAAAAAGAGGCTAACTTCTATTTAGATTCCTTGAATTTTAATACCTCCTTTCTTTCTTTAATACTTATAAAAGCCTTTAGGCTACTATTAAGTATCTCTATTCTTTATCTTGAAATATATACTAACTTATTCTTATAGGAAATAGCTCTTCTTTTTCTAATCTCGATTTCTTTAATATATACTTCTTATTTTTAGGCTATTTAGATATCTTCTTATTTGCTTTTATAAAATATATACTAACTTACTTTTTAGTTCTTCTTACTTTACTTTTTCTTTAATATTATTATATATATACCTAGTTAGTACTAGTTCTTATAACCTATAATTAGACTTTTTATTTATTAAATATCCGGGTATTTTATTTTACTTTTACTTTATATATTTTATTTTATATATTTTACTTTCTTTTTATTATAAATTAGAATTCAAATAGTATTTACCTTAAGCGCTTGTATTTTCGAGTATATAAGACTTCTATAGATCTTTCGGGATTATAAACTAGCCTATTTTAGTTTGAGAAAGCTTTCTCGAGAGTATTTTAGGAATTATAGTATTTACTATAACCCTTTCTAAAAATTAATATAATATGAGTATTTCTAGTCTATTCTTTCTCTATAAAGCAAACTATTACTCTAAGTTTATATAAAAGTCCTAATTATCTCTCGAGTTAAAGTATAAATACTTTTTCTTTTTATTAAATTAGGTATAAAGAATAATAGGCGCCTTTGGGCTAGACTATAATACTAGTTAAGTACTAAGACTTCTTATATCTATTTTATAAACTTATAAGATATATTATATTTAATAGGGCTTCTATATCTAATTACTTTATATTATAGTAAAATATCTTAGTATTATAATTAGAGAAGTTCTGCTTTATAATCTTATTTATTACTTATAGATTTTCTAGCTAATAAGTCTTGGCTAATAACTAAGAAACTTATTAGCTACTTTATTTAAAGTTTTTAGAAGCAGGAAGTTATTTTAATAAAAATTTAGTATTAAAAATAGATTTAACTAATTAATCTAAATAAGGAATTTATAATAGAAGTTTCTATATATAAGTAATTTTATATAATAAACTTAAGTCCCTGTCTCTGGTTATATAAGTAAGCTATATAAGAAACTCTTTCTGGCTTATTAAAGTAATTCCTGTTTCTAGTTATATAAGTTATAATATATAATAAATTTAAACTTTTCTTGGGTTATTTTTAGAAAAATTAGTAAGCTTTTCTAGATAGATTTATTAAGGCCTTGGTTTTTAAAGATATTAGTCTAGTCTTCTTACTTTTTTTTTAGGTAATAGTTCGGCTTTCAGAAATTATATATAAATATTAAAATAAATAAGGAAATATATTATATATATTTTCTGGATAGATTAGGATAGAATCTATAGGATTCCCGTAATATTTTTATTAAATTTATAATACTAGCTAGTAAAGACTTTAATAACCTTAATAAGACTTGAATTACGAGCCTGGCCCTTAGATTTCCTACTTAACTTAAAGATTAAATAGTTTATAATAAGTTACCTATTATAAAATATATTATATTCTTTTTCTAAAAAGTATTAGATACTAATAATAGTTTGGAAGCCCTAAAGCCCTTAAGACTCTTTGTAAGTTTCGGGCTTTAAGGCTTTTCTATAGCTAGCTAATTATATAAAGTCACGTGACTATATGGGTCCGGTATTAATATAAAGTAATTAGTAACTTTATATATAGATATAATATAGTTTTTAGTATAGCTAGTCTAATATATTATATATTTATATATAAATACCTATAATTTTATTATTATAATATAATATATTCTTAATATATTCTTAATATAAAAATTCTTTTATAATTCTAGACTTTTAGAAGTCTTTTCTATACTAAAGGCAAAGTATATAATACTATTTGGGTATTAAACTTAAAAGGCAAAGGATTATAAAGGCTCTAATAATTATAAGACTTTATAAACTTAAGTAAATTTAAATATTATAAAAGTATTAAATTTAGTAGCCTAACTTTTAAATTATATAAGAACTAATTAAAAAGTATTATTTTAAAATATTAATTATAAATTCCAAGTATATATATATTTATAAGGAAATAAGACCTAAAATAGTACTAAGCTAATTATAAGATATAAGAAAAAGTATATTAGATATTAGGTCTATTTTTTTTTAATTATCTTAATCTCGGTAAATATTTATATATAATTTATTAGATCTTATATAATAGGTTTACTTAGGAGAAATAAGATTAATTAGCCTAGAAAGTTTAATAATAATAATTAGACTTCTGTCCGAAGTAATAGGCAAAGTACTAGTAATAGCCCGGGTATCTTAGGTTTTATTTATAAAGCTAAAGATATTATATCTATTAATTCTCTATATCTAATAAGAAAAAGAAATAATATATTTATATCTCTAATATATCTATTATTATAAAGTAATACTTATATAGTCTATAAGATTAATTATAGTTCTCTTTACTAGAAAAGAGAATAATAAAATTAAAAGAGAATCTAATAGCCTACTACTATTATTATTATTATTACTATTAGAATTAGCTTTAGTAATACTTTTAGTAGTACTTTCTATATTATCTTATAACTTCTAGAGATTAGTAAATAAAGAAGAATCCTAGTATATATAAATTAATTAAACCTAAAAACAAAAAAGAGTCTATAGAAGAAATAAAAAATAAAAGCCAGAATTAAAAAAAAGAATTATATATATGCCTTTATTTACTTACTAGTTTATTAGATCTCTCTTTACTTTTAAAGTCTCACGCCTATATTAGCGGATAATACTTTCCTGAGCTCTCTAGGCCTTTTTAGTTTATTATTTAATTTCCTTAAGTTACTATATTTTCTAAGTATTTTCTAGCTTTTTATAAGTAACTTTAAGATAGAGATCTTTATATAAAATCTTCTTCTAAGTATTTTCTAGCTCTTTATAAGTAATTTTAAGATAAATATCTTTATATAAAGTCTTATTCTAGTATAAAATAAGAAAAATTATCTAGATATCCTTAGGGCCCAAATATATATTATAGTAGGAAAGATTAAAGATAGTTTAAATAGAACCTAGTAAGACTATAAGTTCCTGGGCTCTTTTACTATTAGGACTAGTATAGAATATTAGTTTATTTATATTATTAATAAATTAATAATAGCAAATAGATTTACTAATACGGAGAGAGAAATAAGAAAATAACTACTAAGAAACTATATTAAAAAAAATAGAAAAGACTTAATTATTTATTTTAAATTAAAAGCTATCTATTAAAAAACATTTATTAGAATTCGTATAAAGAATCTAGTAAAAGAAATAGGAGAAAACTTATTACTAACTTTTTTAGAAAATTAGATAGTTCTTTATTTAGCTCTCTAATTCTTTATATTATTAAATACTTACTTATAGAAAACTAGCTATAAAACTATAATCTATAATTTTATAAGACTAGATCCGGCTATATTTTAATTTATAAGACCTTAAAGGGCTCTAGATAGCCTATTACTAGTATAAAAAACTATAGCCTAAGTAGTAGCCTGAGTAACTCTTGTATTTATAGCCCGTTAAGCTTATATAATAGTATAAGTACTACTAGAAAAGTAATTAGGTCAAGTAATATAGCTTATAGTAAAAGGAAATATAAAAGGAAATAGTTATAGGGCTATTAGAATAGGAGGAGCCTGAAGTAAAGCAGAACTAGTACCTAGTAGCTATATAATAATAGTAATTAGAGAAATAGGTATAGTGAATATTCCTAAAAAAAAAATATAAAATAAGAATATTAAGAAAAGCTAGAAATCTAAAGTATCTCAGGTATAAAAAGGAAAGCAGATACGGACGGAATTCTAGAACTATAAGATTTAAGTCTACTAGTATTACTATTTTGGGTAAGTAAAGCAGTGGCCTCTATATTATATTTATTATTAGTAAATTAATAGAACTTATAATATTAGATATTACTATATTAGTATTTGGCTATAGAATATATAATATTAGAGCAGGTTTTAAGAAATAATAATACTATTTTAAGAAATAAGAATTTGAGAATATAAAATATTTATATAATAAATAAACTTAATAATTCTATTAGTATTACTCTTAAAAGTAAGAAAGAAGTTTCGAAAATAATATATTTAATAATAAATAATACTTATCTTAATATATCTAGTTATTTTATAACTAGCTTATTTAATTACCCTATATTATTAGAAGTATTACTAATAAAGGGCTATTTCTAGGTAAAGTCCTAGATTATTAGAAACTATATAGGTATTTTTCCGGCCTATATATTATTTATATACTTTATATTTATTAGGATAACTTATTTAAGGATCCTATTTCATATAATAGTAATATTATATTTACTAGTTAGCTTCTCGAACTCTTCTAATATTAATAGCTACCCTGAGGCTATATGTGCCCGGACTATATATTAAAGCTAGTAATAAGCTTAAATATATAGTTAGTTACTATTTTTATTAGTATTTCTTATATAAATATTAGCTATATTTATATTATAAGATATAAGCTTCTAATAATACTATTTTAGTATTTCTCTTAATAGAAACTTATTAATATTTATATTAGTATATAAGTAAACTATTTATATAAAGCTATATAAGATTATATTAAGAATTATATTATAAAGCTTTATATTTATAGGGCGACTCTAGTATTATATCCTGCCTAGGGGCCTTATATATAGTCTAAATAGCTTACTAGCTATTATATTAGGCCTAGATTTATCTTTTCTAATTCTATAAATATTTTATAAGTCTATAAATCTATATATCTCGTTTTAGATCCACTATATATAAAATACTAGTAAAGTAATCCGGTCCTATAAGTATTAGTAATTATAACTCCTGGTATAGGCTAGTTCCTAAAAGTAGTTCTATATATACTAATCGGAATTAGTTATATAATCCGGTACTATAATACTAGACCTAATAGCCTTAATAAAAAGCGGTATAATTATTAATACCTAATACTTTCTTCTAATAATAGAAAGAATAAGAAACAGATATAGGAAAACAGAATTACTTATATACTACTAGTATAGCTAGCTTTTCTAAAGCTCCTGCTACTAGGATTTAACTTACTAATTCTCGGTACTTTTCCTAGAAATAAAGTAGTTCTTTATATATATAACTAATAGATTAGTTATCTGCGAGAATATAAAGTATACTTTAGTAATAAGGGAAAGTTTAGAGTCTCGATTAGCCCTAAAGAAATAAGAGTAATAGCCTATTTAAATATAAATCTAAAGATACTATTATATAACTAAATAGATAGTCTAATTAGAGATTCTAATATATACTTAAATAATATTATATAAATAAGTATTAATATAAGTATATATCTCGATCCTAAATAGTAATAGCTTATTATATTTATTAATTAACTAAATCTAATCTGGCCTAGATATAATATATTCTCTTTTCTTAAACTATATTTATTATATTTATAATATAATTATCTCGGGATCCAGAAGTTATAATATTATATATAAGCTCTTTTTATAGATAATAAAATATATTAGTAAATAAGGCTCTAATTTTCTAAGCTAAGGCAAAATAGTAAAGTATAGAAAGACTAACCGGGTTATTAGTAAACCTTATTAACGGAAATATATATATAAATACCGCTATTTATAACCTATAACCCGCTTATTATTTAGCTTATTCTATAGTATTATAAATAGTTACTTATTTATTACTTACTTATCTATTATAATTATATAGTAAATAAGACTAAGCTTCTTATATATATAAATAACTCTAGTAATTAAAGCTATATAATTATAATTCTTAAGATCCTTAAGTATTTCCTTATTTATATTTCCTAGATAATATAGAATTATAATCTATATATAAAGGAAAGATATATCTATTATTTAAGTATATATTTAGATATTCTATTCTTATAATTACTATTAGACTATATATAAATTAACTAAGATTCTATATAAATCTTTTAATCTATTTGTAATTTCTTCTTAATTGTGACCGCGGGGCGTGTGGGGGGGGGGGGGGGGGAGGAGGGATTCCGTCTTAAGGATTAATCCCCATATCGTGGGTGTGCACTGAAAGCCGAACCTATTGCGTTATTATCATTCCGACGAACGAACAGATTAATTGCTTCACTCTCGGGTATGATGGTGCACTTTAGCATGGTTTTAACCCGGCCCATCATATTATATTTTAACTCATAAATAATGTTTAATGATATCAGTCCATTGATATCCGATATTCGGGAAGATCCTATTATGATAATTATCCCAGATTATTGAAGGAATTATAAGGGCTCTAATCTTTATTCTTTTAATTTGATAATTTTATTGATTCTTCGGCCGATTAATGAAAAAAAATCATTAATTAATTATTTTAGTATATTCTCATTATAATGAGCTCAAAAAATCATGAATCGAAAATCAGAAAATCAGAAAATCACTTTTCGCTTCTCGGATTTGTCCGCTAGCTAGCTGTGGGCCTCAGTAGTATGATGCGTCCAGGCAAAAGGCTTCGAGACCATGACTGCCCATAACGAGACTTTGAGGAAGCAAACAATAATACTTGTTCTCGGAAATCACGGCCAGCCAAGAGGTGCGTTGCTTGATCATTAATTTGGAGAAATTGATATTTCAATGATCGAGGAGGTGTTTCTTGACACTGAGGCTGAGACACTTTTGCTTTTTCTACCGGAAAGGAGCTTCGTGGCTGACTCGAGCTGAAAGCCATCTGTTTGGCGATCACAGTTCCAGTGGTCTAAAACGCCATACACCCCTGGATGTGAGCCAACTTGGCCCGCATTCGCCACTTGGGTCACATAATTTTTGCACATTGCACGATATTTTTCTCAAAAATATCAAGAAGCCAATAGTGCCAGTACTTTGTCGGAACAATACACAGGACAAACGAGGACATAGCGAGGAAATACGAGCAGACCACATTTTTCTATCCCTCATAAGCAGTCTTCAGTGCCGCGATATCAATTTTCTTCATTCCCATCAGGGCCGTGAACGCACGCTGCGACTTGGCCGTGTCGGGATCGGAGAGCATCCCACCAAGAACCTTCGGAACCACCTGCCACGAGACACCGTATTTGTCCCCCAACCACCCACATTGCTGTTTAGCAGGATCGCCACCATCTGAAAGCTTCTGCCAGTAATGATTGAGCTCCTCCTGATCCTCGCATTCAATCTGAAATGAAATGGCTTCGTTGAATTTGAATAGCGGTCCTCCATTCATGGCCACAAAGTTCTGGCCATTGAGCTCGAATTCGACAGTCAAGACGCTTCCTGGCTCTTGCCCGTGAATTTCCTTTCCTGCTTCGCCGTAATATTGCGTGCGGGTGACTTTCCCGTCTTTAAAGAGGGAGGTGTAGAACTTTGCGGCTTCATCTGCTTGGCCGTCGAACCAGAGGCAGGGTGTAATTTGAGATAGCATTGCGTGCGGAGGATTTGGTCGTTTGGCGGAATGGTTGATCAAAGATTACGAGATTGTCTTGAGTATAGGAACGGAAAGTATTGTCATATTTTACCTGAGAGAGCGTGTGTTCGTAACCGTCTTTAAGTAGTGGTTTCTATTCACGCTACTCTATATTTCTGTGTGTAAGAAATGCGGTTGCAATTGTTGCTGCCTTGAACCGATCTGCGTAGAGGGCGGTCCTGAAATTCTCCCACTGGCTAAGTTAAGCCATTTCGATTTTTTACGACCACCCCGCACCGTGAAATGACTCATCCTGCATAACGGCGATCGTGATAATTTCTTATGGAATCACGGTCCAATATCCTCCCGATGTATCTCAATGTCACGAAAGCCGACATCGATTCAAAGATAAATTGCAAAATTGTAATGAAGAAGCGGAAATATTTCGCCCAGAATTGAAAGAATAACTTCTTTACCTCTCCGTGAGAAAACTCCAACATATGGGACTACAAGTGTACTAAAAACTCATTCAGCCAAGGAGCCATCACACCACTAGGCTCTGGGTCAACGGGTTCTGGTGCCGTACCAATTCACTAACTTGGAACACGTCATTGAGTGTTTCTCTGCCGAAAGTAGAGTAACGATCAGGAACCACATTCGATTTCTTGAACTGCCCTCCTAGTTCGGCCTTAAATGTACCGAATTGAACGTGCCAAAGCATCGATCGCCAAAAATTGCGGGGTTTGCCTCAATTTTCTTTAACCATCCCTAATCGTATTGGTGGTTGAATTTGTGAGTGCTCCGGCACCTGAATTTATGTTCGGCTTGACTTGAATTCATCGGGAAGATGTTGAATTTTCAAGAGGAGGAACTTGGCAAGGTAGACGGTATCGAGTAGCGAAGGAGTAGAGTCTTGGAAGACACAAACCTCGCCGGACGACAGGAATGACTTAACTGAACTTATTCCTAAATGTTGGGGCATCCTTTTCTCCGGCTTAAAGAGGACAACATGCCTGATCTCTTTGGTTTGTTTTGTTCAATTCAAAAGGTCAGCCACTCTCCTTCCTCTCTGGAGTTCTCGTACAATGAAGTCAACAATTTTCTTCCCTTCGGTGGCCCTCTTCACAGGTGCTGTCAGTACTCCCCAATCGAATACAAAAAATTGGACTCATGACAATTGCCACTCCTCGCCAGCTCATCTAATCCCAACAATCTTCCTCGCCGGGGATAGCACCGAAGCTCCAGGTGGAGGTCACAATGGAACGGAAGGTTGGGGTCAATATCTCCAATACAGCTTTGATCTCAGCACTGCATTCGTCAACAACTCCGCATTCGCGGGACGAAGTGCTCGAAGTTTCACCAGAGAAGGACGATTCCAGGCAATCGCAGACCTAGTGAAGCCCGGAGATTGGGTGATCATTGAGTTCGGACACAATGATGGAGGAAGTCCATATCCCGCAAGTTCGGATACAGGTCGGGCGGATTGTCCTGGTGCTGGTCAGTTTCACCTCCTCTTCTTACAATTGACCTCACTGACCACAATGATAGGAAATGAAACTTGTTCCACAGTTTACGCGTGCGTAGATATCTCTATTGTGAGTAACATCTAACCTGACATCAATGTAGGAACAAAACCGAAATCGTACAAACTTACCCAACTTACTTGATTAATGCATCAACAATCTCTCTCTCCAAGGGGGCAAAAGTAATCCTCTCCTCACCAACACCAAGCAACCCTCGGGGAAAAGGAAACTACTCGTACACTCCCTCAATCTTCAACTACTACTCCTCTCTCGCCACCACAGAACTGGGAGGTCCTAAGTCTGGAGTCTATTTCGTAGCCCATGGACAATATGCCGCTCAGGCTATGAGACTGCTTGGCAAGGAGGTTGTAGATGAGAATTACCCGATGGATCACACGCATACGGCGCCATACTTGGCGGATGTGGTGGCGAGGAGCTTTGTGTTGGGATTGAAGTGTGGGACGGCGCCGTTGGCGGGGTTAGTGATGAATGCGACAAGTAGGTTGGAGGGAGAGTTGTTAGGGACATGTTTGAGTGCTAATGAGACAGTGCCGATCTGATGGGGAAAGAATGATAAGAATGCTGATGGTGAAAAGCCTCGACACTATTTCCAAGATTCGCAAATACCCCACCCCTATCAATTTGACGATAGCAAATATCTTCAAATTCCGGGCTTTCAGCGTCCCAACCCTTTTCTACAATGAGAGCTCAGCAATTCAGTTCCAGAGTGAATTTCTCAGATATAACGTTTCGCTGCATGTTGCTTCAATGTCCCAAGCTTTGTGGTACAATGAAATGAAAGTCCATACGCCCCAGCCTCGAGTGAACAACCGAGTCGGGAAATTTGTTGTTTATTTCCCTTGCATGATCAATATGAATTTTCGCATGCGGTCTCCGCGCTGCAACCTTTCCTCTTTGTCCATGAAGTCTGGGACCCCGGCCGCAGACGCTCTGGCCAGCCTCGCCTCCTCATCAAGCTGGAATACCTTTAGCAAGCTATCCACAAATTGCGTCCTCGCGCTCTCCATCTCCTCAAAGTCGACCTCGTGATTCTTACTTCCCGCACCTCGAGACCTTATAAGATTTCTAAACCAAGTAGAAATAACCTTGTCCAAGCATCTCCGAAACTCAAGCAGCGCTTCCGCAGCCTTTCCCGAGACCGTCAACGGAATCCACCCATCCACACTCAGTGTTGATTTCCGGATCGAAGGACCTTGTACTTTGTCTCGTGTCAGCGGGCCCCCAAACAGCGCAACCATGAGAGGGGAGACCTCGCTCGTGTCTCTCAGAATCCTTGTGCCATAATCCATCTTGGTGATCTCGGTGTACAAGTGCAGGTCGCCGGGCTTGTATCTCGGCACCTCCTTCCCTTGGACCCCGTTTATTGACTGCGAGGAAATCATGGCAGTGGTTTCTGAGCGTATTCTTGAGAGTCTGTGGCTTACTACCGTGCTGATATGACCCGGGAAACAAGATAATGCGAGAGCCTTTATAAGGGCAATGTTCTCGCTGTTCTCATTCAGTGACGGGGGGCCACGCTGCGAATCCAGGATTCCTGATGGCTCAGGGTAGGGAAGTAGGGTTGTAGAGATAAGTGTGTCTTCCACATTACGCATTGTTTGGTCGATTGCATCGAACTTGTCTGGGTCGATACACGCCAATGTTTCACAATTGTAGAATGCTTGGTAAGCACCCTCTAGATCTCTAAGTCGTCGTGTCTTACGGAAAGCATTGATTGTAGTGATATGGTCACTCTGAGAGTTGAGGCTTAATCTGAGACGCTGTTCTTTCGAAGCTCGGTCATAGAAAAGGCCCTTTCCTGCAGTAGCAGCGCTCAGGAGCAGGAGAGCGTCGAAACACCGAAAAGTAATGCCTAGCACCACCAGCTTGCCCAACGAAGGATGCAAAGGTAATGTTGAGAGGACCTGGCCCAGTCCCGTGAGTTGTTCATCGGCGTCGAGAGCGTCGAGTTGCTGCAAAGCTTCGATAGCAGAGTCAACTGCGGAAGCTAGTGGTGGCTCAGGGGCAGCTGCAAGAAAATCACGGATAGGAAATTGGGATGACTGTTTCTTAATTTGAAGACAGACATCTTGTAAATCGGCCCGGTGGATTTCTGGCGTCTGAACGGCTTTGAGGGAATCACGACGCGTACGTGAGTAAAGTGCATAGTAATTTCCTTTCTGCACTCGTCCGGCTCGACCGGCGCGTTGCTTGGCACTAGACTTGCTGATCCAGACTGTTGAGAGCGAAGTCGTCTTCGAGGCGTGATTGTAACCATTTTCTCGATGCTCTCCACTGTCAACAACGTGCTGCACCTCTGGAATTGTAATCGAGGTTTCTGCAATGTTGGTTGCGATGATGATCTTCCTACACCCGGCTGGTACACCTGCAAAAGCCTCCCATTGCTTGGCACGAAGTCCAGAATGAATCAGACATAGCTTGAACTTTGAAGTATCGGCAAAGTTTACGCCCAGTGGTCGCTCGCCCAACAGGAATAGATTCAAAGCATTGATCTCCGCCATTCCAGGTAGGAAAGCAAGGATCGCACCATCACTTGGGGTAGTTTTTGCCAGGTGTGCAATGGTAGCAGCCATTAAGTCCAACGGAACAATGATTTCTGAGGCCTCCAGAGTTCCTGAAGGGGAAATCTCAAAAAGACGCTCAGCTTTTTCATATTTAGATGTTTCTCTGTTTGTAAGGAAGTGGAGTTCAGCCTTACTATGCGACTTGACAAGCTGTTCTTTCAAATCGTCTAGGAAAATTTCCATCACGGGATATGTTCGACCTGGAACATCGAGCCAGGGACATGGAATATTTTCACCATGGTCGCCAGCAATCTCGAGATACTCAGAGAAGAGTGCTGGGTCAATAGTTGCGGACATTAACACCAGTTTCGGTACTGGCTTCCGAGCTTTTCGTCTGGAATCTAGAGCCTGCTTCAGAATTGTCAAAAGAAAATCGGTCTGAAGATTTCTCTCGTGCACTTCATCAATAATGATATGAGAGGTGGTGTCTAAAATCTCATCTGAGCCAGTCTGTAATTGCCGAAGAAGAACCCCCGTTGTGCAGTACGTAATGCTTCCACCCGGTCTCGGAAGTCTCTTGTCATATTTGATGTGGTAGCCGACAGTGTCTCCAACCGATTCGTTGCGCTCACTGGCAACGCGGTGTGCAACTGTGACTGCTGCAATGCGTCGGGGCTGAGTGCAGATGATGTTGATATTTCCACCAAGTCCGTCTGCTATTCCGTCTTCGAGGATAATCTGGGGAACTTGAGTAGTTTTGCCGCTTCCGGTTGCGCCCAATATAATACAGGACTGATGATTTGCGACGATGTCTTTGACCTTTGCTCGAAACTGGGTTATAGGCAAGTCTGCTTTCCGGCTCTTCAACGGTCCCGTTTTGGGGTTGCGAGAAAAGGTAAACTGTCGCTGTTTGAGGAATTTGCTTCGTTCTTTAATGTTTTCAGGGTCCAATCTGAACTCCGTGCGGGGTTTGCGTTCTCTGTCTAAGATTTCTTCAAAGTTGGAGTCTTCAATTTTGATTCCAAACTCGACAGACTCCTCATCCATCTCATCCAGACTCCTGGACACGGCAGCTTCATCCTCGAGAAGCTCAAGACCAACGCTCTCTTGATTAACTGAGAACCATGAGAACTGACGGGCAGCCTCCACCATGGCTTGTTCAACTTCTTTTTCTATAACGAGAGGAATTGGCCAAAGGGGCTTCACTGATGTGATAACACTCCCTCTTTCTACTTCCACAAATTCCTGAAGCAATGCAGGGTCTCTCTTGGCCAGGGTGATTGCGGCTGCGAGAGCCGTCACCCTTTTAGCAAGCTTTCGCCGAGGACAAGGAATCACGACTGGTTCTCCGACGACTTGGCCGTCAAATGTGAAATGCGACCAACGGGGAGCTTTGCCAAATAGCTCAAGGCCACCAATCTTCGCCGAAGGTTGTATAATAATAAAGTTGCTCGAGGGATCCTTAAGCATTCTTTTCTTGTGGAAGTATCCGAGGAACGTCATGGCGTTTGCAGTATTCAGACCCGCAGAATCTGTACCTATCATAACCCTCTCGCCAATCTCGCGCAGCTTGCCACGGTAAATATGCTCGAAATATTCATCCACAGCAGCCTTGAAGCGCAAACAAGCCACCGCCTCGGCCTGACGAATAGTGCGACTATTAGATTTGACATGAATGCCACATTCTGGAAGCTCAATAGAGACCTCAACCCTCCTATTCCCGAATAGAGGATGTTTCCGCACGTTGACTTGAGGGATGGTGGGGATCTTGGCGCAGTGGTTGTACACAAACCCAACCGTGTTCTGGGGGGCCTTGAGTTGCTCCTCGCTGGGATCGTCGGGGCCAGTGATAAAATCATCGGTCAACAAGTTCTTATGATGCAATTTGATGATAAGATCAATAGCAGCAACTCTTGAAGCGACCTCGGCAGATGGAGCAGAGGCGGATGTTGTGATCCTTCCGGTGCCTTCTATAACTGCAATCGAATAGGAGCATCTCCGCAGGATGCCGCCTTTGGCTAGAGCTATTGTTTTCCTTATATCCCCTAGGAAGATCTGCTGGTCCTCGATGAATAGGTTGGGCTCAATGAAAAGGTTTTCGGGAGCGTTGGGGTAGCTTTCGCGAAGATCGAGAAGAGCTTTGGCTAATTCTTGAGCCTTTGCGTTTGCGTTCCAGCCAGCACCCTCTCGTGATTTCTGGACCTTCTCCTTCTTCTTCTTCGAGGGTGGAAACAGCTGAGAATTCTCTTTCTTCCAGTTGGCCTCTCCAGAACCGCATTGGATTTCGACCGCGGACTACCGTTGGACTATCTCTCCTTCGCTCTGCAGACTCACAAATTGCCTCGCAGATGAAAACGCCAGTGAGAGTTGGTAGCTTTGCCACGATGGCCGCGTTGCCGGTGTGTGTCGCCATGTTTTGATTGGGATCGAGGTGAGCACGCCCTAAAGACATTGAGCTTTGCTTGATGGTGATCGAGTGTAAACAGCATGACTACCTTTGCGCCTTCCACGACCCGCAAACGGATAGTAGGCTTCATCCACAACCACGAGGCATCACCTCACGTCCTCGGGACATTGGACAATGACAATTGGCGTTGAGTCAAGAGAGGTAAAGAAATGTGCAAAATAAAAGCCACCCCACGCTGCAAGGCACCTGAGGCTGGGTGTCTGGTGACTAAGCAGAACAATATTTCTCCACTCTTTCTCAAATTACACTTTTTGCTAATTTCCATCAACAACTTTCAGACTCGCCCGTAGCCTGGATTGCATGGAAAAGATATAGATTCGGATATTTCGAAAGCATTTGGCGTCATCCCCCCACCCGATAATCATTATGCGGTGCTGTTTTCGGCTAATTCACGGGTATAGGTGCAATCGATCAGGATTCGGGAAGTTACGGACCGACAACTGTCAAGAAAGAGAGCCCTCTGGCAAGCCTCATATGCTGCTACCGGTATTCCTTGTTCTCTGCATCATTCAACAAGGAAGGAGAGATCACGTCTGGTACTTTTTATTCTATTAATTCTCCGAGCGCAGACCAGCTTCTCTGAAGCAACTTTCCGAGTGGGAAGATTGCGTCCTCTGATTTATTCATTTCCAGCTCAAATGGCACTGCCTTGAGAGTGCGTGCATTGATTGTTGTTAGAACCTTTTCAACTGTTCAGAGCCCAGGGGAATGCATGCAACAGGGGCTCGACGAGCGTCGCCTTAAAGGGGCCAGTCACGTGATACACGCGCATTATCTCGGTTGCATCTTCAGGCACGAGTCGCAGGGACCAAGCAGTGGCAGTTTCGAGGTGTTGCCTTTAAATCTTCTGAGAGAACACGACGAAGCCAGAGATATGCTGAGAGACATATTGGGGAGCCCGGGACAAGAGCAGGGATGGTCTGACAGTTTGCCTAGGGCTGGTCTTACTTTGAGGAAGGGAAGAGCGTCCCGGAGAATCTCAGAGCGGTTGAGTGGATGGAGCATTATTGGGCAGTGCCAGCAGTGTTTAGTGCATCTTTAGCAGTAATCTAATAGTTGTGGTTGATGAGCTCTCTGGGAGTAAATTTTTTTTGTTTAAAAGTTGGGCTAGGAATTAACGACGAATGTGCAATAGATGGCCTCGTTTCTGTCTGGCAATTGAGCCTATATATAGTGCATTATCAAGCCAACGAATTTGCAGTTGCCTAGTCCCTTGATTTCAATTTCGAGGAAAAGTTTCGAGGGAAATAGCCTCTCCCTCCAGCTCATGGCCCAACGATTTGGTTATGAAAATTCTCTTGATCTCCAGCAACCACCTTCCAAGATGAGACTTCAAAGCAGTGCGTCTCGATACAACCAGCGTCACAATTGCCAGCAACAATGTTGTTGCTTGATCCAGGTCATAAAGTGACGCTGATGTCACAGGCCAGAAACTGTGATTCCCAGTTTTGACCAAAACAATGGAGAAAATAATCTGAACCAAACAAAATACCGCGACTCGTTCCCGCCATGGCCGATAAGGAGAGGTGAAGTGCCCTTTTACATATTCGCCTTTTTCATAGCATCCACCTTTCCATGTTTCGTCACCAACGATGCCAGAATAGATAACGACAAAGCACAATAGGCTGCAGACGGATATCAAAGCGCCCGAGTTAACGTACGGTTCTCCACTAATGGCCAGCAGAATACCATAACCCATCCAGCGAGGAATTCGTAGCATGAGCAGTCGTTTGTTCAGAAGGTAGCTGTCGTCATCTCCCGCATCCGCCAATTCGAATAGTTCGCTGCCTTCGCGTTGGACGGAGAGTCGCTTCATTGGGCTGAATATGGTGAAGCTGGCGACGACCACGAAGACGGCAGCTGTGAGACTGGCGTCGATCTTACAACGAATAAGACGGATGATGATATCCATGCACGCCACGAAAGGATAGGCAATGACTCCAATGAGTTCCAAGTCGAGATCTAGCCTTTGAGCGTTGTTCGATGCACATTTCGCATGTGCGATAGACGAGATAGCCACGACCCAAGAGACCAGGAGCCATGCCATAGAAGCTCCCGGACCATAGAAACCAGACACATTGGCTTCTGGCGCCAATACCGCAGCTAAAGTCTCGTTCCGGGTCATGCATCGCGGTCTCTCCCCAAATATCAGATTGAAGTCCACCCCTCCGGTCATGCCCGCAGAAAGCATGACTGCATCCCACCAGTTTGACCACACGGATGGATTCCATAGGGGTGGTGTGAGGGCGACAAGTAGAGACAAAATCCCTGGAATCGATAGGGAGTATGTTAACATGAACTAGACTTTGTAAGCTTGGACTTGCTTGCGTCCTAATCATCCTCATAGCTGGCCTACAAGTTAAAGAACGCATGAGCGCCACTCTGTCGCAAGTTGATATTCGGCATTATTGTTGTCTTCTTGACTTTGCCCGTTTTTTGTATCTCCGAATTTCTGAGCGCGGAGTCAATTTTAATATGCTCACTAAGGCTCCTTATCATGAAAATAACGAACGCTAGTTGTGAGAATGTTTAGCAGAAGGGAAGAGGCGACAACTAGGAGGGGTTTCGACATTGTCAAGGGACCTTGAAACTTAAGTCTGCATCTTGGGGCTGAGGAAAGAGGGCTGTGCAGCTGAATCAATATTTTGCCGCTTATGGCTTGAATGTTTGCACATTAATGGTTCGTTAACAGCTGTCAACCCCACTGTAGCCACAGCCTTTTCTTAGCGAAAATGGTGCTTCCTTGAACGGGAAACCCGCCTTCAACGTCACGAGTTCTACAGTGGAAATTTATTCCTGGTGCTCATTATGGCAACACATATTAGTGCCCAAAAAGGGGGTAAATGGTATTTCACCGTGTTGAGTGACTCGTCTTGTGATCAACCCTGGAATCCCCCCACATGGACCCAGTTGCTCCGACAGACTTCAGACTTTGGTGAAACTTTTTGCATCGTAACTTTCTAATTAGCCTTTTACCATGACTGCATGCGTGCGCCTTTGACCTTCTTTCGTCCCTTGCATGTCAATATGAAAGCTTCAGTCGCCACTAAACAATGAGAAAACTGGCGGACTGGGCCTGAATATCGGAACGCCGAGTTTTTATCTTTAATCCATGGACCACAACTTTCAGTTCTGAAATTAATCAAAAGTCCCATACATAAGTATAGGCAGCCTTTAGTGGTTGAGTCCCTAATTTTCACAATTGCCCCGTCTCCCATGCCCGAGATGGCATTAGTAGAACTGACCAAAGAAATCAATTACTGGTTCAACTACAGAAATCCAGGAGCTTCTTTTTATGGTCATTGCCAAGGACGCAAGATGCACCGTCTATATGACTCTGTGGAAAAGAAGCCTACTGCAAAGCCGGAATTCGGAGGTTTGGGGGGGGGGGAGAAAACTTCAGACATAACATCTTGGCAAAGACCCCGCCAAAGTCTGATTGAAACGATGTAGACGCAGGTTCACGTATGACGGGCCTCGGATCTACTACAGAGGACCCATTTGCCATCTTAAAGGCCACTAGCAGGTGCAAAGACGCGATTAGAAAAGTTGTGAATGTGTTTAATTTCGCATAATCTAGATAACCTGGCATTTGCTAATCTTATTTCCACAATCTAAGCCGGCGTGAAAAGGGGAAAGCCCAATCATAATAACGAGAAGTCCAGATTCTTTTTCTGTAATACAGATTCGAAATGCCATAATTTTGTGCGCAAGAGTTCAATGTACCCTTTGTAATGTCTGTCCCTTTCAGTTTTGGTAGGTGCTAGGGTGAATGCGTCCTTGAGTTTCTTTGTCACCAGTTCGGTAAGTGTGGTTAACCATTTGTCACGGCCTGGACAAGTTGTGGAAGTGGAATGTGGGTGTGTTTGTGTATATTGTAATGAATGATCGTACCCTAAGGGCGGTGAAGAAGCTATATATACGCCTGTGCGCAGTACGTGACACCATTTATGAACTTCAAAGACTTTTTCAATCTCGAAACCTTTCCTTGTTCCTCGATCCCGACTTTTTGAATATATTTCCTCTTAATATATCTGTTGAGAATGTATCTTTAGCGCTCGAGTTATAAAGACGTTGTATCTAATAATGGCAGCTAATTTCCCAACCCAACAAGAAGTCGACAGGTTCAATTACTGGGAAGGTTATAGAAATGTGAATCCACAAAACTTGGATGCTCAACAACTTCACAATCTAAGGCAGGCCAATTATCAACGACCTGCGCCCCCTCCTCCACTCGTAGTGCCACTATTCGCCGGATGGGCTCCGGCAGTTGTTCCCGCTCCTCCAGCACCGAATCTGGCGCAACAATACTTGATACAGAATTTCTTGAATTCTCAACCTGCTGAGTTAACATCACTACAAGATTCAGCTTTGGCTGCCAATTGGAGCAGCACTAAGCTTCTCGGATCCGGTGCGGGTGGTTTGGTAGGATTGTGGGAGTGTAAGTGTTCGGGGAAGAAACCTCGTTCCTATTCGTGACCCCCTTGAGACACTATTTGATTGAAATCCACCAAATCTCTGGGTGAGAAATTCTGTTGCAAGTGTTTGCTAATTTTCGCGTTACTCAGATCGCGGCCCACAAGCTGGGAAGCCAAGAACGACGCAAGTAGCCGTAAAGGAAACAACAAGAGCTCTCCCAGATAGAGACTTGGAGAACGAAGCCAGAATGATTCAGCTTCTTGAACGAGTGAAAACAGATCACTTCGTAAGTGAGATCCAACCTCCGCAACGGAATCCCGCAGACCATATCCAACGACTTATCTTGGAATATTGTTCAATGGGGGATCTGTATGGATTAGGAGAGCGGCTGATAACAAGGTAAAAACAGGTTTTTGTTTTTATGTATTTTTTTTGGTTTGAGGAGCTAACGTTCGTCTTGCTTCTGTGTAGAGGGGAAGCACTGACAGAGTTATCGTTGTGGGATATATTTGTAAGTTTCAATTTCTCGGAAAATTACATTCTACTTCAGATGTCTGGCGAGCTCTTCCTTCAGAAGCTACTCTGTACCTACCTATGGGAGAAAGCTGGTGTGCCAACCCCCCGCCATTTTATTTGAAATGCGATACTGATGCAAGGCCTTGAAATAGAATTGTTTAGTAGATGGAATTTGCGTGCTAGAAGATGGCGGGGAACCATTCTTGGATGACCGCGGAAGAGGGGCAGTATTTGAAAAGCAGGGATGGCAATCGAAGATTCACTTTGATGTCAAGCCCGAGAACAGTAAGCGGTTTATTCCTTTACTTGAGTCGATCTAATGTTTCAAACTACAGTACTTGTCAAGGAGCAAAGGGAAGACCACTTAAAGACCCCACTTTCCATGGTGAGTCCAGGCCAAAGGCTTTGCAAAAAGTTCAAATAACAAGTACTTTAGTTCTTAGATTTCGGTTTCATGAGCGATTTGGACCGATTTGGACTAAAAATGATAGGGAAGGAAAGAGGTGAATAGGAACCCCCAGGTTCTATGCACCGGTAAGTATATCACAGTATATCATATTGCGTCCTTGATTTCTAGCATCTGAGAAAGATTCCTAATCTAACCTAAAATTCAAGGAACAATTTTCGAAGGAGTGGGATGCGCTCAATTGGAATGCCGGAGGTGTTGCGGGTGAATAGTCAGTCCTTCCGTCCTCCAGGCCATCACTGTTATAAAGACGGCTGACGTGTATGATAGCAGCACTAAGACCAATGTCTGGGGTGTGGGTTGCTTAATGTAAGTGTTTCTCCTAGGCCCAGTTGTCCTCTTCAAATTTCAAGATTTCTACGCATCCGTCATCCCTTAAGAGGGAAGGACCACCACAAGAATCGTCTAATTTTCCATCTCTCCTCTTCCGATAATACTGACTCCGAGATCATCAGGTATAGCCTTGTCTCCCTACACGAGGCATCACCTGACCCACAACAACCCTTCCAACCCACATGGACATTGAACGGAAACGAAGCACAAGGTATAACCTACGGACATGATCTGAACTCCTTTTCTGGATTTTATAGCACCCAATCGACCGATCTCGTACAAGAATGCCTCTATCACGTCCCAGCCCATAGACCAAGTGTTCTACGTTTAAAGCGCATGGTTGCCGAAGGGAAAATTGCTGCAGTGCGAGCAGGCGCAGTAGCAGATAGCTGGGCCATATTCTTGCCATCACTTCCTCCGGCTCCAGCCCCAGCCCCAGCCCCAGGCGCACCACCTGCAAGACCAGGACGGGGACCTCGAGCGCATAGGTGCTGTGGCCAGAACAAAGACAGAAAGCAGACTAGATGCAAAAATAGGGTGCTTGACCCGAAGAGTCCATACTGCTTTAAGCATGGTCCTAGACGACCCTGAAATTCCCCCGTTAGTCGCGTGGTGGGGAAGTGTCATAGGTCGGAATGGAATAATAAATATCTGCGCTGGCTGGACGAGATGGGGCTGATGATTTTGTTTTACATTGCCATATAACTAGAACCCAGAAGGATTGTAATTCCAAGCATTTATTCCCGCTTTTCTCTTATGGCAGTTCCCATTTGGATTTCAATTAATATACCCTTCGTAAAGCTCACAAATTCTATGCATGTTAGATCATTTGCTTACTCCAAAGCTCAAAGTCGACAGGGATATTTCTTGACTGGATAAGTACTGAGATATCAATACGAGTTTCAACTTGAAACTTCGTAATAAGTCTCGAGTTATTATTACTAACGCATGACTATTATCCTATAAATAATCAGATAGGGCTCACGATCGCAAGATTGCAATGTACTGTATTGCTCTCAAATAGAGATCCCCAATCAAAAACAGGTGCTCCCGATAATAACAAGTTTGAATATTTATCTTTAAAATTTGCGCCGACCTTATCCCGAATCGTAGGAGAAGCAGTGCGGAACGAGGAGAATTGTTCAATCTGATGACAGTCCTGAGTTAGTCTGGCATCTGGGACAGGTGCTTCAGGTTCTTCCCGTGTTCTCCTGACCGCTCGGAGTAGGGGTGCTGCTTTCTATATATATGTTTGGGTGACGGTGAGATTTGTTGGCACTTGCCAAAGAGGTGGTAGGTGTAGTGCAGGGGATGGCCAGTGCATGGGTCCTCAAGTGGCTTGCAAGAGTGAAGGAGACGGCCGGATCTGAATATATACATTACGCTAAGCTCATCTATAATACAGTATATACACATGTACAAGAAGAAATCAGCAAGCCGTCATGTATGTACAGTTCCGGATCTCGTCACCAATTATATCGAACCCAAACTCCAACCAAACCATCTAACCCCCGTCGTATATTCATAACCCAGGCCCGAACCACAATCATCAATCATCAAGTGTCATTATTCAAATACAGACACTCGCACTGCCGTGCAGTATTCGAGACGCTGAAATCCCCAAGCGATTGGCCCTGGGGACCAAGGCATGTAGGCGTTCCTGGCCCACCACCAGACATCTGCTCAACCCTCACCGCGTACGGCCAGTTTGCAAACGGCTGTCCAGTCTCTGTCGCATTACTTGCCCCACTGGGAAACGTCCTTGCCATTTTCGTATAAAGATACCCCTGAAAACTGGTCTGATTAAAATAGCATGTCGATGCTAAGTTTTGGTTCGTGAGGGCAACGGAGGGCTTCGTCGGCTTCTGCATGTTCTCCGAAAAATAGTAGTGTTCGTTGCTTTGCCCGGCGTTCATTAATGATAAAGTGAGGTTGATGAAGACGATGGAGAAGAAGTTGTCAGTAGAGGAAATAGTATAGTTTGACGAATGGGGCACGGGATCGATGATCCATTGGAAGGTTGCGGTGCTGTCGGATGGGGAGGAAGAATACGTAGTGTAGGGATAGCAGGTCCACGTGGCCGGGTTCGAGGTGCAGTTTGTGAAGACAGTGGAGACTAGGTAACAGGGGTAGTCAGCAACTGCTCAATTGGGATTGTTTTCGGGAGAAGACATTGTCTTAAGAAAATCTCATGAAACAGTCGCAGATAGGAAAGGGTTTCTCCCCCAACACCTACGGTAGGTTGTAAATGAGTAGGAACCGGCTGGGAAGGCAGTGCTCGTGGCGGGGTTGGGGCCTCCTGATATGTTTCCTGATGCGCCACCATCGGTACTGCCATTATTACTTCTGTATTCTATCGTCAGCACGAAACTGGGAAGTGAAAAAGGGTTTGAACATACGAAGTACTCTTATGCCGATTCCTCAACCCAAAAACAAGTCCAACAACCAACCCCACAATGCACAGCGCAACAATGATTCCAATAATCAATAACCGCTTCCACCCCCCTCGCTTCGCAATATGCTTATTGTTCAACACGCCTTCTCTCGCCGCAGCCAACTTCTCAGCATTCGGTCTCTCTCCCTCATCATCTAACGAGAAATGACTGTGTGTAGGCGGACTATCATAACGATGTCTGGGCGGCGCCCCAAACGCGAAGTGTTTCTGTGCAGGTCGATTCGATGCTCGTGCGGGGATAGGAGGAGGATGTTGAGCCTCTGAGAAAGAGGTGCCGTCTTCTGAGATTGCAGGGAGGGGAGAGCCTGTGGAGGGGTCGCGGTGGTGCGCGGAGGCGGGTGTTGAGCGCATGGTGAAGATGAAGGACATCCTGAGGGAATTCGATAAAAAGGAGAGTTAGAAGAGGGGTTGGAAGTTCGATCAGGGTGCGAGGAGCGGCATTCGTGAGTTCGGCGTCTGCGCGACGACATTCAAGGGCGGTGATCTCGGTCTCGGACTGCGGTCCGGTGCGAGTTTAACGTGCTGGCTAGAGGGCTGGTGAGGTTGGAGATGTAGACCTTTTAGAGAAAGAGTGAAAGGCGGTGATGACGCGATAAAGGTCGAACCGGAGTCGAAGAGAGTTGAAGTGAAGTGTCGAGTATGAGGGATGGGAGGAAAGTGACGACAACCCCACCACGAAAATGTCTGGATACAGAAACTCGAGCGACACAACTCTGTGAAACCTCATGTATCATGGCAGTCTTGCAGACGCAATCACCGTGTCCCCCCACCGACCTACCGTTCGTTGGCCACGATGCGGCGGTTGCACTGCAGCAATTCTGAGAGTTCTGGACTGAGTTAGCGGGAAGAAGCTGAAATGTGGAAGCCAACTTTAATCTGGGATGGATCAGTAAGATTGAAAATCTGATTCGCCAGTTTTCGTCCAAGCTTCCACAAAACCAATAGTTCGTCCTGTTCCAGTTTAGCTCTGCTGATCATTAAGTTAATATCCGGGACCGGGGCATTTTGACGCCATTCACGTGCTACATGTCAGCTTTTGATACGCTCCCCCCCCCCCCAATTAATGTAACAGTGGGTCAAAATGCAGGGGGCAAGGGGTTTTTTGTATGGCAACTGGACCGTGCCAGGCTGGTTTTGCGGGGACCCACTATTACATTTATTTAGGGGGGGGAGTAAAGGGGGAGATTTTGTTAAGCTGATAAGGTAAAGGTGCTGGAGCGCAAATTGAAGATATATGTAGACTCTTCCGCTCTAAATTAAGTTCCCAGGGGACCTAAGGAAAACCACCAAATTCGTGAAATCTGCCAGCTATCTTTACGGTTAAGTAAAGTTCAAAATGGTACGGTTACACTTCTGCAATATCTCGATCCTATCTGTATATCCGTGTTACATATTTGCTGTTCGTTTAATTATGATACAATTACATACTAGTCCGCCTTCCCTTTCTCCCCAGCATACAAACAACGATTCACAGGTCTCTCAACTTCAAAACTACTGAAACAACAATGACCTACCCCACTACTCCCATCAGTCCCCTCCACTACACCCCATTTCACCGGCTTCAAATACGCCATCGAGTCTCTACTCGGTCGATGGCAAGCAGCACTGATCGCCGCACTACAACTCCCCACCAAAGGAATCCCATCATCATACTTCCGGAATCCATTCGCGATACCGCCAAGCACAGCTAAACTGCCTAAAATAAGAGCACAGAAAATAGCGATGCAGGAATAGCCGACCGTGGAGATGGAATTACTTTCATCAAGTTCGCCGTTTTCGTCGTAGACGGTTACCAGAGCGAGGAAGAGGGATTGAGACATTAGCCAGTGAAGGCAGCCAGACATGAGGAGAAGTGGCTAAATTCGATATTTCAGTTTGAGCATTCTTGTTTCAAGACAACTGCAGGGAAACATACTAATGCATACGTATAAGGTAGTTGGAGATAGTATGTAGATCTCTGGCTTCCTTCAGGGGCAGTAACTCGCAGTGATTTGCGGAAACGAGCGAAACGACTCCATTCATGGGCCCCTAGCATGCAAGAGAATAAACCGTTGTAGGTCAGGTAAAGGAAAGATAGGATTCCTTGGGGTAGATTGGCGAAGAGTGTGGTGGGAATGAGACCAGTAGGAGCGATGCCAACGACGGAATTGGTGTTTACAGTACCGAAGCCAAGACCCCAGAGAGTCTTGATGTCGTAGATGTTGATATTTGACATCCCCTGGAAAAGGAGATAGACACCGAATCCGATTACTCCTATACATCTAAATTTCATTAGAGATGTGTGAGAAGGGGCAGACCCATGACTTGGATGCCTTACAGCAAGTTGCATGTTAGCCATCTTTTGATGCTGGCAGCCCGAAACCAAAACTGCTTCTTCGGTATCCATGGACTTGCAGCCTGTAGTTTCCATCTTTTCTTCTGTATATCCATTTTGGTGCTGAGGCAAATACCTTCAGTGGTGGGATCTGGGTCCCGTAGAAAAGATGCAACTGCATCACCGATTGTGACAAGTGTTGGCTCATTCAGTTTCCAAACGGTCAGAATCACTAGAGGTGTTCAGGTCAGCTCACAAATTGGTGATGCCAAGTTCCAACTCCACTTCAGACATCTGACCGAAGTGACGCACTTGAGTCAGAGTATGGTCCTTGGTGTTACGGTGAAGAAATAGATCGAGAGTAGTACGTACTTATGCACGCTTTTGAAGCGTTGACACCAATCACCACTAGCATAATAACGAAGCTGAAACTCAGTCTGCATTGCTCTTCAACCAGTTCAACCATGCAGTAGCTGATGTGGTGATTGTAGACAGTCCAACTGGACGCTTCGGCTTTGGCAATCGATGGGGTACAGACTGCCGTTTTTTGTGCGTACGGATCGGAGTCCCAAGCATCGCCACATATCCACCAGTAAGGAATTTGGTCGTAGCTTCTCCAATAGTAAGAGTTGAACACTGTGTTATTGGATGTTTCCGTATCCCTCGTTACCAGAAGGACATTACGAGCTGTGCTCACAAAGTTGACACCATAAGTGTCCATGCATTTTGTGGACGTGTAGTTGGCCAGGCTTCCCTGTACGCCTAATTCGTGCATTGTGTTGAGGACACTGAGAGAAGCCCCATAGCCTGAGGGGTTGTATATAGCGGACGGAGCAAAGAAGTCTTCGTTAACGACAATATAAGTATAGCCATTTGCGGAAAGTGTAGAAAAGACTGCTGTATTGTACCTGATTGAATTTAGCATTCCGGTCAGAACAAGATAACAAAGCAAATGGGATGTGAGAACTAGCAATAACTAACTCACATTAGATGTAAAGGTATTGAGCTTAACGCAAGGATTGCCCACATAGTTATTCTAGCCCAGGAGATCGCGCGAAGGTTGCGGGTACTTGGAATTCCGATGTCAAGCCATCTCAACTTTGCATGTGCCTTGTTTACCTCCTTGCGAGTAGGACTGCTTATGACCTGCATTGTATCTATGACAAATTAGACTCTTCTCTGTGTGGAATAGTTATTTGGCAGAACTGGGACATGCTAACAATTACTGGCGCTGAGTAACACGGTGCTCATCGCGTTGATTCCTAAATGGATCCACAAACTCATTGTTGCAACCTCGTGACAGTCTCCTGTATACAGATACGACAAACCATCAATGACTTGGTGATTTATGACAGCCCACACGGTCAATGCGATGTTCAAAAGGCACACGGTGACTGCAGTTGCCGCGCAGACCATCACTCCAACCTTCCAACCCGATAGGTGACGCCATCGTCGTTTCTGCCCATAGTCGACCGATTCCCGAATTTCTGGTTCTATGAGCGAGGATTTGTATGTTGAATAATTGTCGGGCTGCAAAAGAGGAGCCGAGGAGATGGCTGACCGCCGACTGTAATTGTCATCAATCTGCCAGCCTGAGAGGGACGTGTTTCTTACTCGTCCAATTCGTAACCTTCGCTGCTTGAAAGAGCCCGGGCATGTTCTGACGTACCGGAGTCAACTCCCAAATAACCGTGATATGAAGTGTCTTCGTAGCGAGGTGGGTTCAGGCCGAGGTCGCCGTCATTTCCCGTGAGAGGAGTCCATGAGTAAGGGGAATATTGCTGCCATGCCATAATGGACCCCCGTCAAAGATCAGTGAGAAAATATATTCAACCCAATCCACTCCCCCCACTGCGGGGTGGTACTCGCAAATATAGCAAACGATCGCGGGATGTAAAAAGCAAAAACAAGACATGGGACCACGTTGAGGCTCACCACAATATTGGCCTTCCTTGCTGGTTGACAACGCTGAGAACTTCGGTAAAAACAGAAAAGTTAGACGAAGAAAAAGCTATCCGATCAATTAATATCAATGCCAGATTCCGGTCATCCTGACAGTCCAATAACCCCAGAGCAAGACCCGAAGCGCGATGTGGCCTCCCGATGGTTGACGCAGACGAACTTGGAGCGGCTGAACGAACGCCAAAGATTGTGGTCCGTTTTTCAAGCAACGAGCAACGGCTTTTATTGGGCCTTGTATTAATCTTCGAGTAACCTGGAAGGCGTGTTCCCGGCATTTGCCAGAGGTCAAAGCAAGACAAGTGGACGCCACAGCTGAAGCGCCAGCAGGCTTGGCGATGATCCTGGAACGGTTGGAACGATCCAGGGCAAAGTACCTTACATAGTAAATTTGTATAGGAGGTACTTCCTAATTAAACAAGCCTCACGAAAACTCAAAACACTTCTTTTTGCCGCATCGAGATAAGCTTAAATCTAAATTTCCTATATATAATAATTATAGGGCAGTTTAAGGCCTAAGGTACAATCTCGCTTAGGAACGATACGGATCGTTCCAGGATCATCGCCAAGCCCGAGCGCCAGCCATGCGACTTGGCGTATGCAAATGACGAATCAAAAGTGATATTCAGGCTTGACTCGGAGGTGGGTCCTGTTTTCTATGGAAGTCTGGATTCCGGCTCACATGATGTGAGGTCTGCAACTAAAAATAGGCTATGCTAGTGCCATGATGCCATCAATCTCTCCCTCCTTTTTCGTTAAGCTGCAGTTTGTATAATACATCTCGACCAATATGTACCAACCCTTTGTGTGTCGCGAAGTCGTTTGGGGACTTCTCCTCGCTTGCAATTTCTCTGCAACCTGTTCATCCATGTCCACTTAACGATGGCTTCTCTGTAGAAGATGGTAAGTAGCTATCATCTTTGGCCGAAGACATGGCGCATGGTACCCGGTTAGAAAGGCCAGATGGATGGGTTTCACAGGCATGCAGGCTGCTACAGTCCAAAAAAAAAATGCCGCTTCCGAAATGAATACCACTACGAGAAAAGCAATATTCTTGGAGCACCTAAGCTCGACGACTCAGGGGAGCTGCTTCGGAATGCAGATGCCAGCAATCGTCGCCAACAACCGTATAAATCTCCTTCAAAAGGTTCCCAACGAATTTCCACATCTGTGCTTTCGATTTGCAAGTGGGTTTCTCTCACAGAACAGTCCGCCTTTGCTGTTGACCGAGCCGGTGGCTTCAATGTTGCAGTGTCTCCCATATAGGCTCGGTGCATTTGCACCGACCCTACTTCTTCGCTCCGATGCCGGATTGTAGGATACACAGAGGGTCGACCCAAAGATATCGCACTCCAAGTCCGCGCTTCACAATGATAGTATCTTGGAATGTTTTCGGAAAGCTTAATGTTGGTATTTTGTCCTTGGACGTTTCGAGATTGTCTGTTGAAAGTGTGAGGAACGGCGTCTTTCACCAGCAGTGACTGAGTGCGTTTTAGACTCCTGTAATGCTCGCATCGTCGGATACGACTAGTCGTGTATTCTGACAGGGCTCTGAGTAAGGGCCAAGATCAAGAAGCCTGATTGGTTACCATTGTTTTGTATTGTCGAGCTTGGATTTTGGAGAAAGATCGTGGTTTGCTAGACACTCATCCATCAGGTCTGTAGCAAGAAAAGCAAGTGTCGGAACTCGTATGTGAAGACAATAGCCTGTACTGCACGAGACTGCCTTTTCAAATGCGGTCTAGCGTCTCCTAATCGCCCCGAGAAAGAAAAAACAGAATGCTACAGCTCAGACGTTGGGCAACGGCAACAGGTTATTCGGACGCTCAGTTACCAAGGGTTTGATTTGAGAGAGTCAAGCGATGGATTTACTATTAGCTGCGTTTCTAATGCCCCCAACCGCTGATGAACAATTTGGACCCCGGTGGATGACTTGAGCGTCGTTTAGGCATAGTTTGCCGCAGGCGGAAATAGAGGCTTCTAGTGGGTGTTATTTGCTAAGGGGGACTACTTGGTGAGTAGGATAAATAACCCCCTGAGCTGTCTCTATCAGCACGGGCCTCAGCCAGGTTAGCTGACCAATTACGTACTACAGGTTCTCGTTTTTGTGGAGGAGAGCCTGTTCGAATCACCCTACAGCTCAGGAGTTTTTTATCCTGCTCACCAAGTATAATTAACAGACGTTATGTGCGGTATGGTGATAGAACCTCTCCGTTTTCGTCAAACTCACCCAAATTTCGAACAAGTGTTGAGCTATCAAAAACGCCAACTATGTTTCTAGTCCAATACGAAGGCATGGAGCGTTTTCCCCCGGCTGAGCAGCGCAGCCCTCACCGGAGTTTCCGGCAAGCGGGGGACATCCTTGAGCGGGGTCATTACCCCGCTATTCGGTAGGCTTTACGTGGCGTTATCCACACCTCTGACGGCAGCGGTGGCAGCTGGACCATAGTACAATTCAGCAGCCCATATTTTCCTGTCTTTCGAACCACTAAGTAAGAGAGCACTTTATTGCCACCGAGGTCCTCCCAATTTCTTCATCTGTTCCCCTTCCGACCTCCTACCCAAAAATGTCTAAGCTTGTCAGCTTCCCCACGTCGCTCCCTTCGAATCCCATCCCCAACGATACCAACGCTGCTGAAGTTGTTGCTTCCTTTGTATCGCGGCTAGTGAATCTGGAGCCACAGGACTTCAAAAATGATGCCGTATGGCGAGATACATTTGCCTTGACAGGCACGTCGCGAACATTCTACACGTCATCCACTATCACTGCAGCATGGCACGAAACAACGAAAAGATCTAAAGCGGGTTCCTTCATTGTCGATGACAAGGGAACATGCACCATTCGCTCGCCATTTGGACCTCATTGGATCCAATCACGATTCTCCTTCGAAACGGATGCTGTTCCTCAAACAATTTGCACTGGGCTCATAACTCTAGTCTTGACCGCAGACAGCGAGTGGCGAATTTGGACTTTGAGAACTATTCTTGAGCAACTGAAAGGGCAACCAAATGTCGATATTTTAGTGAGTGTGAATGGGACAACGAAATTAACCAATGGCTACAGTGAAGAGTGCCACTTTGATTGCATTGTCATAGGTGGCGGCCAGGCTGGACTGAGTCAAGGTGGGAGGCTGAAAGCGTTGGGGATATCTTATGTGGTGTTAGATAAGTATCAAGAGGTTGGCGATAATTGGAAGCTGAGATATGGGTCTGCGAGATGTAAGTTTACTGCTTTTGAAGAAGTCTCGCCACTCGCGTTCCTAACACCTGGCTGTGACAGTACACACCCCTCGAGAATATTGTAAGTCACCTCTAATTTCATGTTCTGATATTAGGAGTTAAATCCTGCCAGCCCATCTTCCATTTGAACGAACATTCGGTCCAAAATACCAAGAATGGCTTACCAAAGATGATTTGGCAGAAGGGTTCCGACAATGGGCTGCAAAATATGACCTTGTAAAATTTCCTTCTCATGATACCAATTAAAGCCAGCACTGACCCGTTGCCGCTCAGAATATCTGGACTAGAACTACTGTTCTATTTGGAAGTTGGGATTCCAACCGAAAGAAATGGACACTTCGAATCAAACGAGAAGGAGAAGACGAACAATCTATAACTAGCTCCTTCATTGTCCTTGCAGGTGGCGCTGGAGGCCAGATTCCAAAAATGCCCGAATTTCCGGATCGAGTTGGCCTTCTTCCACCTTTCTTGCCTTGACCATCAACTAATACTACTGACAGCAAAAATTCGAGGGTCTTGTCCTCCACTCGGCGGAATACAAAGACGCCACCGACTGGAAAGGAAAACGTGGAGTCGTAGTCGGGACAGCCAACACTGGTACCTCACTCCTTATCATCCTCCATACGGAGCTAACTTCCATTTCAGGTCATGATGTAGTAGACGATATGGTGGAAGCAGGGTTATCATCCGTCACTATGATTCAAAGAGGAAGAACATGTACCTCTCCCCTGTATTGTCTCGTATCTGAAGCGGCAGCTGACCGAAACAGATATACTCCCTGCAGAATACTACAAGAAGACAGCCGACGGTACGCATTCCTCTTCACCGATCTGTCAGTACCCGCTCACCAACAAAACAATAGTATTTTATAACGCCACAGTCCCCACCGAATTAGGCGACAGAGAGTCCCTCACACAGCCTATGGCCATAGTGGACTTGCTTTCACAATGCACCTTGCACTCTATGGCTGACGCCGAACGGCAGCGATTTGATAACCTCGAAGCGGCTGGATTTAAATTGGATCGTTACGGAAGCATCATGCATCATTTGTACAACCGGATGGGTGGGCATTATATCGACGTTGGCACTTCGGCGAAAATTTCAAAAAGGTTGATCAAAATCAAAACCTCGACACCAACCAGTTACACGGAAGCAGGAATTCTGTTTGATGATGGGACAGAATTAGATGCGGATGTTATTGTTTTCGCTACCGGGTTTGAAGGGAACATGAGGTATCTTGTGAGAGATATTTTTGGGGAAGAGATCGCAGAGCAAATGGGTGATTTTTGGGGGCTAGACGAAGAAGGTGAGATAAAGGGGGCTTGGAAGGGCACTGGCCGTAAGCTCATGGCAGTTTTAAAGGAGAGGACGGAAAGAGCTAACGAACACAGATCCCGCAATGTGGTATCATGGTGGAACGATAGGGCAGCAGAGGTTTTACTCAAGGTTCATTGCCCTTCAGATCAAGGCGAAGATGATGGGGTTGCCCTTGGTGGTTTACGATAAGACACCGTAATAAACTTACGCAAATGGAGGTACAGTTGGGCTGAATTTCAAAAGTGATGCGGCTTGTATCAGAACTCAAAGCTCCAAGCCCTCTGGAATAGCCTGGCCATAATCCGACTCGTCGTCCTCCCTCTCCCAACTCCTTCCGTCCTCAGTTATCTGCCAAAAGTCGCCAGCAAATTCATTTCTAGGTTCCGAGAGCCAGAAATACCAATCACCTACTCGAGTTCCGAAAGTGAACCCGATCAATCAAAACGCTAAGTAGTCAAGCATGCTTGATCCCTCATGCTTTGATCAGGGATATAGCCCCCTGCCCTTTCAGCACCAAACTCGATGTCCTGATCTCGGAATACCATATTTTCCCACAGGCCGTAGTTCTCAGGGTTGATTCCGCAATCAAACAGAATCTCCAGCCAATCTGCCGTTCTTGCCACAGCCTATGCGAACGTTTAGCGCATAACAAAAGGTGAGGCAAACTTAAACTGTATCGACATTCAAGAGAGTATCACAGGAAACGGTGTTCGGCCAGAGCTGTTATTTCTTCGTATCGAGGACACTGATAGTATGACTTACAGATCAAAGCTCTGAGACTAATAAAAGGTCGATTTAACGGACGAGTAAGTCTCAATTTACCTAGCGTGGTAGGTCGAAACTAGTATCGAATTTCGTTTCCCATTGATCCGGGCCCACAGCGCCGTTCCAATTTTGATGGCGCAAGCTTATCTCGGCACAAATAAGATTTTGAAAGAGTTCCCAGCCGCCTGTACTCGCCACACTCACAGAACTTGATCACTGGCAATATTACTCGGCGCAATCATAGCCTCGACCAACAAATCTCGATTGTCCCATCCAGAGCAAGTTCCAGCATCAAGGTATTCGCATGCTTTACGCAATCAGGCCTCTTCTACTACGGCCTGGAAAGGAGAAACATAGCCGAGGCAATCGTCATTCTAGCGCACTCCTCGCCTCACCTCGCTGACCTTCCCCACCACCACTGCTGAACACTTCCAGTTCCTTAGCAGTGAAAACTTTTCATATTTTCCCATACTAATCAATCACCCGCTCGATCATCTCTTGTTGACTGTCCTTAACTCAGAGTAAAATGCGAATAACTATGCAATCACCCCGCTTTCAAAAATCCCCATCTTTCCGTATTAAATCCCACCTTTCAAATCGATTGATATCACACTTCAACATTACCACTCGCACGGCTCGGGGTCAATGTAATCGCCATTGGAGCCGTGCCGTCGAGGAGGGCTACGAACACCACCGTGCCAGAGTCTCAGCGAGATGTTTCCGCTTCTCCACCTCAACGAAAAACCGCACCCAGGAGACGTCCGATTTCCTGAATCATTTCATTCGAGCAAACAAGCCGTCCCAAAGCACAGTTGAACATTTTTCTTCACTGGGCTGGACTCGTGAAGTCCTAGAGAACGATGCGTATAAGATGGTCCCATTTTTCTCGCGATATGGGATCGAACATACCGGAGAGAATCGTTTCTTTGCTCGGACTGTAAATACCGACACGACGGTACCCCACATCCTGGCACTCAGACTGAAAGATCTCGAGACACCTGAATCTGGCGTTTCAACCCCCAGATACCAGTCGGCGCAGAAGGAGCTTGCTAATTTGGCGATTGCTGAGGTCGTTTGTTTAATGGCACTCGGCGAAGACCTGCAAGCACATCCCTCTATTGTGCATGGAGGTTTCCAGGCTGTCATTTTTGATGAAGCTATGAGGCTCTTAATCCTGCTGCATCAAAATAATATCTGCATCCCGGGACCAAGAGACATCCATTTCACCGCCACTATGACGATATCCTATTCGGCTCCTGTAATTGCCCCGAGTAACGTCCTTGTTCGATGTCGCCTGGTCAGAAGAGAGGGTAGAAAGTGGTTTACAAAGGGCGAGATTATAGATAGTGCTGGGAAGATCTTGACCAGTGCAGAGAGCATGTGGGTGACGGCAAAACGTTTTGTTGGCTCTTGAGTGTGTTTTTAGAATGCGACGAGATTGGGGTTCTAGGGGGTGAGTCTTGTTTACCAAAATATATGCACTGCCCTGGAGCTCAGCGTCTTCAGCGATACATATGTCTTTAAAGGGGGCTGTTTTCAAGGTCCCTCGCTAATTTTTCGCCAAGTTGCAACAATCTTCAGGGGGCCATTGAGGGGCGTGTCGCTTAAATCTCGACTAGCATGCCTGCAGGTGCAAGGGGGGTGAGAGCCTTTATCACAAAGTATGGAAGAGTGGAGCGTGGAGCATAGCAGCTGCTTTTTATAGAGAATGATACGTTGCAAATTCCATCTGAGGAGTTATTAAGCTTATAAGTCGTGTTTAAGATAGCGAGTCCAAGAAGTATGAATGATGAATCTAACCTGCCGCATCCAGCGTCTGCATCAATCCCTGCATCGTTAAGATCCAAAGAGTCAAGTAACATGCAAAATTCATCACAACCTAAAGTTGCGGGGGTTTTCGTCATGAGTGAACGAACGGACCAAGAGACAAAAAACGATTGAAGGGGTTTTGTAAGATTACTATCTAGGGCCTCGCAGAAGGAGTTGTATTATGCTGATAATCACCCGCTCTATCTTAAGAAGCCATCCGCAAAGGCTGACCAAGGAAGCCACCCCGAGCAGCACGCGCACCATTCGTTTCCATCTCCGACCCCACGGTCGCACTCGATGCTATGAAACCTGCACCGGCAAACCTTTCCCAAAGGTTGCTCTACTTCGCAGTCATTTGCAGCCGAGAAAGTTCCTGACATTGTCTCAGATGAAGATGTCGTTGTCATAGCCAAATCAGCACCAAATTGAACTCCCAGCATGTCAGACACTTGAGGTGTAAAGCTATTATAGGTTGACTGTGTACCCATGCCGAGATCATCTTGTGACATCTCCCACGACGAGGAAGCGTGCGTCTCGAGGGCATCAGAAAGAGTCCCAGGAAGTGATAACGTAATAAAGGAACTCGTAGGGTCTGGCCCGTTGGGATGTAACACCACCGACTGATGACGATTGCTAAGCGTTGACGAAGCCATTGGCTGGGTATCCGGTTGTTGTACTGGGGGTGTGGACTTTCTGCTACCTGAATAATGGAAATTATCTGATTCTGGTTCCATTGTTTCTACGCTGCTGGGCGACTCGCTCGAATTCGTATTTCCGGTTCCGGGGTGTAAGATGTCGATTACAACTTGCCGAATTTCTTGCCTCTCGACATCTCTTTGTCTATTCAGAAGGGCTTGGATGTCTGAAGCCAAACTCTGAGTACGCCTTTCCCGAATTTCCTCCGCCCGTTTCATGGCCTCGGAAAATATTTTATTGTACGTGTTATGGGCCACACGATCCTCCCAGAATGGCCCAGGTATGAAAGCTTCAGGGTTTGCTTCCCGAATCCCAGGATTTAGCTTGTCAAATAACCGCCACCATTTCTCGGCCTCGGTTCCGCCTCTGTCGATTTTCAACTGCGATGTGTTGAAGTTATGAACGTTGATCAGGTGATCTTGTTTCAATCTGTCCACCGAGCGCCATGCTCCAAAGAAGCAGTTGGGACGTGTTGGCTCTTGCCCTGCGGCGAACTGCGTGCAGATGACGTATCTATTGTATTCGTCCGTAGTCTTCTTGATACGCTTCGCCCTGTCGTTCCGATTTGGCTCATCACCATCCAATCCATCTTCACCCGGCTCTGCCTCTTGTCTATCTCTCCGCTTTCTAGTGATATTGGAGGCATCGGAGGATTTTTGGTGCGGTCTTGTAGGAGGTCGGGATGGGGTATTCGAAGTTGAGCTTCCAGCAGGAGTTCGTCTCACTGAACCGGCAGTTGCTCTACCCAAGTGGAGAAACACATCATGAACGAGCCGCTCAACAACTCTCTCTTCTTGATTCAATATCGTATCTAAAGGGAACATCCAGTCTGCATTCCCACGCAGGCTGCGTGGGCCAGCTATCCACTCTTGGTGCCAGGACGAAAATATGAGATGAAGCAAGTGTCGGTCGACAAGTGTGGCCATGTCCTGCCCTGGCAAAACATTTTCCCATGGTTCGGAAGCATGGGCAAGCCACCACTCCTGAGAAGAGCGTTTAATTGTGTAAGATCGCGGCTCGCCATTGACCGGAGTGATTTCTGTTTCATTTGCTGAATCTTCAAGTTGAGATGCTGAAATCTTAGGCCTCCAGCAGCTAAAGATAGCTGACCAAATTGCTTCCTTCAATATCGCCGGACACCTTTTCGGAGATGTGTCGTCAGACTCGTGGGGTTTGGGTTTGTTCACCCTAGGGTTCAGGGGTAGTACGTGAGCTTGGATGCTCCCATAATTGGGTGACATTGATTCCGCCTCCTGTTCTGACCATTCTGATGCTCCCTTTGTTCCCGCTTCCCTTGCTTGATCATCGCTTGCATTGTCGTCATCGTCCTGGTGCTGGTTCTTTCCCTGCTGGGGCTCGGGTGTCCCGCTTTTGACTTGATGAACTCGACTTGTAGTCGTCGCTACTTGAGGCCTTCCTTGAGCTTCAAAGCTACGCATAACGTCTGTAGACAAGTCACGTGAAATACATTCACTCTTGCTCAGCTCCTTGGACCCCCGATCCATAAAGCCATTCGGGAAACTTAGATGTTCGATAGGACGTGAAATGGCAATGCTGCTAAAGGAGGTCATATTAGCGTGTGCGAAATTAGAGAGCCACGCGGGCTCTCCCTCAACAAGCCCGGGCCAATGATTAATATTATTGAAATGACCTGAAATCAGAGAATCAGGACTAAATTCACTGGGGCCGCCTTGACCCGCTGCGAAACCTTTGGATACAATTTTTACCATACTAACGGCGGGGTCATGTGTCTTTAGCAAGGTGTCGGTATGTTCTGAAAGCCGAGATGTATTAGCAGCGTTCCGGACATGCCCATAAGGGAATTAGATAATCCGGCATCAAGAAAGATACTAACTTAGTCGCTCTTCCAGGGCTTTGGTATGGCCTCGTTTGCCACCAGGCTCCCTCTGAGCCTCGTGATACGTGCAAATATGCCCAAGCCTCGTGCATGGTGAGCAGGTTGGTTTAGTCCCATCACACTTCAGTTTTCTCTTCCTGCAGACAATGCAAGCAATTCTCCTCGGTTTTGGAACACTGTTGTCCCCTTCACTGGAAGGATTTTTCAACTGGTACTGGTTGTGCGCATCCGGTGATTGTATGGTATCCTCATTGAAGCTAACTGAGGACACGGTGGTTGTCATCGCTGTGCCGTCAATCTCCTCTTTTGGTCTAGGTTGTTCCGATAATATGAGTCCTTCGCGACGACTCGGCTTAGTCACCATTGAGGACTGTGTAGGTGTAGTAGCTGGACCCAAATCTTGAGATGGAGTTTGCTGAGGTAGTGGCATTTCCCTTTCACCGAGGTATGTATTATGACCAGACAATTGGACGGCTTCCATCTTTTCAGCCGCGGACAAGATGGTTGATGTACTGAGGACGTCATGTCCAAGAAGATTGGATGTGGTAGGGTGCAATGAACCATAACTTTCGTCTTCAATGCCAGAATGTTCTTTGCGCCTCTTCCTCACCTCTCGCCTGACCCTCACGCGACATCCTTGCTCGGCAAGGATTCTGGTCAAAGGCGTGCTTTCTGTGAGCCCAGGAAATTTCTTCGCCATGTAAACCGAAAAATCGGCGGATTTGACCTCTAGTCGCCAGTGGGTCACCTCGCTGGGACTGACTGTGCTGATAGCTGGCCCAGGGCATAGGGGGGGCTCGTTTCCAGTGCTCTCGTGATCTTCTATGTTCTTGATTGTCTCATAGAGATTGAAACAAAGTCTATATCTGCCTTCATCCCTGACAGATAAATCGGGAAAGGGAAAGAAAATCCCCTCATGAGGACGATCCAAGTAACAACCCCCAGAGACTGGATGTCCTGTGAGAATAGGTACCGGGGGATTCTTCCCCAGGTGAAATCTGCCATGGCTAGCGACCCGAGCAACTTCCAGAGAGGCAAAAACGAAGAACAATGCATCGTAAGAGAAGGTGATATCAGTTTGTACGCCGTTCCTGAGCTCAAAAATGAGAAGGCTGAGAAGTGGTGGGGGATCGATAGGCCGCGCAAGGGAAGCTGATTTTGCTGAGGATCCACAAGCCCTTGCTCGCTGAGGTTGCTGAATCACATTGAGGATGTAAGTCAACAATCTATTATCTGCGGTAGTTCGACTGAAAGAACTGCCGTCTTTAACCATAGCCTCAAACCGAGTGTAGTTTAGACCTCCAGGAAGTACCGCCGCTCGATTCTGGAAAGGATGTACCAAAGGTGGAAGTGACATTGGACTGCTCGAGCGCGACATCTTGCTTGCAAACCGTTGAACGAGATGGACAAGTCCAGGGTTGTCAATAAGTGTAGTGATGTTTGGTGATGGTCAAACAGATTGAGGCCGTGCAGCAGCGGCACAAAGTCTCGACAGGGGCCAGGCTCTGAATGCAGGCCATAGAGGGTTGGACCTAACGGCTTTCAGGATAGTAAACCTGGGAGTGAACGGTTGCCCGTGCCAACAATCTCAACTCGGGACGTTACAATTGTAGAGAATGATTCTTGCGAGAGAGGTACATTGCGCGGGGTTGAATTTCTCCTTTTCGGAGGAGCGTTTCAGCTCAAAATTGGTGGCGTTTTCTTCACGAAATCCCATGAAAACGCTCCAGAAACACGTGACCAACCCCGACATGTCGTGAAAGAACTTGCGCCCTATGGGGAATATTCATCCCGGAATCTCTTGCTTAGATTCTTCTCGGAGAACTGGTGGAAGGGAATTCTAGGTTTTCCAAACTCCGATCCGAGTTCTCAGAAATGCGCCGAGATTTCCTCATTAAAATTAATGCGGATGCACGAAGTCTCGTGAATTGAGGGAAAGGCGTCGAACTAGGGATTGCAAATGCTCGGATCTACGTGAGAGTATATATAATTGGACAGCGAGCAACAGTAAAAGATTGCAATTGAACTAATCAAGGGAGCTTTCCCCTACAAAAATCGTGCTCCCCAAGATGCCTTCCCTGTCACCAAATCGCCAGACAACCCCTCGCCAATGTCTCAAGAGACAGGAGGAAGACCTCCCCCATGTCGGATCATGGGCCAGCATTCACACCAATTCTGGAAGCAAAACCGTGAAAAACGCTGATGATCTCCTCTCTTCGTTCCAGCACAATACGCGAGGACTACCAGATAACATTGCCTCCATTATCCTCCTCGACACAACACACACAACACCAAGCCAACAGAAGTCTCAAAGTCTCACCGTCAGCTTATACCACTTCAACAATGGGTCTATGTTTTACCGCCTTACTGCAAACAGTATTTCCAGTTGGCAAGATGGCCAATCTCAACTCGAGGCCTGGAAACAGGATTTCCAGCGCCATGAAGTCGTCGCATATCGACTGGCGAGGTGCTAGCGAGATGGAGAGGCCAGGAGGAGGAAAATTTCCTCCACTAGTGTTTGCACTGAAATATAGCGAGAGAGGATGGTTGGGGTGGGGGTTGGGGTTGGGGTTGGAGGAGATATGATGGGACTTCCTGGGAGTTGAGGGCGATGTTTCAGGGGACAACTACGGGTCACTGTGCGACAGGATATCTCCGGATAAAGAAAAGACAAAATTTATCGGCCAAGACACATTGCAACTTCCGTAAGGCTATCTGTTCTGTCATATTCATGGTTGAGTCCAGTGATTAATTGAACTACAAAGAGTTACGTGGGGTTGGAAAAGGGGCTTAAGCGAGCACTCCCACGAAGTCCTCCTCAAGAGTCCCTTCCTTATAGGAACACTGAAATTTATAACTAGAGAAGTAAGTACATTGTGATCAATTGGATTGGGAGTACGTCTTTAGCAACTACAACTCTAGATTTTTCCACCCAAAAGAACGATGGGCGGAACAGCAGATTTGATTGAGATAAACTTGAAAGAGTTAAATAATCTGGCTTGGGTGCGGAGAGCAAATTGTAAAAGAATTCGAAATTGTCAAAACTTTAATGCATCTTCCTCGTTTCAATGTATGTTCACTGCTCTAGTGCCCGCGGCTCTGTTCACACCTCCTCTATTGCCCTCTCGTCTCCTAATTGCACCCACCGAGCCTCACACTCTCAGAGTACATCTCATATGTATCTGCATTTGCCGCGGCCTGAGCCGCCGACAATTGCTTCGCGGCAGTTGGCCCGTATGCATAATCACCTGTCCCATACAGATGGGTCATCTCATGCAGAATACTGCCCGCCTTGTCATAATCATCGTCCGCACAAGTCGTAGCATACTCCGGAAAGTCCCAGTATCCGTTGTTCGGGCAGGGTATAATAGTATTGTCGCTAGGGACCGTGTAGAGCAGCGCGCTGCCATCGGCACAGTCGCCGTATACATCGGTGCAGTAGATTGCTGGGGAAGTGGTTTGCACCCCCTTGACGTCTGCGTAGATGGAGCGGACTTTGGTTTCCTCGGAGGTGGACTTGAACCAGACGGTGAAGTAATCAGCGGCTGTGCCCGCAGCGGTGTATGCAGCAGTGGCAAGAGAGATAGCATCCGCAACGCTAGTTTTAAGGGAGCTTGTTTGAGAGGTGGAGCATGAGTTGTAGGTTACAGATCGCTTCTTGATGCGGGAGGAACTAGGAAGCTCGCGCTTGGAGATGTGGTCGCTAGCATTACGGGTTAGCTAGTGGCACTGCTCCGCGGTGTCTGTTGGCGCTTAGACTTACCTGGCAACCGTGCTCTGGTCAGGGGTGATCGTCACGCTGCTAGAGCTTACGCTCTCGCAGTCTGCCATATCCTTCAGGGCGGTGGGGGTGGTGGATCCGATCACATATTTGAAGCCCTGAATTGCAGTCACTTTGGCGGTGGAAACTCCGGCGAGTTTATAGCTCCGGGCTACATTCACAGAAGTGGTAACTGTTTCGCCCGGCAAAATGGTTTGGAACATTTCAGGAGCGAGGCCGGATCTCTTATAGTTGACGTACACCCCCTCGAACGGGAGCAGCTCTCCATCTGTTCAGAGACTCTGTCAGATTGCTTTGCACAATTTCAGGGGAGGAGGTCAGCGTGCCTGTGTTGGCAACCAGGAGATCCTTTGTTGCATGGCCACTGAGCACGGTGTTGCCCTTGAAGACAGTGACAGGCTCGGCACCAGTATTCTTGACTGCAACTTGAGCGATGTGGTGAGTTGTATCAACAATCTCAACAGAAAGAGGGCAGGCAGCTATAGCCGCACCGGCAAGAGCAACGATTGGGAGGATCTTGGAAACCATATTTGAAACCTTAAGACTGTGAACTTGACTTGGAAATTGTCTGTGTGGATAGTCTTTTGAGGTTGGCGAGGAGACACATGGAACTATAAGTACTCTCTTGCTCTTGCATATTCAGGTCCCAGCACGTTATCTGGAAGGACGGGGGTGAACGAAGAAATGCACTGATTGTACCATTCTATTCACCTGATGCCACCCTGAACTGCGATCGGGAACCTTTGAGGGTTATCGCGTACCAATACCCGTGCCAATTGCGTTGACGGAGAGAGCCAAGGCCATCGAACGGTATCAAAGGTTGCACTCGCATCGCTTGGCAATGGCGGGTCTTGCCTTATACAGCAACTCGATTTCAACTCATGTCGGCCATGCAGGGCTGCTGCGGTTCGTGATCCTTTTGTAACCAAGGATGGTCTTGACCAGAGGAGATGTTGGGGGTGGCAGGTACCTGACAGAGGCCTGCGAATGTCGGATGAACTATGCCGCATGAGGCAGGCATGTAAGGTACTAGCGGGCGAAAGCTTGAATAGTCCAAGCAATTGCTTGGCTTTGCATCGATTTCTTGCATTACTGACATAGGAAGGTGGAGATGGATTTGTGCTGTGGAGGAATGCTCCGACTCTTTATTTCCGCGTTCGGTTGTTGCCGTAACCTTATCGCCAATAACCTACCGACGTCTACACTATATTTTCGGCAGCTCTGGGCCCCTGTAATTCGTTCCCCGTTACTTTGTTCGGCAGGTATTCATTCCGCGCCAATAGATAAATAGATAAGCTACCTGCTGTCTGTATAGAATACAGAATATATTACTCAGATTCAACATCAATTACAAGGCGATGTCTTTTCGATATCAGGATTACCTGGTGGGATTCTGTATATATATCCTCATTTAAGTAGAGTTCAGGAGACCAAAAGCAGGGGTCAAAGAGAATAGAAACATTTTCAGAGCCTGCCAAACCCTATTTCCTCTCATTTCACCTCCTCGAACAGCATTATCGGGATTCAAACCGAGTTACAACTTTACTTAAAGCTTCATAATTTCCTTGACCAGAATCACCCTAACAAGTTTATATCTATATTCACATTCTCCTAAACTACAGGGATGCTATAGCCTCAAAGAACGATCGCAAGCCTCGCACCTACCTAATTGGTGGGGCTGGTACGGCGATCGCGGTATAAAGAGTCGGGAATACAGGGCATTGAGAGACTTTTACACCCTCTAGCGTACAAATTAAGGTATCAAACTCGCTATAAGGCCCTATATTTCCAGGTCCTTCCCCTAAAAGTAGCCTATGCGCCTTCGATAAAGGCTGCTATACCTTTTTAGGGCTTCTCCCCTATACTTACAAAGAGTCATCGCTAATAAGGCTTATAATAGCCCTTCGTTTTAATGTCCGAGCGCTATAGTTACTCTACTAATATCGCAATACCCTAGAAGATCTATTTATCTCCTATAAGCGTCTTATAGCGCATCTTTATATTAATTTAGAGAGCGCTATCTAGAGTTACAGGGGCTTATAACGAACTCTTGCCCTAAATTCGTTCCCTGTAGAATACCAAGGGTCAAAGGCTCTGTATTCTGGATATTTTATGGCACGATCTCCGTGAACCTGTTGCCAAGGTATCTGTGACCAAGGGTTCGTTGGGGATCACGAGGGCACACAAACGTGATGTGAGAAGCACGCTGAAGTGAAAAGATGTGTGTTGTACAAACACGTGATTAGTTAGGGTGATCTCTGCCCTGCATGCCACAGATTGCCATGCCTTCCATCGCTTGCCCGTTCATCTTCAGCAACCTTCGTCGCGCAAAATCTGCCCAATATAAATTTCAGGCAAGCTTTATCACATACCTCTTTCATAAGAGAGTGTTCCAATATTTCCCACTGTACCTGCGGAGCACAATCACCATCACCTTCTTCCGGTTCGCAAGAGCCCTTCGGAGATGGAAGCTAAGAGGGCGATACGAATGGACTTTTTTGACTAGGAACAACGTGCCGAACTAGTAGCCCAGCAAACTTTCCGTCTGCCTTCCTTACCAAATTCTCTAGTCTCTCGGATTCCTGCCTAAGGAGTGCCAATTTCCAGCTAGCATATCTCGCAAGCCAATCAAGTAGAGGATCCGAGTCGGGGAGGTACGAGGACGCACAATCGAGAAGTTCGAAGATCGCGTTCGTATAGGGACCCATTGAATAGGAATTCTCCACCTTCTTGAGGTAGGCAATAATCTTGTGCTTAGAAATTTCTTTTAGGGAGCTCATCAGGTATACATTGGCAAAGACGTAGAGTTGGATATGAAGGAAAAGCGGATGAATACGTGTGGTCGTCTCGATACGAGATCCGCTAGCTTGGATTTCGTTGACTTTGTCGGCATCCTGAATCGACTCTTCAGATGGGCCTCCCTTTGTACCAGACAGCGGCTCTGGCTCAGGCCGCGGTGTAGGATCTGTCATATCCTCGTCCCACCACCTGCCTTTTTTGCCTTTTTTGCCTTTTGTATGAGCCCAAGAGCTTTCCCACACGTCGGGTGTTGGCTCCACAAAGTGTTCCTCCACGTACGACGAGATCCCCACAATCTCAGTCGAGTAGTCCCCAAGATAAGCCCATCTAATGAAACACGTTAACATCTCTCTGGTAACGTCTTCGTAAAATCCATCGTCGCCTTTGAGGAATTTGTAGACTCTAGAGGCAGATTCCTCCCATCTTCCCTGCTGCACGGTACGAAGAACCGGCGACACGGAGGCGAGCAGACGCTCATGAATTTGCAAAGGCGTATCAGAGTCACTTGGCATGAGAGTGAGCGTCTCTGATGTCAAGATGCTATACCACCAAAGAGTCAAAGACTGTAGCGCTAGATGGGGCATTATTCCGGGATTACCTCATCAACTCCTCAGGCCCAACATCAGCCAATGTAGCCATTTGTAAGGATTAGCAAAGTAGATAAGTCGCTGCACAATTAGACTATTCCAGAACTGATTTATTATGAAGCCCCTCTAGAAAGATAGATGGGAAAGGCCCGTAAGAGGAACAGCATTATTATCCTTCCAGAATCTGTCGTGCTGATGCAACGGCATCATATGACGTGGCTCCAACGAGCAGAACACGGGGAAAGCTAAATTGCACGTGGTACGCGGTGTGGGGTGTTATGTCGAATTGAAGTTACAGCCTTGCAATTGTAGTGCCACATCGAGGGACTCAGGAGCTGAGAGCATGATGCTCAAGTTAGAGCTGGATACGTGGTCCAATGATGAATTATCACGTGATTATACGATGCCGTTGGTGGGACAAGTCAGGTGTTAAAAGCTTTGGATACAAAGATTTTGTTGCATATTGCGATTATTAGTAGACGCTGGATTAAATATTTCCCTAAATAACTGAAATGTGGCTTCTATAATCACTCTTTTGCGTTGTACAACACAATATTCCACCGCTTCTCATATGGTGCACGTGATACAAATTACCATTTACCAAATCACCTCGAAAGGCCATCCGTTTGAATTTCCAGATAAGTCATACTGGCCGTCATCCATATGGATCGGCCACCTTCGTAACATTGGAGAGCTTCCGGTCCTATACTCCTCTTGGACATCAGGAAGTTGTCATAGCCTTCAACGCTCTCGTAAGAGCCGCTATCGTCGAATGAAGATCGACCACCCCAGCAAGTTACGCGTCATTCATCGCGACATACTTCAGACGAGTCAGCTCGATTTCTTTCAAAACTTCGAACAAGGGATGGAGGCCCTCCTCCTCTTGACTGAGATTCCACTGAAAGCTACAGGCACTCTCTCCCCCACCCAGTCTCGAGTGTCAATCAGTCCCATGTCATTGAGGTGCCCACTTTTAAAGAGTTAACTCTTATGCACTAATGCTGAGCTTTGCACGTCAAAATCGTCAAAGTATTATTATAATTGCAGCTTCAATTTGGTGTCGTTTGGGGTTTGCCGTTTAATGTCCAGGTGTATGGTTGTGCCAAACAGCCACTATCGGTTCAGACTGGTACAAGACTAGATTGCCATCATTTTGAAGCACCAAGAAGCACCCTAGGTGACCAGCCTCCGAGGCCCCAGTTCTCCAGATGGCTCTGTTTTCGCGATCATACTGCACAATGTTTCTATCATCCTGCGCCACAATTCTATATGGTGGCTTTCCAATCCCGTCAGTGGAACTCTTCCACAAAACACTATTTCCTGGCCCATACAATACTACGTTGCCATCGAATTGGCAGATGAATCGAAAACGCCCGTCGTCGGACTCAAGGAATTCCCCCTCGCGGATGGTTTGGTTCGTACAATTGATGTGAGAACCTTGGCTACTACCGAGTACAGTGGGACGACCGAGGGAGAGGTCGTCCAGATCGCTCATGACGCTGTCGATAAGGGAATTGGCCTTGGAGTCTGCATCCTTTTCAATCTGTAGATTGCTATGGATTTTGTTGATGTACTTTTCCCATGTACCAACCTGGAGCGATCTAAGTCCCGCTACCACACTGTTGACATAGTATTTGGCCAGGAAAGGACCGATTCCTCCAAGGGCCTTGTACTGGACGCAATGCTCGAGCTCGTGCAGTATCCACCAGACATCGGACTTGACTAGTCCTTCACGCTCTAGATTGGTCGCACGCGGGAAGTGGATGTTGTAGCCAAAAGTGATGGCGTTGTCTGCTTGGAGCGTGTTGATGCCCTCTGCATAGCTCACTCGTGGCAAATCAATGTCATATGAGTTGTCCTCCGAGAGAATCAATTTAAGCCACTGCGGGAGTGGTTGGTATTTGCCTTTGGCCTGCTCTTCAACGAATTCAATATAGGCTTTTGCAACCGGGTCGATAAGAAGGCCACCTAGCTGATCCCATGTCGGTTGAAAGACATGCTCATCAATTTCGCGAAGCCCTTCGCGAACTGCAGAATTCTTGTTGTTGATATCAAGGTCCTTGACTTGAAGCTTTTGAATCTTCTTCCAGAAACCCATTGTTCAAGCAATCAAGCGAAGACGACAATAATATTGTGAGATGATCTCTTGTAAAATCGGGAATGGTTAGAATCAGCATGTTTAAAAGAGAGAATACTGCCTCTACGATAATTATACAAACGCGTACATTAGCGACCAAACGGATACACCGACTCATCCTTTCAGCTCAGCCCTTTGAAACACGAGCCAGGAATAGTAGTTACTCGGTGTGAAATAAGAAACCATGCATAGTGGTGTGATTGTTGTAATATGTAATCGAGGACGAATCCTATCGAGAGCCAAGAGCCAAGGGCCAAGGGCCAAAAGCCAAGAACCAAGAGCCAAGAAGTGTCAATTCAGAACTTACCCCCGAAACTTCGCCACTGTGAGTTGAGGAGAAAAGAAGTTGACGCAGCCCGAGTCGACGTGACTTGCGTTTCTCGTAAGGAACTTCCCAGCGAAAAAAGCCACTCTACTCCACCAACTTACAAAGATAGATTTCACGTCGAGGATAACTTTGGAAGCCCATATCAAGATGCAAGCCGGCTGTGCCATGAACCGTATCAGCGAAGACAGTTCGTCTGTACCCCCTGTGTTCGATAGGATGACGTACTCAGGTCGGCTCTCGGGTTTGTTTACGTTGATGAACTCTCCCAGTTTGATTGTTGGGGTATTTATGAGCCACATGATGTTAAAGTATACTTGTCTAGCAGATCACACGGAACTCTCAATTGTGGGTGCAGTTGATTTATATTTCCACACCTGTGTAGCTCAATAGCTTGTCACATTTTGTGGAAGTAAGATTCAGTGGCCTGTTTTTTTTCTTCTTCTCTTTTTTCTTGGCTTTTTGCGTGGCTTTCCCGGCATGATTCTCTGCTTCCAAGTCTCACAGCTGAAGTCTCAATGCGGTTATGGCACTCAGCCTTCTATCACGGCCACTCAGTTTTCATGAAACCCGTAGCTGGAGTGAACCATGACCCAGTATAATGGCGTTCTAAGACACTGATTTTAAACACCACCTGAGTACGTTTCTCGAAGTGGCGAGTCCCGGATCCAGTAGGCCACGGGAACCTTAGTGTTATCAACTTTACACGGAATTTTGATTGGAACTGACGAAACATTCTGTGCCAGTCGATTCGTTTTAAGATACAGACGAGATATGACTGAAGAAAATTATGACACATCGTGTTATTCTCCCTCAGCTTTATGCCAAGCACTGCAACCCCGCTGAACCGAGATATTCAACCACGCAAACTTTGGGCCAAGATATTGTGTACAGCGGTGAGGTCAGCTACTGATCACATTCAATTCAGCTCTTACACTATTGTTGGTATACAAGCCATTGGTAGAGCGTCATCGACGGGTCCATAAAGCGAGCGGAATCCGCTTCTTCAGTTGCCTCTCATTATTATCACACCTCCTGATCTCGAAACTCCGACGGTAGATCAAGTATTCGAAACAGAGTTGACCGATAACGTATGTAGCAGGCAACCTTCACTATGCATCTAGAATTCAGATTAACAAGTCAAAGCATTCCCATAGTAACTTCATCCCAATTCCACGCAAAGAAAGCCACAATGGCCGAACCAGCAACTAGAGCAAGCATCCTCAAGCACTACTCAACCACCTACTATAATGCAGGTGTCTCCATAGGAATAGCTGAGCATTCACGAGATGTTCTCGCCGGAATTCGAGCTAATTGGATTGAAAACATCCTTAACATGCCCGACACCATCAGCGTCACATTCGACGGAATCTTCAAAGACGGCCACGGCAACAAATGGGTTCGCGAAGGTGCCCTTGACAACATAAACATTGTTGTTCTTCTTGACCATGTTTACAGTACTGGAAAGAAGTGGAATGGAACCTTCAAACGTCATCATGATATTCAGTACACGTTGGATTATGATGTGAGAGTCACCAGTGTTCCGCAGGATGGCGTTGCTATTGTTGCAGCGGATTCAGGAGATGAGGGGAAGAATGATGGGGATGGTCCATTTATTTTTCCTGGGATTGGTGATTCTAAGGCTGTGAGTAGTAAAATAATAGACCTAGGAGAACCTACTGACTTCTTTTAGGGCATTGACTAAGTGGGTTTGGACCGGGGGATGGAGACACAGAGGTGTCATTTTCTGGCATGATATGCTTCATTTCTGAACCGCGACAATCTTGGGAGATTTAGCCTCCCATCAGACTTTTAACGCACGAACTGTGACATGGTTACCTCAGTCTGCATTTAGAGACCACTTATCATTCTCTCTTTACGCTCGTTAGTACCTTGGGCGCTTAGGCCATAAACCGAAAGAGGTTTTGCTTCCCAATGATAATAGTACTTCTGCTTTGAAATATTCAGTGTGAACAATGAATAGAGTAGAATAGAGTAGTGGCCCCTACTCATATTCTATTCATCAAAAATTCCCACTACTTATATTCTATTCATATTCTAATTAAGCTATTCATGAATATTCATGAATACTTTTGGTAGTGTGCACGTGATTCACGCACGTGACAGGCTAGCCTTATTAGGTAAAGCCCCGGGCACTCCCGCTCTAGCGCCACCTCGCCACCCAATCAAGTGGTGGCGGCGCTTGGTAAGCGAGCCGAACCTCCACGATACTTCTAGAATTACATCGACTTAAGAACTTAATAATAATAGTAATTCTATTAGTAAAAATTAGGAATTATGAGACTAGAATCTCCGAAATAAGGGGACTCTTTCTAATTAGAAGAATAATTAAGAAGCCCTTAGAATATTAGAACTTTCTATAAAAGCATATCGATTTCCTCGATTTTTATTTCTTCCCTATACTTCTATTCCATATAAAACCTCAACTATTACTCCTATTAATATACTTTCTATTACAAATATACTTACTTATACTCGATATATTCGAAAATGTCTCAATAATCCTTAATTAAGATTAACTTAGCTCAAAATCACCCTGAGTTTAAGTTAAAACCCCTTGACAAGCAAGCTTCTCTCTTTAAGAAAGGCTACTTAAAAAAGATATTAAATCCTATTTAAGAGGATCCCCAAGAAACTCGTACGTATACTATAAAGTGCTTAGTTCGAGATTATTCGTAAGTTAATATATTAATTTTTAATAATTTTTTACTAATAGAAAAACATGAATAAATTAACGAATATACGCCCCTATAAGTAATTATTATACTCATTTTCGAAACGTATATAAATTTATTAATATTACTAGTCTTAAAGATAGTAATAATAATAGTAAGTTATTTAATATTAATTAAAAAGCTTTATTTACTAATATATTTAATAGGCAAAAGTAAAGGCTTTTCTCAAGTCTCTTAATCTACTATAAATAATCTTTTTAATAAGTAATCGGGTCAAAGAGAAGAAAGCTTTACTATTAATTACTTTAAGAAACTATTATTAAGTTTTATAATTAATAATAATATTTCTTTTCGAGTAGTAAATATACTAAGTTTTAAATTACTTTTAAAGTATTTAAATTAGTAAGTATTATTATATTCTTTATTATTATTATATATACTAATACTTTATAGTTAAATATTGCCTTTATATTTAAAAACACTTATAGATAAGCTTAATTTAAGCTATATTAAAAAGAGTTTAAATATTAAAGATAAATTTCTAGAGAATATTAAATCTCAAGGAACCTTTTCTATTACTTTAGATACTATTACCTTTATAAATCAAAAGGCCTTCCTTGGAATTATTATATAAGTTTATATATTCCTATAATTATTAAGTGAAATTTATACTAATATATTTTTAGACACTTTATAAATAAGGATTTTATATTAAAATCTTATTTATTAGCTATAAAAGACTTAAATAATATATACTCTGGCGTTTATATGCTTTCTGTTTTATTAGAAGCTTTAAAATAATATAATATCGAGTATAATATTACTAGGTAAGTAATTCTAATTAAATTTTTAAATAATTTATATTAATATATCTTTTTTAGTATTACTCGAGATAATACTAGCTTAAATAATTACCTTATTAAAAGGCTTTTATAGAAGTATGTATAATAAGGAAGGGCATTTAAATTTCAGGAGATATTCCTTAATATTATGCTTACGTATTTAAACTTAGTAGTTCAAGATATTTTTAAAAGTCTCTTATTAAGAACGATTACTATAATTCTTCTTATTCTACGGATTTATACCGAGCAAGAAATATGAAGAAGTGTGAACTTAAGAGAAGAAGATAGAGAATGCAGAATTTATAGTATAAGTTGTTCCTAGATTAATTTAAGTTAATAAGTATTATGAGTTAATCCCTTTTAATATTATTTTTATAGAGCAATGCTTTTACTTAACTTTTTTTTTTTTTTTTTTTTTTTTTTTAATATAAATTTTATAATAAATTTATTCATTAAAATTATAATCAATTTTGATCTGAAAAATAAAAATTTTTTCGGAAGCTTAATCTCGATAATTATTGATGAAATTATTCGAAATATATATTATATATATATTTCAAGAAATTTATATATTTTTCAAGAAATTATATATTATTCATTAATTACAGATTTCTTTGATTAGGAATTAACAAAAAACTTAAGATATTTTATTAAATCATAAATTAAATATAATTTCAATATTTATTAAATATAATTTCAATATTTATTAAAGCTATAACTAAATTACAAGCCGAAAATTATCCGACTATATATTATATTATACCTGAGATATATAAAATATATAATAAACTTGAAATTTTTAAAAAGGAATTTAAAGTAAGTCTTTTCTTAAATTCTTCTTATATTATTATACTAATATTTAATAGGATAAAGCATTTATAGATGCTATTAATAAGGGTATAGCTAAACTTCGAAAATATTATCCTAAAACAGGCGTTTTAGATAATAAAAGTAAAGCTTTATACTTAGCTCTTATTCTTAATCCTCGAATTAAACAAGAAGGATTAACTAGTATTGGCTTATCTAATGATATGTCCTTAGATATATATAATAGATTAAAGACTGATTATAATGTATAAGTAATTCCTTTAATTATTTTTTTAATAAATTAATAACTAATTTTATATTTAGATATAAATACGATTATAATATATCTCAAGCTAGATCCGACTCCTCGGTTATTAGTATAGCCGATTCCGACGAAGACGACTTAGATATATATATTACTAATAAGTCTTCTAATATAGAAGACGAATTAGTAATTTATTTAGAAGAAAAGAGAGAAGATAGAAAGGTAAGTAAACTTTACTTAAATTCTATTAAATAATTATCCGATATTCTCTTAATATTTTTTTATATATTAGTACTAATATATATATAGGTTAAGCCTTTAGATTATTGGAAGTCTAATGCCGCTAGATTTCCTGCTTTAGCTTTAATAGTTAGGAAATATTTAGGAATTCCAGCTTCCTCGGCTCCTAGCGAGAGATTCTTTTCTCAAGGCGCTCTTATTATGACTAAATTACGAAATAGACTTAATAAGAGTACTTTTGAGAGAATAGCTTGCTTAAAAAGTTGGGGGTTATTTAAAGACGAATTAGAAGAGGCTAAAAAAGAAGAGAAAAAGGGGGAGAAAAAGGAGAAAAAACAAGATTCTGAGGAGGATAATTAGTTTATTATTATAGAAAATTAGTATTTAAGTAGCCTTATATAAGTACTAGCCTAGCTTATATAAGGCTGCTTAATAGGTACCTTAGTTCTTTTTTAAAAAATTAAATATATGTCGATTTACTAAAAAATCACGTGATTTCCACGTGACTATTCATGAATATTCATGAATATATATTCTACTCTACTCAAATTTTTTGAGTTTTACGCTACTCATATTCTATTCATACTACTCATGAATATTCATGTACTCAGTATGAATACCTTGAGTATTTCTTGCTCACACTGGAAATATTGCGTTACTATCATCCGCCATCTCTGTAGGTAGGCTAGTTATTGGACGATGAGCCCCGCTTTGGATTGGTAATGGCGGAGATGCAAGGCTGAGCTTGCAAAGGCTATTCTTCTGCATGTTCGCAACCCAACTTCGATAAACCAGTTGACCGAACACACACTCAACATGACCAATGGATAGTAATCGCCGATGACACGCATCAGCTCAGCTCGGCTCGATACCACGCCCAAAACGGAAGGCAAACATCCGGCATCAACCGTGTCTCAAAACGTGCGCCAATCAAGAGACATTGGAGAGAATTCAGCCCGGGATATAACCTCTGGCGAGACAGCTCTTATTTGCAGCCATTGCCAAGAGTTTGGGTCACTCCCTCATGCAGCTGATTGTCAGCTGGGAGGTTGAGGTGGCGTGTTTGAAAGAAAACAATACTATCCCCCCTCCCAATACGGAGTAAATGCAACAGCGGGCCCTCTTGATTGAGGTATTTTGTATGGTAGAATGTCTGTGGTCTGTGGACTCGCTGTTACACTTAATAGGGGGGCAGGTTCAAGGATTTTGTCCAGTGTTTAAGGCTGGCCAGCTCTTCTGACCAAGATTCATCCTAGCGTTTTAGTCTGCCACTCGAATCAGCTATAGATTCCGGAGTGATAGTGATCACTGGTCTTTTTGTGGAGGGATTACGGTGCTTGGGGTTCAGAATTGGCGACCCCGCTCGCTAAATTTTGACGGCCTTGAACGGGAAAAAGTAAAACGAACCCCCCCCCCCCCCGGGGGGTCGATTGGGGGCTACACTAACCGAGATCAGCAGGCGGTGGCAGGTGCCTGTATGCATTACTTTATATGCACCAATGTGTGCAGAATAATGTATATTGGCACCTAATGCGCGTATTGCATTCTTTAGCACGTCGTCGCTATTTATCGCGAATTCCCAAGACAAATTTAGTCGTATCGCAATTAGCCAAAGAAAAAAAGAAAAAATTAGGGTCTCTCTCATACGCATGTGGCAATGCTTGTTTCCTCTTAACCTCTAGCAAAACGGGAAAATGTAAAACGATACCTCCTCGGGTATCAATTAGGGGAGTCGATTGGGGGTGTCGGCCTTAAGGGAGCCTGGAAATTTAGCGATTAAGCCCCTGGAACTTATTTGCCTCGTGCGCAATAATCGCCTCGCCTATCCCACGCCCCAAAACTAAGCTCTTATATATAAACTTCCTTATAATTGTATTAAGAAATCTGATTTGAGAGAAAGGCTTAAGTAAGTACGAGCAACGAATTAGGCATTATTAAATTCTAAAATCCATCAATACTCCTATTTAGTCCGCCCCCCGGGGAAGGTATGCGATTCTAAGGCCTAATTAGTTCCTTAGCAGTGGACTCGGGAGACGCCGAGCGCTAAGCCAGAAAAGGATCCTGCCATCGACACCCCTAATCGACACCCGGGGGCCGTTTTACTTTTCCCTCCTTGACTAGTGTCAAGTTGGACATTGCCGCCTCAAATTAAAAACATTCGTCGGTACAGGATCACAAACTTTGGACCCGCATGTCATTGACATCAGCCCTTCGGAATTTTCCACCTGCCAGATCGTTCTGCCAACCACTTCCATCACCCATCACATTTCAGCTGCACATATCAGCGAGAAACCGCAAGGCTCAGTCAATCTTTCATCAGAGGCCTATCACTCCAGTGTGGAGTATCAGGATGGCTTCTGATTTCTCAGTACCACGTTCACCAGGGTCGATTTTCACCTGACGAAGAGATGGTTGACGGCGAATCCAATGATCTATATCTAGAGCTGGCCCCGTTCGGTCTAGAGCATATTTATGACTATAAGCCTGGCGGCCACCATCCCGTTCACTTGGGGGATGTATATGGCAATAACAGGCGGTACCGTGTCATCCACAAGCTTGACGGCGGCGGCTTTGCTACTGTTTGGCTCTGTCGGGATACCGAGGCGAAAGAGGCAACGAAATATATGGCTTTAAAAATTCTGATGGCCGAGACATCCAGTGACAACTGTCTTGAGCTCCGGGTGAACCAGCTCAAAGATACTCACAGCCAACGTGAAAATGAAGGCAATATCGCGGAGTTCATTTGCTTCCCACTGGACCACTTGAAGATCCATGGGCCGAATGGGGACAATATCTCCTTTGTGTATCCTGTTCTTAGCCCAAATGTGTCTCTCGGCTTGTTTCGTGCTTCTACAGATCCGGACAATGACTTGAGAAGTCTTGGTCTGCAAGTTGCGAAGGCTGTCAAATTTCCTCACAGCCAGGGAATATGTCATGCCGGGAGTAGAACCAGTTCCAACCACTTCTTCCTCTGTTGGAAAGCAGTGAATGCTAACAAAAGATTAGATATTACGCCAAACAATGTCCTTCATCGCATCACTGGGCTCGACGGACTCAATGAAGACGAATTCTTAAAATATTAGGTAGCCCGGTTATCAATCCTGTTCTAAATACATCCCAGGAGCGTCATCATAGGTCCACAGCCACTGGCTACCTTGTTTATCCAGTGAACTGGTGCAATGTGGATACTCGGTTTATAAGCAAGAATCATGTCTTGTTGATTTCGGCGAGTCCTTCGAAATTTCTCAGCCTCCTGATGGTCTCGGGATTCCTGGGCTGTATCCCCCTCCAGAGTTGATTCCCGACAAAAAGGCTAGTTTTGGTTCGGACATTTGGGCATTAGGGTGTAGTCTGTTCAAGATCCGAACTAGCGGAAAGCTGTTTAGCCGATTCGGCGATGAAGATAACGAATATCTAGACGCCTTTGTTCAAGTCTTAGGTAGACTTCCTGAGCCATGCTGGTCTACGACCTGGGTGGATCGGAGAAGAATGTAAGATTTTACATGGATGAAGTCGGCGAGCAGGGGCTTGTTGTTGATGCTCTAGCATATGAGCTAGAGAATAATGACCAAAGGAAGAAGGAGCCCACTGTTCATCCATCTATTGCTGCCAATGCTCGATCGTTGAAGGGTAAGATTGCTCCAGGGCTCTGTTACATGTTAGATCGCGCCTCAATGGAGACCATCATCGGCATATTTCCTAGATAGAGTAGAAAGTCTTTGTAGAACTTTTGCAGCGGTCGCCGGTTGCTGGATTACAAGCCCGAAGCCTGTATTTCCGCGGAAGATGTTATAAATCACGAGCAGTTTAGACTGTGATAATTGTACCTTCATTTAATAAAAAAAAGCCCAAGATAATTGGCCTACGTATTTTAATTATATATTTATTTCCATTTTTGCATATTCTTTATTTCTATATTTCTATATAAGTAAATATATAGTTTCATATACAATTAATAGAAAAAGGAGTCATTAATGCCTGCAGAAACCTAGATCGCCATCCGTGGAAGGACGGCGAATCGTTCCATGTCGCTTACAAGGTGGCCATGCGATGCTGCATATTGTATACCACGAAACAAAGTTCTCTAGGGCTTGTCCACATTCTCTGCGGTACGGCGATGAGGTGTGGTTTCTCAAGAGATTAAGGTTCCCCTAGTTCTCAAGCAAAAGACCGTGTGGAGAGACAGGCGATCTCATCGACGAGAGCTATATCCATGGATGCGTGTAGGGCGAAGCAATGACCGATGAGATGCAAGCACGATTTGGCCCTGTCAGAATAATTTGACCACGGGGTATGCTAGGGTCGCGAGCGAAGCACATGTTACCAGAATCAAGACCTGTCTGGTTTTCCTTTTCTTTTCCGTGGTCTTTCATCTACAGGTGTACTTCGAGGTACCACTACAGTAGCTTATGCAACAGCTACGTACCGGTCAGCTTTTTAGAAAGAGTCACGTTATATGACAGACTGTGCATAAACAACCTTCCACTTACTCCCTTTCTTGATGTTTTGCTTGTGCTAATAGTATTGAGTAAGACAGCAATTTAACGCTAGGACATTCAAAGCCTTGCGCCCGAATTAGAAAATCAATACTTGACTGCGATACAGCAGCTTGGAGCCTTAGCTGCAGTATCAAATGAAATATGCTTGGGGCCTCGAAGGCTTACTGCGGGCGTTGTGAAACCGACCAACAGTGACTATGACCATTGCGGACCGACGGCAGTCCCTCTTGAATATCTCACTGGCAGCCACCAGGTAGCACATTGCTATTGTCTCTGTTTCCTTTTGAAGGATATCTTGAAAAGAGGTAGCAAGCGAGGTTATGTGATCACCCTGGTTTGCATCGACCCGACCCAACTACTTTGAACCTAGTCTCTTTAGTCTTATGGGCATCCAACTGAACAAGGAGCGCAAGTGCCTGCTTTCTTCAGGAATCATAGCTGAAATTTCCAGCACCCACTCAGGACAAATCCTGCCCAGGCTGAGGGCTGCTTATAAATCTTCCTCATCGCCAAGACAGCTTCCTGATGAATTTCCGCCAAGTCGATCCAAGACACCTCCTCATCTCCCGAACTGAGCTGAGAGCGGCGCTTCTCCCTAGCTTCCACAAATGCACGAAAGAAATGATTGCTGAAAACAGCACCGTGTTCATCCATGATGGGCCACAGTGTGCTTGTCACTGAGCCTGCACCGGAGAATAGAAATGCTGGGACCAAACCCATAACTTCATCGGTGATCAGATCCGTTTCCAACCTAGCATTCCCCAGTTTGTATATGCCCTGCCTACCACTAGCACAGGCCATCAAGTTGAGGTGGGCCCCTTTCGATAGCTGCAGCTCGATGATTCGCCGCGCAGTGAGTTTGTTGTTGGAGCCGGTGCCGTTGAATACTATAGCTTGGTCGAGAGGTGAGCTAACGAATGACACATCCTCGCTGTTGTGTTGGCTCAAGTGGCCGTGCCCCGAACTTTTAGTTGGCTTATTGGTTAAGTAGTTAGTGTGCAGCTGGATGTGGAGTATATCAGAGCTAGCAATGTGTGTGGAAAAATTATCCAGAGTTGCATCAACGCCTACGAAAGTCGTTTCAGGGTTGTTTAGAATGCCTCCAATTTTACCAACAGCCTTCCCTCCGTACTGGAAGACTGGTTCTGGTGAGACAATTCCGCCAAGTACCAAAGATCGAAGCTTATCATTTCCTTTCAAATCTTGCCCCAACCTTGAAGCATGTCTGGCCCAGAAGCATTTATGAAGGACTGACAGAGAGGGTACGTAAACTACTGGGTGACGCAGTATTAGGGGTCCAATTTCGCTCTCCTCGTCCTCTTGGATTGCATGAAGAGGAAAATTGTGGAAACCCTCCGTGAGACTTAGGACGAGCATGTCTCCTGGTTTGATTAGTGAATCATTGAACAATGGCTTGACAAGCTCGAAGCAGTTGAGCACCGGCTTCAGTTCGTCTTCAAACTGCTTTTCCCCTCTGGGGGCCATCTCTTCGAGATTCATTTCCTTCAGGGGTGTGGGATCCACGTCAGGGAGATACACGTCTTTATCTTCAAAAAACTGTTTCGCTGCCTCGATTTGAGTCCCGTGCTCGGTTTTTAGGTCGATTCCTTTGCAAATGCCGTTTCGCCACAGCAGCATATAGAGTCTTGGGACATGGTCGATAGAGCTTGTTATGGTGAACCAGTCAACAAAGACCACCTTGCCTTGTCTCGTAGCAGCGACCTTGTGTAAGTCCTGATTTGATACTGGCCTCCCTTCGCGAATTCTGAACATTCGTTCAAGGACAGGTTCCCGTCGCATCTCCTGTCGAAGACGCTGAAGCTCGATTCGGTGTTGGAACCGATCAGACGTGGTCTCTATTTTGTTTTGTAAGACCTCTTCTCGATTGAGAAAGTCTGCAATAGTAACAAGTGTGTGCAGGGATGGCTTCTTTTTGGTTCGTTGGCTGATTTGGGACAACTCTTCCTGGAGCTTTCCCTTGTCATCGATTTGAGCTGCAACGGGCTGTTTGAGTTTCTCTAAAATGATGGAAAACCTTTGCAAGTCTTGACTGAGAGAGCTACCGATTGTATTGATGACCACAACCGGAACGGCCTTGTTGCCATCTTTGAGGATTTCGCGGACTTGGGGAAGTAGATCTATCACCGAAGCAAGTCCCTCGTCTAGCTTCGAAGCTGCAAGGCGTTCCCCAGGTTCAGCATCTCCAGGTTGGCCAGCTTGGCTTGCAGATCCTGTCAGTTCCTTTTCAGCAGAATCTCCCACATCGTTAAAGGATTTTTGAATCTCAGCCAGCATGCTGTCTGGAACCATATTGTCCAAACCCATGCTCTGCGCAAGAGTCCTCGCCTTGACGCGTTGTACCCATTGCCATAATTGTTGAAGCCACTGTTGCCGTCTTGTGGCAAGCTTCTCGTCTCCGTTCCTTTGAACCTGGTCCTCTGTCGTCGTGACCGTGATCGCGAGATGGAGAAGTCGAATGGCGAGTTTACCAACTCTCCATATTCTTATTCCACTTCCCATATGGGACTTCATATTGAGAACGTCAAGTGAGTGACCGAGATCAACTTCGTACAGAGTTGTACCAAACATTAGTTCAACTTCTTCCAGCAACTCCAATGTGTTGTCCACAGTTCTACCGATATCTTCAGGCTCTTTGATAATGCCATACTCGATCCTGAATTGTGCAATAGTGGCAACATAGATAGCTGCCACAGCAAAGAATTGAGAGCTTTCTACGCTCCGCCAATGTGTCAGTTGCTCCCTCGCAATCCGGTCCGCACGAGTAAAGAATTCAACAGTTGCATCGCTGAGTTCTTCGCCTGGGATTCGACAGCAGAAAAATAGATTCATGTACAGCTGAGAAAGAATTGATCGAGATATCCACCAGTCCTTCTCAAAGTGATCAGCAGCCCTGGAAGAAGCTAATTTGACGTCTTTCGTGTCGAGACGCTCCTCAATAGCGCTAATTTGCTGACAAGTGACTTTCAACCAGTCGGGTGCAATGGTTTTGACAATCTTTCCAATGCAATCTGCCTTGACAAGCGTCGGAGTTTGCATCTTGGTGTATTCTATTCCCCTTGGATTTAGCTGGACGTGTAAATTCCAGGTGCGTGATCGAAAACCGTGAATGGCTATCCAAAGGCATTGGCGGAGGCGGTAATTAGAACTAGAATCATCAAGTAACCAGGATCTCAAAGTTGGTCGCCTTTTGGCCCATTCTGTAGCATGGAGAGGAAACTGGAAAGTGCCGACGAGATTCTGGAGCAGTTCCTGCCCCTCCAGCTCCAAAACACCCTCTCTTTCGAAAACTGTATCGTTTTCCCCAGAACCAAAAAGTTGAAGCAGTGCTTGTTCTCCCAGCCTTCCAGAAACTGCCTCCTCGGAAACGAGCTTTTTGAGCAGCCTCGGGACTGCGACTTCCGCCGTTTGTGACAGGAAAGTATAGTCCAAATTGAATTCACGATCTTCCACTTCCTGCCTTTCAAGAAGATCTTTGATCTCCAGTGTGTGTTCATTTGGTTCCGTGTTCGAAACTTCGCGTCGGATGTTGAAGCTAGAAGGAATACTACCGAAAAGGGCATTGTTTTCTGCTTCCATTTCATGGTATTCACGTTGCCCGGCTTGAACCTGCAACCTGAATTTCAATGAAGATGACATCTGTTTCACTGTTGGTAGAGTGATATGAGGATGTCTGCGATCGAAATCTCGAATTAATTCGATTCTCCTTGCAATCTCACTGAAGGAAGTTGATTTGGTAATCATTAAATCAACTAGATATGTTGCCTCAGCGGGAACCCGCCCCTGAGTTTCGAAAAGCTTCTGGGTACGGAGTTGTATATCCGTACGGAGAGCGTCGAATTCTTTTGGAGGATAGAGCTTCTGAGCCCATTCAATGGCAAGATAGTAAGTCCTTTCAGTCTCAATGTGACTTATCGCGTGCATTTTTTGTCCAAGGATGAGCAGCTGCTGGAGTCGTGATTGTGTTGAATCTTCCTTTTCCGCAATCTTCAGGCGATAAAATTCAATAGTCAGCATATCCAGAGAGTCAGATGCTCTCAGGGTCCCCGCACTTCCATTCGCCAAGGAGATGCACTCTTCTAAATCTTTCTCCAGATTGGCAAGCCAGATCTCCGCTTGGGCCTTGGCGCCCAGAGATGCAAATAGCTTTCCAAGATCCAGTTTGAATCCCAACACTGCAATTCGCCAAGGGATCTCATCCTTTGTGTTTGCGACTTGTGCGCGGCGGTCTGTCGCAAGCTGAAGTAAGAGACATGTGGTTTGGTAGTCATCCATCGCCGTTCCGGCACTTCTCTCAGCAGTGCTGAACCTGAATGCTTCCATGAATCGACCCTGAGAAACAAGTGAGGCGCGAAGATCAGTCAGTCCTTGCCAGCTCAAGGGAGGATCCCTGGTCGGATTGGGCATTGGTATGAGCTTCATAGCATCTGTGATGAAATTGGAACCACTTCCGAGAAAGACGCAAGCAAGACGGTATTTTCGAATGCATTCGACCTAGAAAAATAGATCAGCAGATGTTAAGTATGTTGCGAGTAGCTCACCGCTACTCTCTTCCTGTGGCTACACGCATACCTGGATATCTGTATACTCATCCACAGGTTTCGATACCCAATCTCGTTGGGTTCGAGCTACTTCCTCAAGAGCAGGCTCGTATATAGCTTCCGTCTGTGTTTTGACAACTCCAATAAAAAGTGCTATCAACCGGTTCACATCGTCATGTTCTTCATCAGCCGAAAACTGTCTACCATGGACTTTGGCCAGAACATCCAGAATGCGGAAGCATTTGTAGCGGTGTAGCAAAGTCTCTGCGTGCTCAATGGCAACTATTGGTACATGACTATATGAAGAGAGCTCGTGCTCAAAGACAAGCTCTGCGGCATCGTACAGCCTAAGTCGACTCTTGAGAATCGCATCTTCCAAGATGGGTACAGCTTCCGGAGGCAGGCTCTTGTAGAGTGAAGTATGAGTTCCGCAGTAGAGCATTGTCTATATATTTTCGTGTGTTGCTGGAAACCGGATCGCAGGCTTTCAAGGAAGAGTTGTGTGCGCCGACCTGAGATGCCGGTGGTTTTTGCGTGCTCAAGCTTATGAGTGAACTCCTTTCATCGTGTGTGTCTATGCTCCGAGAGAGGTCATGCGTCCATTCAAAATATTTCTCTGCGGTGTGCCGCTCGGTTTTGGAGATGATTGGCTCCTTAGTCAGTTAATAATGCAATGCATATGCACGAGTTCAATATTTGGCGATTTGTGGCGTTTATTGCTTTTTTTAGCTGAGGCTGAGTGACCTTTAGTGGGTGGAAAAATTCCCCAATCTCTTAGCCCAAACTCATCCCCCACCGACTTCGGAAGATATGGTCCGGCTGGACTCAAGACAATGAATAAAAGGAACTGAAAGAACGCTTTCGACGCCGCTTCAAGGTATCAAGTTTGTGTCCACAGAGACCAATGAAACCATGGAAGCCAATTCAGAGCTGGACGACTACCAGTACGACGATGACTTGTCTGAGGATGCCATACTTGTTACACCTTTCGAAGTCTGTCCAGACTCGCTGGGTGAGCTTTCAGGAGGTCAAGACGAAAGCATTGACCCCGACTCAATTTGTGAGGAGGGAGGGGAAACCTATTCTTACATGATCTCGAACGCACGCGTCCGCGCAGCTCTGAAACGACCCATCCGACTCTGCAAATGTGTCGGCGTCCCAGTATGCTTGATGATTCTCGAGATCGAGCTGCTGGAGACCAAGCGAAGCCGACAGATGCCCCGACTCATGCGTTTCAAATCTGTCGAAATCACAGCCGAGTTCAAGGACGCCGAAGGAAAGTCAAAACTGGGTCCCGAGATCGCAATGTTTTGCCCAGAAACGTACACTGGGAAACCGACGTTCGTTGCGCACCAGATCAAAACTGCTTTAAAATTGAAGCTCGACCCTGCAGGCGCAATCCCTGTTGGTCTTAAATTGGAATTCGACCGAACTCATACCCAGCATTTCCAGCAAAGCTTCAGCGTTGAGATTACAGGTCGAGCACTCCGCTATGGACCGAGAACGCCAATTGTGAAATGGGATATCAAGGAAGATGAATCCCTCAAGCAAGGCGTCCCGAAGCAGTTAAGATTGGTAGTTGCGGTTAAGAACCCCGATGAACGGGCGTTCAACATAAAGCTCAACTTTTTAGCTTATCTTGGATTTAACGCTGTGGAATTCCGGGTGAGGAAAAAGGGGTCTGTGTTGTCAACAAAGGTGGACCCAAAGTCGCTTAGAGAACGAGCGCTAAATGATGAGCTTGGCCGACAACATGGTGAAAAGTACCAGTGTCGCGCGGACGATGAGGAGTTGACTGGTTTGATGCTCGAGGTGGAGACAAATATGAAAGATTCAACTGTGGGGAAAACGTCAGCCTTTGGTTGACCCGAGCACATCTGGCTTAGAAGGGAAGCAAAAACGTTTCGATTTTGTACACTATAACAAAGCATTTTGGCTTGGATCAAAGTTTAAATGAGATTCGATGTAGTGATGCTGAGACTTCTACAGTATCGTGCGAGGCTGTCAGGGCAAGCTGACTCGGCTACTGGGTACCGCAAACACTTCTAAATTCCAACTCTCTTACTAAAGTATAGTGTTATATAGCCAAATAAAACTTGCTCTACGGTATTCTACTTCTGATCCAATGTGGATGATTTAAAATTTGAATAATTTCCTTCATTGAGAATCGGAATTATCGCGACGGAGGTAAGCGAGGCAGCATTTGGACTGGGGGATCATTTCTAAATCATTAGATAAATGGAACACTACCTTTACTTAACGAATAAAACGTAGTATATAGGTCATATAGCTTACAATAATACTAAAGTGACATGTTTCCCTACCGACACGAAGAGTGGAGTTTTCGTCTGCCTGTCTCGCATACTTGCAACCGAGTACCCCACCAGGGAGGAGTCGACCACTATTGGGATCGAGAACCACTTTCCAGTGTCGGACACTTGGATCTCGAATAACTTCAAGGTATTCCCGATGACATCCCGCTGTTGTGTATCTGTGCCGATCCTATTTGGCGGCTCCAATGCATCATATCCCATGTGAGAATACCTCGTGTCTGAACTGAACAGCACTTCTTGTTTGTTTCAAGCTTTCTTTCAGTCAAACAACAATTCAATATGGTTGGGCATCTGGCAAACCGCGCCCAATTCGAGCTTATTATACCCTCAACACATACCAGCGTTGAAGCAAAATTCAACCACAAGCTCGTTCCCGGTAACTCCTCCAACCTCTCTCCATGAACCCTTCTAATCATGTCCAGGCGTATCATGGCACAGCGGCCGCATCTTCTCCACAAAGCCGGAACTCTCCTTCAACGAAACATTGGAAGCATTCCTCGTCGAGCTACGCTCGCAAATGAAGCTGGCTGTCAAAAGTGTCTGCCACGCGAAAATTGATTACTTCGTGATGTGCATGTCGGCTTGTTCCCAGTCGTTCGTCAATACGAGCAATTGATCAATCGAGCAATATTGAGGTCTCGGGAATAGCAAAATTAGTATACATTAAGATACTTTACTCAAATTGAGCTTTACTATATATGCCTCTCACTCCGTTTAGGCGCTTCGATAATTACCCTAGCCCTTTTTGCTGCTCTCGTAACCTCTTAATTAGCTTATTATTTGTTCCCACGTGCTTCCTTAATAGCTGCCCTCTTAACAATAAAAGGTTAAGGGAAGAGTCTTTTAATAGCCTTTAAGTGAAAGAAATATATTTTCTTATATATATCTGTTAAATAATATTTTTAATAATTAAATTGATTATTCGAATTAAGATAATTAACTTTTAGTTTTCAAAATAGTAATTAAATAGTAATTAATTAGCCTAATAATTTTTTTGATATACTATTATGACGGCGTGCGGAGCAGTAATCGGTTGGCATTATTATGCCGTGTCAGCCGGCTGGGGATCAGCAGGTTGTGGATTTCTTTACTCATATTAGATGTGAAGTTACGGCGACCTTTGGGTTCAAGTGTCCGACCACGGTGCGAAGGTTACGGGAGAGGAGATCAAGAAGGCATTCAGGAGCGGGGACAGTGAGGATGTTGATTTGTAGATTCCAGCGGGTACGAATCTGCTTGCTGTGAAGGCTTCAGCAGAGCTGGAGGTTGAGTTGGGGAAGTCGGTTATTGCTATTAGTACCGCGACTGTGTGGCATGCTTATGGGATGAATGAGATCAAGGATCAGATATCGGGTTGAGGATCGTTGTTAGAGAAGTATTAGACTCGGAACCCCTGCATGAATTTTCGCACATGTTCTTTCAGTGACACATCACACTCTCGATTTCATCTGTAGATGCTTTTATTTATTCCGAATTCATGTGGTCATGAAGCTTTCTCCATCTCCCAACTAACCTCCGGCGTAAAACAAATACTCATCAACCCCTCCGGCGTCGCATTCTCCTTCAAGTACACCTTAAACGCCTGGTGCGCCTCACATCCATCAATATAATACTCGACATCCTCCATACTCTTAAACACCGTTTTCCCAACCAACGTATACCCCTGATCAATCTTTACATGTGCACTTGTGCGCCCAGCTTGCATGGACAGGATATATGGTTTGCCGTCCTATGATTTTACCTCGTCAGCGAGAAGAAAGCTTGAGCGGTGTGCGTGGGATGGATGGACGCACCTTTTGCTGGTTCTTAACGAATACCTCGAATCCTTGGAGCGCGATGTCTATTTTGTCTTCAGGGATCTTGACCATTGTTACTCGCGTGATTGGGGTAGTCATTTTTCCGGCGTTGCTTTGAAGTGTTGGAAAGGTGTAGTTCTTCTGCGCAAAACAAAACTTGAGCTAATTAGACTCGAAGTTCCCTAAAGAAAGTTGAGTTCAAATCAATAGACTAGAGAGATCTTGTCAATCCAAAAGCAACTTTGAGAAGGGGGCGTAAGAGTGGGTAAGCTTACTTAATTTTCCAGCTTTCCGGCTTACAGTAAGTTTCACTGTGGGCTCTGATAAATTATTATCAATAATCATTGATTAGTTATCGTTATCATTATCGTACGATCGATAGATGATCGATAATTATCAATAATTTAATTAATAAAAGTGGGTCCAGCCCTTTAGCAATAGTTATAGGGCCAGTTCGCTGTATTTCTAGCGAGAAAGCCCTATACCGCCCTTGCGGCAGTATCACTAAATTTGGCGATTTTGGTAATTCTGCTATATATAGCGCACTGGCCCTGTAGCTATTGCTAAAGAACTAGATAATTATCGATTGTCGAGCCTATCGGAGCCCACACTGGCACTGATTTTTGTTCAGCCCGTACTTTTCTAGCTATCTGATTCGTTCAAAATCCCTGCCGATTTGATCGGAGTCGGTCCAGCAAAAGAGGCTAGTTTTGGCCTTTGGATTAAGGGATGCACACTTGCCATCGGCAAGATGTCTGCTGATACAAGTTGGTGTATGCTGGGCCTTTTCCAAAGCTATCTAGGTATTCTTCCATTGGCAAAACACTTCTATTCGATGCTCCACTGCTCTAGACCCATTTCCAAACCTTTGCACTGGCTGCATGTCTGATAAAGGGGTACCTTCGACTACCTGCAGCCGAAGCGCTCCCCGATCCACTCTCCCCTTGTCACCTACACAATGGCAGCATGAAAAACATTCCCTGTGCATTGGCAGAATCTTGATCATCCTATGAGGATCCGAAGGATTCGACAATCGACCACAGTCCTGAACTTCAACTCCAACGTTACAATGCCGTCTCTTGCCTTCCTCTGTGATTCTCACCAACACACACAAGCGGACTAGCCCTTTCCATCGGCCTCCGCAAACAAAACTTTCCACGCACGATCTACGAAGCAGCGCCGAAATTCGATGCGGTCGGCGCAGGAATTGGTCCCGGTCCCAATGCACTCGAAGCCATGGAACCCATGGACCCGACGCCCGCGAAGATGTATAATGAGATTAAGGTGGTAATACGAGTCCGGAGAGGCAGCATGAACGGATTGAGATTCTGGGGACGGAGGAAGGTTTCGGTGAGAAGAGGGGGTAAAGAGGAGGGAGTGTGGGATATGAGAAGTTTGAGAGTAGTAGGATGCATAGGAAGGCGATGCTTGAGGTTATAACGAGACTTGTGCCGGAGGGCACGGTGAGGTTTAATAGGAGGGTTTTGGGGGTTAGACAGCGGGGAGGAAAGGGGGAGATGCGGTTTGAGGATGGGGAGTGTGTGGTTGTGGATGCACTCGTGGGATGTATTGGGATTAGGGGAGTGACGAGAGCGGTGCTGCAGGAGAGGTGGCCGGAGGTCGCCGCGAAGTATACGACTACGTATGTTTATAGAGGCATTGCGCCGGTGGAGAAGGCGAGGAAAATTATGGGATCCTATGCAGAGGGCGCGCGGTGGTGGATGATGGAAGAGAAAAGAGGGCGATGTATCCTATTTTGCAAGGAAGGGAGGCAAGTATCATTGCTTCCATGGTGGGTAGGAGACATTGGGTTGGGGAGCAAGCTGCAAGAGAAGTACCAAGAAAGGAAATGCTTGCTGAGTTTGTTGGACATCACAAGAGATTGCAAAAGTTATTAGATGTGAGTTTTAACCAAAAGAGGGAATTTCTGGATAGCTGACGATACAAACAGTGGGTGAGGCCTGGGAAGTGGCCGTTATTTTATCATCCAGATATACCAGCATACATCAATGGTAGGATTGTGCTGCCGGCAGACAGTGCACATGCTTCAAGTCCAAGTCAGGCGACTGATGCTGGACAAATGTTGGAGGACGCGCTGGTTCTTTCGAGACTACTCGGCCTCGTTGGGAGCGCGGATCAATTAGAAGCTGCTTTCTAGGCATATGATGCTGTTCGGCGACCACGAGCACAGAGGGGTCCACCAAAGTTTAGAGGTTGGAACCGCATACTTCTTGGTCCTTCCCAATTTTGGGAAAGACTTGCAGAAGCTCGCGGATGATACGAACAAGAAATTACCCCACATCTGGTGGAGTGATTTGGAGGGTGATTGTGAAGCCGTGAAAAATATTTCAGGGAGCTTTGGAAGTGATCAGAGAAGGGAGAGAATTCTGATCCGAGCTAGTTACATATTAAAGAAGTTCTATAGAGATCTGAAAGGATCCACTATATAATTGAAAACAAGTTTGTTTCATCCACTTTGCATGGCGGGAGGCTTGTGAATCCAATGTAAATAGATCACTAGACACCGAGTTTTAAAGCTATCAATGGAAAGCATCGAGGGTCTGTAACCGTCTGTTTGCTTATGGAGCAATGTCCCAACAAGGCTATAGAACGGCATCTTGATCGGAATGGCAGGGTCCGACTACAGTGAGCCGACCCGCCATTCCAGGGGTACAACCAGCGCTCTGATGCCCCAAACCTCTTATCTTATATGGCGACTTGCCACTGGCAAGTTGCCAGCAACCTCATCAACAACTTAAAGTCGACACCAAAAATGAGATGAACACCAACTACTCGGTATAAGAATTCAAATTCCCGCTAATGACATTGAAGAGAAGAAAAAACACCTCGTAATAAAAACCCCTTCAATCATAACATGCAGTGTGTCAAAAAATAATCCAGGCTAATTAATTAGAATTGATTATAATTAAGTATGATTTAATTAGCTTGATTTTTATTATAATTAATTATAATTAACTATAATCATCACGTGATAATATAAAAGTATACTTTCTTAGGCATTTTTAAAGATTATTAAATAACTAGTAGCTATAGTAATAAGATATAAATAAAATCTGTAAAGCATATATAAGAGTATAAAATTAGTCTAAATCTAAAATAACAAACTAGTTTTTGTTACGTGGTACTAGTCACGTAGTGTTATTGCACGTGACTTAGCATGTGGCCAGTGCTTCCTTAGCCTGGCAAATAGCTCAATTCAAGCTCTTTACTACTACTATAACATTACTTTATCTTGATAGTTTTCTTCTTTAGAAATCTCTTTCTCTTTTCCCTTCTTATTTTCTTATTTCTTCTTCTTTAATTACTATAAGGGTTTATTTATAGCTCTTTTATTAGTGGCAAGGAATCACTGGAAATCAAGGAGGTTCTAGCGCCTTTGGCTTCGCTTACTAATTAGCGCTAGGCCTGGTTTAGTAAAGAGCGCCTTTAGTAATACCGAATACGGCTAGCCCAGACCTTATTTTAGCCTTATCTCGGCTTCCGAAGCTCCAGAGTCATGTGCGTAATCACGTGATAAATCTAATTAATTATCTTTGATTATAATTAAGTATGATTTGATTAGCTTGATTTGATTTGAGTAGGGGGGTCTAATCAAATCAAACCTAATCATTTGACACACTGATAACATGCATATCACCCCACCCCGCCCCACTCTCTATCTCCTTCTCTACCTCCCTTGTCACGCTCCAAGCTCTTGACACCACCGCAAAACTCTACGTCAAAGCCGCCAACTTCCTCCACCCCACCATCCAAGGACACGAAGCGTATAATTGCCCGACCGTGACATTCCTCATCACCCACGACTCATCTGGCAAAAAGTCCTCTTCGACGCCGGCGTCCAGGAAGATTACTGTAACTACTCCCCTTTGATCACTAACTGTGTTGCAGCCTCTATGGACGTGCGCGGTCTCCGCGTCGAGAAAGGCGTAGATGAAGTTTGACCGATTCGGGGACAGAACTAGGAGAGGTAGACAGTGTAATATAGATGGAGTCACTAGCACTTCGACCGCATCGGGAACCTCTCTTTTCTCATCTAGGACAAAAATCAACGTAGGACCAGGCTTCACAGCGACTCTCCTGCCTGGTTATCCTTCTAACCCTGCTTGGCTAATACTAGAAAGTGATTACACGGGCAAGGAAATGGAAGAGATTGCTTTCTCTGATGATGGGGGGCTGAGGATTGGGAGGTTCAAAGCATATGATTTTTCGGAGATGGAGTTTTTACCCGGGCACGTGATAGGGCATATGTGTGCACTTGCGCGATCGAGTGGGAGGAGTTTTGTGTTGCTGGGGGCGGGCGGATGCCTGCGAGGATGTGCTGATTTGTCTTGCTAATGATCCGGGATTGCTTGAGGTACTACCTCTATTGAATGGTGGGGGAGGAATGAGATTAATGGCTGGAAGTAGAGATTTCATCGAAGTATCGCGCCCCTTGTCCCCCACGCTCGCCCCATCCAGCATTGCACCGAATACTCCTCATGCTGCAGCCCGTTTAGCGGCGCCACATACTGTACCCCAACTCCCGCTCATGAACCTCTGACAAATTCCCGTTTCTGAATATACTCTCCTTCGCTCGGAATCGAGATCGATGAACCAATGTAGCGCTCCGTGAATGCACGCCAGCCTTTCCAACGCGGCGATAATACGCCAATTCACTCTCTGGGCACCAAAACGTGCAACTAAATCGCCGTGTCCCCTGTAACGTCGACTCCCTAAATCGGTTGATACGCCGATGGCCGAGCCCCACCCTGATATGAATATGGCGCAGCAGCATTTACTCCCTTGTACGATGTATCGCCACCATTCATCGAATTCAACGTGTCAAGCTCCTCATCGCCTTCGATGACGCCTTCTTGCATAGCTCGCTCAGCTTCAATCGCTTTGATCGCAATTACCATCTTCTTGCGAATCCAGATACTCGCGAAAACTGCAAGATTATACAATTAGTAAATGCGAAGCCGGTAGAACCAGATGAAGAGTGATACGTACTTGTGATGGCGACTACAACAACGATTGCCACTACCTTGCCATATTTTGTCGCCTTCGTACCCTCCGAGCTGGGGGTTCCGAGCGCTACGAAGACCACTGACTTGGGAAGAGATAAGAACACAGTCGTCATGTACAGCCAGAACTTCATTCCAGTGCAGGCAAATAGGGGATTGGCCAGATCTGTTTCATGCAATGTCAGTATCGTTTCACTGCTGTTGAGAGGACTCAACTCACGTGGCGGAACGATACTGTAGCGGATGACTAGCACGCCCCTAAAGCCAGCTTCTTGTGCGACTCTTGCAGTGGCTGCCCACTTGATTTTGGTTGCAATCTTCTTGTCAACCCACCAAGTGAATCCATACTTAAAGACGATGCTAATGCAACATTAGACACATATTGAAAACAAACAAGATTAATCAATCAGCACTCACAAGCATCCAGCTTCTCCCAAAACGGCTCCAGCACACGCAATACCCAGCGCGACTCCAAGAGGGTATGTCAGCTGTCAGCGCCGTCAGCAAGCCAGTTCCCACGTAATTTGGTGCCTAAACAACTTACACCAACAACCAATTGCACGATCTCATGACCGAAGAGAGGAGGGAAGCTGAGAATGAATAGAATGGCAACGGGCAGCACCCAAGACCAGGCCTTTCTCGCTTTCAACCAGTCGCTAAGCGGCTTGACCCAACGCTCGAAGTCAGATTTATAGACCTCGAAGAGCACAGTCAGAGCGATGGCTAGGATACCCAGAGGCACCATCCTAAAAGTTGCATCAGCATTTTCATCACGGGTGAATCTGGGAAATGCCCGTGAGGCTCACCAGTACAGCCGCCGCTGCCATTTCTTGCTCAACCGCCTCCCTTCCTGCACCACTGGGTCATTTGGATGCGATGCCTCGTATTGGTTTGCGAGGGGTGCGTCGGAGGAGTACGCATGAAAGGGGACGTCATTTTGAAGCGGGGCTCTATAGGGACCTGAGGATGAAGCTTGCACGGGGGCTGGTTGCGGAGGCGATGGAACTTGCTGGCGCCCGAGGAATTGTTCCTGTGGTGGGTGAGCAACCCCATAATCGGGATATGGAGTATTTTGGTACTGGTTGCGGTCCATTGTTGATTGGGAGACCAGGAGAGGTCTGGCTGGAATTCTACATTCTGGAGATGTGGTTGCGCTTTTGTCTTACGCATAAATAGCCGCCAACGCATGCCAAGAACGCTAAGCTACATATTGCCTAGGGTGACATCCCCCCATATTCCGTGTGGGAGTGGTTTTTCAGGGGCTTTGGCGAACTCGCGAATCAGATAGATGAAGGCAAGACTAAGCATACATTTATGAAAATACGACGCGCATCTTGGTGGCGCATGAGTATCATATCGGCACGGGCCAATCAATTGTCTACAAATACGAATACAGCATTCAACCAAGAGTCATTTACTTACAAATATGACGCGCAGTCTCTTGGCACAGAGTGTGCCACGAAGTTCCTTGCTGCCAAATCGATTCTTCCTCCTTTGAAGATTGGCATCCGCTTCCACCATCTCGGCAACCTCTCTACATGTTTTTGCCTTCTCTTAGTATTCGACGAGGTCCCTCATCGGGAGCGCAGTATTCTGGAGATGCATGATCTCCTCCTACAAACCCATTGTTGTTCCATTCAGCAGTTCCAGCCCAAGAAATGCCCTGCACAACCATGACACCAATAAAACAGTTTTACAATCTAAGAAAAGGTTATAGTGGCCCTGCCTCCGACGAGCTAGGAAGTCAATTAACTGGACAGCTTCGCTCCAAGGGTCCACTGTGGATTTATCGCGATCCAAAAGGCTACAAGGGATCGACAGGTGTTCTGAGGGTTTGTGAGAATAAACCGGTGCACATGATAGGAGATGTTGCATTAGCGACCTTATGGGACTCCACGGTAGTGCCGGATGCCTGGGGCGGGTTTTGGCACAAGGGAGGAGGTCCGCTGGGTGGACTAGCCAAGTCCGTTCCGGAGGTACGAGATATCTCCAAATGCTCAGAGAAATCTTTCTGCGAGATTGACTTCGTTTATGTGAGAACATCACCGTCAAGGTACGCGGGAGCATTATTAACTCCGCCGCACCGAAGGGCGAGAGTGGGTATGCTCGCAGCGTCGAGGGGCATGTTCTCTACGACGAGAAAATTGCTCTCGCCTAGGTTCGTCCGCTTAATAGAAGCAGTAAGGTAACCATGGCTAGCACTGATTGAAGATGATATTAGGAGCCCTAAATGAGTTACGCATTTGACTAGGGCGTAATCCTGTGTTCCATGAGCGTAAGTTTAGCCCGTACCTACACGAAATGTAAAGGTCGTGTAGGGACCTTCGTTGTTGCCAATGACCCAGCGAAGTAGATTAATCACTGAATCAATATTGGGCGATTGTTTGATTGTGTTTTACCTCTTCAGCCTAGATTTGAGTAAATCGCAGCCAGGGTCTGGACGCCAGCAATATGTCCAATTGTGGACCAAATAAAGATGTCTCTGAGGGCAACTGGATGCAATACCGCGAAAGAAGCGCACCATTATTTGGGTCGGAACAGAATACTTCCATGATAATTTCAGAGGCATTGAGATAGCCGTAGCATTCAACGAGAAATGTAGAAAGTATGGCCATCGACTTCAAGATCCCAAAATGAGAGTCCGAGCCTGGATCTCGCGTGCCTGATGCTTCCTGGTCTAGAAACCACAGCAAGACATACACTAACCCGCCTATTTTGTCTGCCTCTGACTGTGGTATTGGATGGCGCATCACAGAAAGGCTGGCAATTTTGCGGTAGTCAGTGTTCTCCACTCCGGCGAACTTCAGATCCTGGAGTTAAGGTGAGTGATAATTCTGTGCGTATATACATCTAGTCACTTTCATGTAGTTGAACACCTTCGATTTGATTCGAAATTAATCTTCGAAATCGTCGAGGACGTTGGGAGATTAGTTGGAAACAGCGTCAAGCATGGAACGCCGCCCATTGACGAAGTTCTTGGAACGCTATGTAGAGGCTTTTGAAGCCAAGACTGTGCAAAAAATTTCGGAGCCGTGAAGGGGGCGTTGCATTTTCATTACTTTCAACTTTCAATGGTCGTTAAGTTCTTTCTAGAGATGCTATGTCTTCCGGGATTCTGCTGCCAAGGTGCTTGTAGAATCATCATACTCTCTAACCCGTCCGTCAGCAAACGAGTCTCAAGCTTAAAAAATGGATCGAATAGGGTTTACCTGGTTACAACAGGCTCAAAGTCTGAATTCTGGGTCCTGTTCCCGCCAACCGATTTGCTACGTGCCAAGTGGACATGCGCCGAGATGCTATAGAAATACAAGTCATGAACCCGGCCTTTGCAGGGTGATGACGTTTAAATAACGACACAACAAGATCAAGCTAGCAAAGGATGACCGAAGCGGGGTTTGCAATAAATCGAAGTTGATCTTTATATGGCCAGCGTGCGAGCGGTGAATTCGTGGCAGTGCAATTCGTGGTGTAGGGCTGTCTAGAAACTCCAAACTAGGGCCTGTCTGAGGGCCTCGAAATGACCCCTGACACCAACCCAATCGGGGCGAGAACCAGATGGCCGAGTGCATGAAGTTGTGCTTCCCTAGACGGGTCCTCCGGAAAGAGACTTGAATTCTACCGAAAGGACTTACAAGTTTCTGAGTTTTGGAGCGAAGGGGTGAGGGGTGAATGAATAGAGGAAGGAAGATCAAGAATTATTCAAAATACTATCTTGGGAATCAATAATATAGCTCAGCGATCTCTATTCCATGATTGTCTTTACCTAATTGCCGTTGCTCCCCACTCCCTCTCTCCTTCCGACCGTGCTAATCTCCTAGAAAGACTCATATCCCTCATCTGCGAAACCATCCATTCTCCGCCTTCTCTCTCAGTGCGGGCATAAGCATGGAATTGTACTTCCACTATTGCTAGAAATTAGCATTAAGCTCTGATATTTAGTGCCACTTAACAAGGCAGTGTGGAATTGTATCTGTTTCTCTGATACCCGTGTGCGTGAGGCCACAAGTATGTCTTGTTATCTGTAATTGAGACATAGTTTTTACTGAGAAGGCATTCTGTGGCTGCTGTTGTCGAATACTATATTCGAATCTTGTATAGCGGCTTTTCGGATTGAGAGATAGATAGATAGGGAAGGTGAAAGAAAAGGAGAAAAGAGACACTATCGGATCAATTTATACCTGGGCGATATTTCTCAAAAAATCTTTGAGCTTCTAATATACTACTCCCTTGTATTCAGTCGACTAATTTCGGGAATAACAACTTGCACCAGTTGGTTTGCGGGTAAATTGGATGAGTGTGTGGTCGAAGCGGCGGCGTTACGGGGGTTGAGTCAGTTCAGTTGGAGGAATCTATCTAAAACGAATTGTTAATTCATTGTTTATTACCTCGACCCCGCGGGGATGCCAACTCGCTGTACAATAGCCTGGAAGAGCTCAAGCGGCAGGTTCTTGGATCAGTCCAACGCCAGAATCCCAAAGTGGAAGCTTGCATGGACAGTCTACGAGCGACTGTTGACGCTTATTCTAAGTACCAAGACTTTCGTAATTCATGAGTATTACCATTTACTAAGTGTACAAACACCAACAAATACTTGATACAATGCCTGCGCTGACCTATACTCCAGAACATGGTTCCTTCCTGGCCCACAATTCATTCAGCTTCTGACATCTCCCTCCATTTCTTGTCCGACTACAGCAAGCATTTGCCGGCTTTCTCTCTTCAATGTCCATTTGTTGTATTATAAACATACTTTCGCCGTCACTATTATCATCTTTCTTCAATATGAACCCTTTTTCACTTTCCGGAACAGGGGGTAGAGGCTTCTGCGTCTCACCATTGATCTTCGTGTGACCCACAGAGCTAAGCTCTACAGGAACCTGGAAAGCATCTCGGAATGACAACCCGCTTTCGGCACGGCGTTCTTGGTTCAGAGATGCCCGTGTGCGGATTTTGTGGCTGCCGGTATTATAGATTGAGTTGTTAAAGTATCGCCTGAAGAGGGGTTTGAGCACAGGCGCAGAAGCGCAAATGAGTGCGATATCGACTTCGAGGGCGACGAACATCCAGAGTATGTAGCCTTCCCCTTGAGATGATTTCAGTATCTCATTTGGAGGCTGTAATTTTATAGGAAATTCTTACATGTTGTATCAAACGTCTTGCTCACAATAACATCAACATAATATGCTCGAATTGCTCCAGCTAGACAGACACTGAAATGATCTCTCCTTTAGCGGAAAGCATCATAGAAAAATCGGGGAGAGGTATTCTCACAGTGTTCCAAGCATAAACACCCCGCTCAAGGCCAATTTCTGTCTTTTCGGCAGCTGCAGACTCCATACCGTTGGCAGAGGCAGCACCATGATGACGAGGTCGACGGCGATATTTATCATAGCAGCGACCAACTCGAACCTTATCTGATCAATACAGTGATGGGGGATTGCAACGTCCCAGAATCCTGCTAAGGGTCTAAAGTATGAACGGTTCTAGTTAGAGTTTTCGGGGCGTGGCTGAAGTAGGAGCAAACTTACGTGCACACATTGAGTAAACCAATTGACAATGCGATAGTGTAGCAGACGACGAAGGTTAAAGTCCCCAACACACAGTAATTAAATATCTTCTTCATGCTAGGAGCAGAGAGTCGTCGATAGAAAAGGAGTATTGCCACTTTGGTCAGGTTGGTGGCCCAAAGGAACAGAAACTGTGCGGTGAAGGTCACCTAAAACGCGTCGAGTTAGTTGAAACATTGCACTTCGACGAAAATGACAATGTACTTGACGACTTGGGATAATGTCCTCAGGGGGCACATCCCAGATATGAACATCCCACGAGTATCTCGATGTAGCTTCACATCGTCAGCCAATTTTCGAGCCACCTCCAGTCCGTGGCTCAGTACCTAGGCACACCGCGATAGTCAAACCAATGGCTGGGACCTGTGATGCTGGTGAGCAGACACTCCAGTGGTCTTGAAAACAGAATCCATACTACTGCAAGAGCAATAAAAAGATCATCCAATTCTGCAGAGCGACATATTTTCAAACGTGTGTAGAGTCTCAATCCAACCACAACCAGAGCTACAGGAAGTAACAGAGAATTGACTATCACCAATGCCGGCCCTCGTCGTATCGGGTCGACATAATTCGGCTTCGGCCAACTGAGAATAACATCGAGGGGAATCGGCCTGATGTCTGAGAACGCATCCATAGTTTTTCCTTTCTCCGACGCGATTAGAGATGGAAAAAATAACGTTCCGATGAGCCTATTCGGCTTTGTCACTCGCGGTCGAACAAGAAAGTACATGTGAAAGCAGCGCAACTTTTCCGCCTCCTTGAAGTGTGAAATATCCTTCCCGGCACATGGCCGATCTCATGCAAACAATCTGTCAGGGGCCTCGGCTCTACTTTCAAGGGAGGCGTTCCAAGGCAACACAATGGTACCGGCCGTAAATACGATCGTCAACTCCTGCAACAGGTAATTCGGTATGGGAATGTTCTCATCCCATTTTCCATTTCCGTCTCTGGACCTGAGCAGCAGCTGCTTTAGCCCGAGCTATGGGTGAGCAAGCATAAGCCAAGGGTGAGCATTCCTGAGCATCGCCTGAGCACCACCGGAGCACACGCTAAATAAGCCTGAGTAGCTATTTTAGTATCCGCAGGGGCTCGTTTTGGCTCCCTTGAGGCCCGGTTATACTTTCCTCGTCTTGCCTCTTGAGGGGGGTCCTATTTTGGCTCCAATAAGGTTCCCTCCGGAACCTTTTTTTGGATCTATACTCGCTTGTATGCACGTGATACTTAAAGGGCTAAGCGGCTTAGCGCTTTCTCTAACGTCTCTTTAATGTCTGCGGGGAGATTTTAATAATTTCGGTAGTATTTAATTTCCTTCTCTTTGCTTTAGAATCTCTTAATTATATACTTTACTTGTACTTTCTCCTTATTATTATCTTGCTTATTAAAGGCAAAGGGCCAAGGTACTCTAAGTACGGGTTTGATTTACGTAAAATTAAGGCAAGAGAGGGATAATTATATTTGCTAGATTAATAAAATAGGAAATCGCCGGTAATAAGCCTATTAATAGTAATATTATATAGTAGTAATACTATACCAGGGAGAAGTTATACTAGTATCTAGTAATACTAGGAAACTCTTATAAATCCTGGTAATACCGAACTATACTAGCAGTATAGTTTACTAATAAAGAGTACGGGATTAGCTAGGCAAGGGCCAAACTGAGGTAAAGTTATATAGGTTATACTAAAGGCTTAGTAGTACTAAGAGATTTATGTAAAAAGAGTTAGTAGGTTAGCTGGGATATTATATTAAGAAAAAGTAATACTATAATATAGTAATATTAAGAGATTTATATAAAAGAAGTAATACTATATAGCCTGTATTAAGGAGTAGTCGTATTACTATAGGAAAAACTAGGAGATTATATAAATCCTAGTAAAGCAGAATTACCTTAGTAGGATCTAGTAGGTAAACCGAAATAGAGATTTATATATTACTAATACCGTATCTAGGAGCAGGCAGATCTTAAGGCCTAGTAGCTAATATATATAAATAGGGAAGGCAAAATTAGGATCTAGTAGGCAAATCGAGATAGAGATTCATATATTACTAATACTATATTTAGGAGCAGGCAGATCTCAAGGCCTAGTAGCTAATATATATAGATAGAGAAGGCAGATTTAGGATTAGTAGGCAAGCCAAGGTAAAGATATATTACTAATACCGTATCTAGGAGCAGGCAGATTTCAAGGCCTAGTAGCTAATATATGCAAATAGGGAAGGCAGATTCAGGATTAGTAGGCAAGCCAAAGTAGAGATATATTACTAATATTATACCTAGAAGCAGTTATATTATAAGGTCTAGTAACTGGAAGATATACTGGATTATATTAGTAATAGAGTTATACTAATATATAGTAAAGTTCTTAGTATAATTTCTGTGGCTAGGATATTTATATAAAGAGAAGAGAATCCTAGAGAATATAAGGGTATGGCCCCGCCTACTAAGCCTATTCTGGGTAATTTAAACCTTAGTATAATTACTCTCTAATATAATCTCGCTACTATTTCTATATTACCTTATTACTAAGATAATTTTGCCTTAAAGCTTTTAATACCCTATAAAGACAAGAACGGACTCTTTTAATTACCCGGTATACTAGTAATAAATATTAGCTACTAATATATTTTTGGCTATTTTATTATTCCTGGCTAATGTGGTACGGCAGGCCATACTTATTAAAAATCATATTATTTTAGCGGTTTTGAGGTTTAGGTTATATGGCAAAGGCTGCGGCCTTTTATATGTAACTTGCAGAAATCATATAAGAAAGCTGGTTTTTCTATAGACTTAGAGAATAATTCTTTATAAATATATAATTAATTAAGCTTTTATATATTATATACTATTTATACTTTACTATTTATGCTTTTGATTTATTATTTTACTATTAAGTTATGTTTTGTATTCTAGTATACTTTATATAGGTTTTTGTCTTATTATAGTTTCTTTCTTATATATTTTATAGTAAGTAATATAGGAAAGATAGAAACTTTATAATTAAGGTAATACTCTTATAAAGTTCTAAGAAATATCTATAAGGCGAATTATTAGCTTAGTAAGTTAGGAGAGAAAAGGGCTATTATAATGCCTTATACCTAAGGCCAAAATATTAAGGATATATAAATATTAATTTTAGTATCTTATATTAATTTCTAATATATCTAGTAACTTAAATACGAATTAGCCGCAAGATATAATTACTAGTATAATATATAGAAATAATAGAAATAGAGGCTAATTATAGAAAGAAAAGAAGCAGAGAAAATAGAATAAGAAAAATTATACTAAGATAATATAAGTTAGATCTTAGTTAGAATTAGACTTTAGTATTTAGAAATAAAGTTATATTATTAATTTATATATTATTTTTAGTTATAGTAAAGACCAGAATAAAAATAGTATTAGTTTTAGTAAAAAAGCTTATTTCTAAATCCGGAAAAGATATCTAAAAGAGAAAATGCCCTTAATTTTAAGTAAAATAGTAAATAGGAATTAGAAATAAGAATTAAAAAGAAATCGGAAATAAGAAATTATATAAATAAACTAGAAAAGCTTCTAGAGAAAGAAATAAATATTAAGTAAAGAAATAAAAGAGAATTTAGAAAAGTCAGAAAAATTAGTAAAATTATATTTATTATTTTTATTATTACTTTTAATAATATTAATAGATATATTTAGTTTAGTAAAATTAAGGGAAAATACTATAGGTATTAAACTAAAGAAATAGAAAAGAAAGTATAAGTAATAGGAATAAGACTAGAAAAACTACTATTTTATTACTACTAATACTTAAACTTATATTTTAATTATATTTATTATTATTAACCGGTTTCTTTCTAATTCTAGTTTCTAAACTAAAAGATATACTTAAATAAGAAGTTAGTTTTTTAGGAACCTTATTAATAAAAGTCTCAGGTATAGAAACTCTATAATTAATTATAGAAGAAATTATTAAGATTAATATAGCTAAGAATAAGTATATACTAGTACTAGGTTTAAATCTACTACTTATAAGAGCTCCTAAAATATTATGGTTTTAGGAAAGTAATATTTCTATATTCTTAAAATAGTATATAAATATATATAAGAACTATTATATTTCTAATAATACTAAAAGAAAGAGAATTATCTATTATATCTCTCTTATTTATAAGAATTAGATTAAAGCTATACTAGAGTACTATACTAATAATTCAGGAAATTATTAGGAAATTAAGTTCTTTAAGGCCTTATTAAAGGAATTCCGAGAGTATAACTAGGAAATATTTAAAATTAGCTATAACTTTTTTAATTAGATTATTATATAAGCCTAGAATAAAGAAATCTCTTTTAAGTCTTATATTAATATATTTAATAAAGTATTAAAGAAGTTACTAAAGAAAAAAGAAATAAATAAAATTATTTAGTACCGAGAATTCATAAGAGAATTATCTATTTTAGTAAAATTATATTCTTAAGAATACGAACTTTAAGCCTATAAATATTTCTATTTATAAATATAGTAAGATATATAAGAAGGCAATAATATTTTATTAATATAAAGAGAAGAAATACTATTTTAATATTACTAATAACTCAGATATATTTAGATTTAAATAAGAATATTTGGATATAATAGTCTATAATATAGTTCCTAAGCCAGAAAACAATTATTCTTTACTAGTTTCTTCTATTATATTTCCTAAAGCTATTATAAGTATAAGTAAAAAGAGAACTCAGCCTATAACTAATTATATAAAACCTACTAAAAGTAGTAAACCTAAAGAAAATAATATTAACTAGCTAGTAAGAAGTTTAGAAAAACTATCTATTATTACTATAACTTAAAAGAACTTATAGAGATAACTTAATATAGCTATTATTATAATTCGAGAAGATATCCGTAGCCTACTTATATAACTTAGCTAATTATAATAAGTATAATAGTATTAATAGCCTAGTAAATATAATTCGGGTCTTTAGAAAAAATATACTAGAATTTATAATAAAGGATATAGAGAATACTATAATAGCTATAATAGTCGAGCTGAATTAGATAAAGAGTCTAAATAATTATATTCTAGAAGAAGTTAGTCTCAAATATAATTAGAAAATACTACTTAAGTTAATATAGCCTATAGTATAGACCTAAAATTAAGAGAACAAATTTGCTATAATTATTATAGTAGGAATAAGAATAATAATATTAATCTAAAATATATCTATATTTCTTAGTTCTATTACCTATTAATAAAAGAGCTTATGAATTATAGATATACTTATTAATTTAATAAAAGATAATATAAAAGGCTATTTAAGCCTAGATAAGAAAGTATTTCCTTTTTCCTTATTAGTAAGTACTAGTAATTTAACTAAATTATTTCTCAAGTCTAAGGAAAGGAATTTAATTATAACTTAAATACTTGACCTAAAAATATCTAGAAATTAATAGGAAATGCCTAGTTTACTAGGCAAGAAAGGGAAAAGAGAACTAGCTAACCGGGATCTATATAAAAAAGCAAGCAAGTTATATCTAGGAAATCTAAATAGCTACTTTATTTTAGAGAAAACTATATTAGAATTACTAATATTTCAGGTTCTGAAATTAATAAATAATATTAAAATTTGGCTATAAATAGAATTTCTATTAATAT